TAAAAATCTGATCGAAACTGTCCGCTCTTTGTACGCAAATACTGTTAAGGTATGTGATATCAGGGTTGTGCACCCTCTAGAGATCACAATTTTTATCTGATTTTGATGAAACTTAAAATATGTTTATATCCCTAAGATCTAGGTTCCTGTAGATATTCACACATATCGGACCGTAACTTCCTGGATTTTGGATCCTGATTTTTTTAAAAATTGTTCTCTGTCCATCTTTTGCAAGCTGTGGGCGTATCTTGCATGGCAACCGCTGGTTTTCAGTCCTAATTGAAGGCATTGGCACAAGAACCTAAATTGCCTATCGGTATATAAAATATTTGTTGTCCTCCGCCTTTCGAAGAAAGTAGAGAACTGTTAAAATGGGTTTGCCTGTCCGTCACAGTTTTTAGGACATAATAACCCTCCTAATTGAGTTAGAATGTCCAAACTTCGCGTAGGTGTTTATTAGATGAAGCAGAAATAAGCAATTTGATTAGTTGATGCTTTGGCACACGCTAACTTTTGTTCTAATTAAGTGAGAGTGATGAAACTTGGTCTATAGTTTCATTATATCAATACCTTGACCAAGTTCGATAATAAGCAGGTTCTGCCCAGGGTAAGCAGAGCTACAGGCAATTTGATTGATCGAGACTTCGGAGCTCGATAACCTTGATTCTAATTGAGTGAAAGTGGTGAAACTTGGTGTATAGTTTCATTACATCAATACCTTGACTAAGTTTGATGATGAGCATTTTCAGCTTAGGCAAAGTAAACATCATTCTGATTGGTCAAGACTTAAGAATACAATAAATCTCCCTCAAATTGAGGTAGAATGTTCGAACTTGGTGTTTGTTAGGTGAATGCCTTGATAGTGTTCGGGTTGGTTGGATGGCTGAATGGTTAGCGTGCGCGCGCTGTATCATAAAGTCTGTCATTGAGTCGACTGGCGTGGTTTCGAATCCCCGGTTGTACGTGACAAGGAGTAGGATCGCCTGTCCAACCTCGTGGGTTTTCTCCGGTTCCTCCGGTTTCCTCCCACTGCTAAAGACCCCTATGGGCAAGCGAATTATTGAAATAAAATTAAACCATATGTTAGTCCCGAAATGACCTAGTTTGTGTCGAGTGGACGTTAAACCTCATTTCTCTCTCTCTCTGATAGTGTTCGATGATGTACATTTTCTACTAAGGCAAGGCAATTTGGTTGAGACTTTGGAACACGATGACCTTGGTTCAATTGGGTAAGAATGATGATATGTACAGTATAAATTGATTCCTTATATCTGTGGTACATGCTAGAATCGATTTGACCTAAATCTGAGCCGTGACATACGATACACTGACACTTTGTTGGGGGATTAAAACATGAACATAGTTAACAACAATCAAGAACTAAAAGACCTACGGGTAAAGAAAAACCAACGGCTGCCAGGCAGGATACGCCCACATTTTCGAGAGATGGATAGAGAACAAGCTAAAAAGAAAGTGATTTTTCCTTCAATCAAGGGCCATAATTCAGGAAATTACAATTCGATATGCGCGAATATCGAAAGGAACCGAGATCTTTGGATTATAAACTTACATTTCAAGTTTCAACAAAATCGGATAAAAATTGTGACCTCTATAGGGTCCACAACCTTGATATACCATATTTTTACGCTATTTGAGAACGAACGGCGGCCATTTTGTCGGTCAATTTTGGGTCGCTTTTCACGAAATTCGAACTCAGTCGTTCTTAGGGTGCAACGGTGATATAATAATACGGTTTTTTTAAATCGGATAAAAATTTAGGACCTCTATAGGGTCTACAAGCTAAAAACGCGATTTTTCGTACAATCAGGGGCCATAATTCAGGAAGTTACGGTCCGTTATGTGTAAATATCGAAAGGAACTTAGATCTTTGGGTTATAAACTTACATTTCAAATTTCAACAAAATTGGATAAAAATTGTAACCTCTATACAGTGTTCACAAGCTAAAAATGTGATTTTTCGTACAATCAGGAGCCATAATCCATGAAGTTACAGTCCGATACATGCCAATATCGAAAGGAACCGAGATCTTAGGGTGATAAACCTATATTTCAAGTTTCATTGAAATCGGATACAAATTGTGACCTGTAGACTGTTCACAAACAATTGTGGACGGACGGACAGGGGCGACGACAATATACGTCCACATGAAAATGTGGGCCTATAACAAGTATCAAAAGGAACTGATACTGATAGGCCTGCCCGCCAAGTTCCATTGATTCAGTGGGGAAGGTACACGGAAATGTATATATACACCTCCGTGAGAAGGAGTAGCAATTAAGAGTAAACATAGATAGCCCCAAGAACAAGATAGGGATCAAGATTTAGACCCAGGCCGTAGTCCCCGAGTAAAACATCTACTTTAAGTCTGATCAAGGGGGTTATTGGTAGGATGAGCACCCGTCCCCAATTTCGCGGGACAGTCCCGCAAAATGCTTCCAAGTCCCGAAAACGATTGCTCACATGGAAGATTTCTATACAGTAATATGCGTGATCTAGTCTCGCGATAGTCTATTTCAATTTGAGTATTACATTACTGTTTTTCAAAGATACGTACGATTAGGCCTATATTTAGACCTACTAAACTTATTCTACGACTAATATTTCTGTTTCTCAAACATTCTATACATCCAACACGATTCGCAAGTTTACTGTGTCATGGCACTCGTAACATTTATAATGAATTCCTGAGAGGAAAATCCCTTCTTTAATATTTACGTGAAAACTTACAACTTGCGTGTGGTTTCGAGAATAGACCCGATTTACGTTGTTATGCATTCATGGGGAAATCACTACAAAATCAGAGTATTTCAATACTATATTTCTTGTCTCAGATTGCTGGGAATGGCGTTTCCAGGCTTTTAATGTCAAATTTACACTGAACAAATAAAGAAACTGGATTATACATTGTCTTAGTTTAGAAATTACACAAATAGAAGTTAGAAAATAGACGATAGCACGACAGGGTTCGAGAGAGAGAGAGAGAGAGAGAGAGAGAAATGGGGTTTAACGTCCACTCGACACAAACTAGCCACAGGGTTCGTGGTAACGGTTACTTTATTGGCATTGAGTATGCCACAGCTAAAAACGTTCCCGTCGCCCTTGTTGCAATTTCCGATTGTTTTAATTGTTTCTAAATTCATTAGGCGAAAAAAATAAAATAAAACAAAGACAGATTAATTGATTCTGAATATTATGGAAATATTAATCCATCTGAAATCTAATCTAACAGCCATCAGACCCGGATTAAGCTTGCACGGGCCCCTTGCATGAACATTGAAAAACGGGCATATTCCGGTATGGGATCTGTTTGGAACAAGGGAAGGGCAGCAGGAGAAGAGGGCACAAAAGTTGTCACGAGGATTTAATTCAGATAATTATTTCGAAATTCGAGGTCAGCTTTTTTTTTTTTTTTTTTTTTTTTTGAAATGAAGGCACTGTTTCGGAAGGGAGGGCATATAGCCTCACACCCTCCCCTGGTAAGAAATCTCATTGGATTCAAGAGTTATCTAAGAGTATCTAAAATTTTCTGTTTCTTTTGTTTTTACATTTATGAGGGCAGGGTAAACAACCCAGCACTGCCCTGATAAGGCCCGTGGATGATATTTATCTTGAGGCAGTCGATCAACATTTTCACAAGTCAGAAAGCTTTAAATAAACTTTTTTTTTTTTTTTAATATTTTGCATGTTCATTGCCCAATATTTAGTGGTGTGGTACTATGCGGGATATTTTTGTATACGATATGAAATGAAATGGGGTTTTATGTCCTACTGTTCTGCTTTGACTGGACTAATAAGACGGGGTCATTTTTGTTTCCAAGGAGTGGTTATTAATCAATATACAACTGGCGGTAGTTTTTTCTTTGATGTTCATAGTAGTTATATCTTATAACAACCTCTCACGACGTCATCATAGGTTTATATATTCGGTTCATATCAACCGCTGATGACGTCATGACAGGTTGATATTTCATATCAACCGCTAATGACGTCATCTCAGGACACAGGAAAGTGTTCTAAATCTAATCTAAGGCGATATATTTTGCAAAATTTGCTGGGGTCCTTCAGAATGAGTCCCAGTAGGCGGTTATTTTCCTCATGCCATGTGTGCTATGAGGGAGATTTTGCCTGAACAAAGGCACTACGGCCTACTATTTCAAATTCCAACTGTTGGGTTCTTTTACGTGCATGCACCACTAACAAAGGGGAACCCCGGAACCAGACCAGAAAATCAAGATTACCTTTCTCGGCCAACACTGGGATTGAACACTTGACCTCCTAGTTAGCTTTAATATTTTTATCAAAAAGAGCATATTATAGAACAGTCTTGATTTTTGATTCAAAGGGAAAAATCTAGCAGCTACTAGATATTGTGATATAGTACGCAATTCATTTCGGACATCAAATAGATTATTGCTGTCGGGTGTGGCTGTCAGGTGACATCAGATTTTAAGAAAATAATAATTATGACAATTGAGCATATTTTGAGAGAAAAAAAAAATCTGTCTTAGTTTTATGGTTAAAAACGTTCCAAAGTCTTAACCAATCAAATTGTTTCTTAGCTTTAATTAGCCTTAGGCGAAAATGCTCAATCATTGATTCACGTAATAAACTCCTGGACCAAGTTTGAACATTACTCCGTTAAAAGGAACATTATTGTGTTCCAAAGCCTCAACCAATCAAATTAAAGTCTCTACTTGGCCTATGCAGAAAAGGCTCATCACAGAACTTGGTCAAGACATCTACACCAAGTTTGAACATTCTATCTCGATTAGACGAAGAGTTATTGTGTCCCACTGAAGTTGCTTAGCACAAACTGAAATTGCTCATCATCGAACTCCGTCATGGCATTAACCTAATAAACACCCACACCAAGTTTAAACATTCTATCTCAATTAGAGATTTAGAAGTATAGTTATTGTGTCCCAAAAAGTGTGATGGGTGGAAAAATCCTTCCGAAGGCAGGGAGTAATTATTGTGGGAATTGATGACACATATTTTAATCATAATTACATCATGTAACAGACACATTTGGTCTATGTGCATGTGGCTTAAGGCCCGTTCTCACGGTGCGTCTTGTAGTATCTACATGTAGTATCTACATGTAGATTACAAAATCGTATATAAATGAGTTGATACGACTTGGAATCTCGCGATAATCTAGTCTTGTTTAGCATAATGGCGTCATCAAGCGACGAAGAGACGCTGGCTATTATTGCCCTACATCGCTCGGCCGCAGCTCTCCTGCATCTGAATGGCGATCATCGCCAATGCAGCCTGCCACACGTCTCTCTTGGAATAAGTCTCATTACTCACATCCCATAAGCAAGGTTGTGAGAGGTAATAATTGACAAAATTCTCTGTCTCAGCTTTGCTGAGCGGCTCTTGATGGGTGCGCTTCGCGTACAAGTTTACCAACAACAAAGGGAGAGAACTTGTGTTTGTACTAATACTCGACGTCTCTGATTGGTCAATTTAATACGATCTGTTGACTGAAATAGGGAAGTTTCTATTTCACTCAACTCGCTTTCAACTGGTTGGGAGCTTGTAAAAGTTGGTATGACTAGGGTGTTCTCACGCTGCATCTCGGGTCGATACTACAAGTAGTTACTACAAGTCGCACCGTGAGAATGGGCCTTTAGCAGTAGGTATCCTGAAAATATTTATTGGTACCATAGCAGGTGTTTATGAGTGATGCCTAGAGACACATGTCGTCGGTGAAGTGTTAAAAGGGTGTATCTCGTGAAATTTGTCAAATACACTTTTTTGCATTTTTAAAATCTCCCAATTAATATGAACATTTCTGTCTAAGCTGTATATCTGTAAGCCAATTAGAACTGTTCTGGGTATCATGTGTCCAAATGTTGTATCTTGATTTGTGGAAATTTTGTAATGCAAAAGGTTCTATTTCTTAATCTTTAGAAATTCTTATATACACCCTTTTGACACTTCACCGACAATGTACATCAATGTCGAAAGCGTAAAGTTTTTAAGTGCTACAATGGTCTTTCTTCTTACAAATCATTCCACATTGAGGAAAAAAGATTGCCATGGGGTCAGTTTGGTCTTTCTAAATTCAGTAAATGACATATACTATTGCACTTTTGGTGCACTTCCTTCCAAAACTTCTCCATTCCCCTTTCTTTATGATCACAGCTACTAAATTTCTTGAAATTACAGGATGTATGAAACTGTGGATCTGTCAGATATATAATGCCACTATTATCGACGGGCAACCAACCTTGTATATCAACTATCATTAATGCCCCTTTCGACTTCACATATGAAAAGTGAGAAAGAGCTGTGGCTAGATCCTTGGATTCAAAATCCACATCTGTATTATTAACATAACTCCAATTATTGGTTAACTTTGTGAATTGACCATGTAAAAATGGCTCAACATTAACCCAGTCTTTGAGAACTCCTTCGGCAGTCAGAAGTTGAAGATGTGCTACAGGCAGAAATTGTACACTGAATTTAGTACTGTGGTTAGCTAAGGCTTCATTGAATTTGGTGACGTAATATCCAGCTACCATTTGACAAATGATATCTTGCATATAACAGATAGTATCTTTTTGACGTCTATATCTTTTACAAACATATCTAATATTGAAGAAAAAAAATAAAAATGTAATATTAGTAATAAACTTGTAACCAGTGGAAATGGGCTCCTGGAAAAAAAACAGGGTTGGTGCGGGACTTATCGTCAATCGGTTAACTCTTAAAATTGCTATCCTGGTATCCAATATCTAAAACAATATGCCATCTAATAAAATGCTTAATTTATAAGTTAGTAAAGACAACATGAATGAAAATTCACATGAATGCACATTTTTAATTGATGATTGTAAATCTCGTTTGGGACATACACTTGTAAATTTGAATGTAACATCAGATCACCAGGATAACACATTGGAATGATGTTTCTATAATCGCATAAATGCACAAGGGATCATGTGGTATATGCGATGGTTTTTACCATTACCATTGTTTTAATTCAAGGGGGCATGTGTACCCTAAGGTTTTGATGCTATCATACTAAAATCACATTTCAAACATCGTGTTCTGAATCGCAAGGCTGGAAATGTGTGCTAGGCGGCCATACATTAGACCAACTCTGAATCAGCATCATTAATGATTTTTAGATATTACACAGTAAAGTAAAATTGTTATACCAAAAATTACATTTCAGCTGCATTATGTCTCGCCAATACTCTCAGTCTAATCAGTTGTGCGTTTTTGATGCGTCACAGTATATTTACCTTCCTAGGGGTTCATCTTGGTGCAAGAATTTAACCTCAAACACATCACGAAAACTGCCTTTCTTCTCTAGCTGTAATTCTTCTCCAATGAAAGCCAATGTGCTGTTTGATTGCCATTTATTATTAACAGGGTTATATGTTAATATGTGAGCCCCTTAAAGAAACAAAACAAGTACTACCTTTTACAGTAAATATTAGAAGCCTGGCACCATAATCATTTTAGAATAAATGTCAGGGCCAGCGGAAACAATTCTTGATTGGGGGAGGGGGGGCTCTCCCATCCTAGGACTTTAGGTTAGGGTCCAGGGGCCGTCTAGGTCCTGGAAGCTCCTGGGGATCTAGATCGTCAGAATCGCTTTCTGAACGATTTCTGGCTAATAAAATAACTCAGCAATGAAGTGAAATTTTATTTCTTTTCTAAATCCCTTACCATGAAAACAGTTGATGGTGGTTTCTTTTGATGTATTTAAAAACAGAATTGACCTCATCCTTTGATAATAATTAAAAATACATTATGCAAGATTAGACAAAGAGTTGACAGTTCTCGCTATAATAGTTAAAGATAGGTTGCCAGGCAACGAAACATACGCGCACAGCAGCTATATCTTCCGGGCAGTCAACAAAAGTTGTCGCATATTTTTACTTTTTTCGGTAATGAAACATTTATAATACATTAAAATCTGATTAAGAGTAACAACTCATTAAGTAATTATCAGAAAACCATTAGAATTTGTTTGGTTTTTATAAAGTTCTGCCCCATGCTAATGTTTAGTATACGAAACTTTTAACATCCTGGAATTAGCTGTTCAAGTCATAAAAATTCATTGAAAAACAATATACTTCTTCATCTCATGACCTTAAACACTGTGTATAAATTTAAACTCAATCGGATATTAACTTTAGCCTCTAGAGCGTCCACAAGATATTTCACAGTGATCAAGGGCCATAACTCTAGCAAAAATTATTGGAAATCGCTGAAAATCAATAGGCTTCTTCGTATCATGACCTTAAACACTGTGTATAAATTTAAAGTCAATTGGATATTAACTTTAGCCTCTAGAGCGCCCACAAGATTTTTCAAAGTGATCAAGGGCCATAAATCTGGCAAAAAGTATCGGAAATCGCTGAAAATCAATAGGATTCTTCTTCTCATGGCCTTAAACACTGTGTATCAATTTAAAGTCAATCGGATATTAACTTTAGCCTCTAGAGCATCCACAAGAAGATTTTTCAAAGCGATCAAGGGCCATAACTCTGGCATTAATTATCGGAAATCGCTTAAAATCATTAGGATTCTTTGTCTCATAACCTTAAACACTGTGTATCAATTTAAAGTCAATCAGATATTAACTTTAGCCTCTAGAGCGTCCACAATTGCTTGTGGATGCCGGACAGACGGTTGGACGGACGGTTGGACGGACGGGGGCGACAACAATATACGTCCACATTTCAATGTGGGCGTAAAAAAACTAGATAACGTAAATAGAAGATGTTGAAGATTTCAGTCAAATTGCTCCTCTATGAACCGAGATATTAGCTTTTGAATTTTAAGTCTAGCCTCGATCGTCGTTACTAAATTCGGTACGATAAAAAACCTAGTCTTGATTATCCAGTTTTGAATTTAATCATCAATGAGCGTTGAGCAGCAGACCGGATGCAAATCCAGTGAAAATCAGACACATAAGATGACATCGAGAGTTGATTATGGTGCGGTGATCTGAAGCTTATGTTCATAGCCCAATCCACGTCCTCAGTTTAAACGACTTAGTTTTCTAATTGTTTTCCGTTAGTAATTATTTAATTTAATTGTCCATTTTTAATAACTATGTTATTATAATTATATAGCCATTATTTTCATTCATATTTATGTTGTAATGTATTTTCGTAAATCCGTCGTTACACGCGCTGTCGTTGGCTCGTTGTCTATTGGGTGCACGACGCACGTGCTTATGATTGGCAGAAATCGTAGGTGTGACTTGTACCACGTGGTTACGTCGTGTGATCTTGGTTATATAATACCATGTCTTGCCCAGTTTAGTGAATTGTTTTAGCAGAGGTAAAACAGAGATCATTTCTCTAGTTGATTTCACTGGCGAGTTTGACCCTGACTTATAGGGAGCGATACAGAGAGCCCTTTTAGGAGCGTTAACATTAGAGATCTGAGGAGAGAGCCATTTTGAGAGTGCGATTCGAGCCCCGAATACATAGAGTACAATAAAGAGAGTTGCTGATTAATCTGGTGTTAGTCCTGAGCCAGCTGCTTGATTGACATCTTCAATAGAAGACTTGATCTCGCTTTAACAACGTACATCTTATCAAGGCCTTCACATAATACCCTGCATATTGCGGCACTAATTTCGATTGGGTACAAGCCCAACTTGTGAGCCTATCAGATTCCTCGATCGTCGCGAATACCAAGTCTTGCGCTCTCAAGCTAAAATGTCTACCTGTGATAATCGAGTTGCAAAGTTCAAGGTTCATTCAATGTCAAGGTTTCCATGGAGGTCGCGATATCACAAACTCTGATTGGACGCTACTGCTCACGTGTCTGTAGATAACATAGCTATAAGTTCGGGAATTGTGAAGTAAACAAGCAACGGCCAGATGTTGTGAAACTCGCAGTCGTTGCTTCAGGAAAATGCGTGATTGGCTACTCCCACACCTCTGTAGTGAACCCTCAACGAAACTAATGGATAGAGTCGGGCCCACTCCACCACAGTAATCCGCTCTGTCCAGAGACCCAGTTAACTACAGTGGTTTGGATAAGTTAATTAATGTCTAATTAATAGTTTACATAACATTTCAGGCCTAAAGAAAGACCTGCAATAGGCAGATTTAGCTCTTGCATAATGTATGTTTAAATATGTTCAAAGTCAGAATTTAGGCCATTTGGTGGCTCTTTCTGAAAGATTTTCCTAATCACTTTTAAGATAAAAAAAGGCCTTTTCCAGTTATGTCATTGTATCTACCCGAATGGTTACCTGTATGCAATAACCTGGAGAAGGGAGTACTTGTGGTCAAATCATTGGGGAGGGGTGGGGTCTAAAATTACCCTTTAAAACATATGTATTCTAGTTGCCATTTTTTTTGTCATTTTAAATGCAAGAAATGGTTAAACTCAGAAACAATGTGATAAAAACATGGTGCCACATGCGCCTACTTCAAAATTTGAAGTATAAATCTTAAATTTTAAACAACATTAAAGGTAACCTTAAAGATGCATTGTGTAAGACTTTTGGTATGTTGATAAACAACTACCCTGGATACAAAAACAGGTGAATCCAGCTTTCTGCAAATATATCTCAGGTCCCAATCCAGATTTACTGGGTAATATTGCTATATAAATTATTAATTAGACATTCATTCACATGACAACCCCATAATCAACTTGCTAGAACATCGGATGGCCGTGATTTTTAAAGGATTGAAATAGGCACACCATTTAATAATTCAATTTAAAAATGGATAATCAAGTAAACGTCAACACTAATAACTTCGTTCAGAATAAATTAATTTGACTGAAATTTTCAATATTCCTTTTTCATTATCTATTTTTAAACTATTACAGCGAAAAATGTTAGCTCTTTATCGAAATCTTACATAATGCATCTTTTCGCAAACCATACAGGTGAGAAAATAAAGACACGTACTTGATACATAAGATGATTGACTTGATTCTTCTATGGTTGGTAGTTTCCAGTTTAATAGATATTCTATAGAACTTGAAGTGGAAGCAGAACTCTCTCCAATTTGTAGCTCTGCAAACTGTTCATGTACTTCTGGTGTGTTTACATCTATTAATGCTCCTATCTTATCCTCGTGGGTATCATCACTTTCTGTTGTTTCTTGCGAAAACAAACTTGTTGTGGATGCTGAGAAAATAGATGAAGAATTATCTGAAGCTGATAAATCTGACGAACTTCCAAATGTAGCAGGATCAACAAGGGAGGTTGAACATGCTGCTGAACGATTTACCGACTGCATTTCAGCTTCTTCTGGTGGATCTTTTTGATTTTCGACAATACTAAAATTTTCTACACTTGGTTGGTCATTTTCGCTTCCTCGTGACACAGCTTCCCATGAAATATCTACAAGGCTTGATAAAACCTGCTCATTTATGTTGTTGTCAGAATCATCATTTCTACTTTTTGATTCCTCTGAAGAATAAAATGTTTGTGGATTCACATTAAGGCCAACATATTTCCTAGGAAACTTTGGTTGAAATAATTTGATACCATGCTTTCCATTACAAGGAACCGTTGAGGAAGTCAGTTTTGATGATGAATTTGCCTTTGGCAGTATTTCCCCTTGTGATGGTTCTGTTTTAGATGGTTGAATTTGAGATGAATCCGGAATGAGAAACTTATGTTTCTTTGCCGATAAATCTGGAAGTAGCTTTTCCTTTTTAATGAAACTTTCTGTACCTTTCAGATTGGGAAGACCAAGAATTTTTAAAACACCATTCATTAATTTTATGGAATATTCATTGTGATCAAGGTTACGATCATCTGGACAAGAACACAAGTGAGCATATAATTCTATGCTAAGATGTTCAAGGTATTGAGATAAACATCTATCTTGTGGAAGCCTTGAGAATGACAGAACTTGACTTATCACAAATACACATTTGTTGAATGCATAGAAACTCTCCACTCCTTTTAGTAAATTGGCATCATGGTGGAGGGCCAAGCATATTTTCAAGTTAGCTATAATTGTATGAAATAAGTCATGCTGCTGAAGTACAGTCTTCTGTTGGTTAGCAAACATCAATAAACACTCATTTCCAGCTAACTGAAATTAAAATCATCAATCTAGTAATATTAGGTGGATGTGATATAGCAATTACGTGTTTTATGTATCCAAATGCATCATAGGGTTACTATTCTGTTTTCAAGAACTTGCAAATTGTGTTCCATGAAAAAGAAGATAGGTTGCCAGGCAACGAAATATATGCCCACCCCATTTCATTTGTTGGTAATGAAACATTTATAATACACTAATATATTATTAAGAGTAACAACTCATTAAGTAATTATCCAAAAATCATTAGAATTTCTTTGGTCTCTAGTTCTATCCCATGCTAACATTTAGTATACCAATCATTTAATATCATGGATTCAGTTGTTCAAGTTATGAATAACCGGTTGCCATGAAAGATACGCCCACATTTTGCAAGAGATGGACTGAAAACAAGCTAAAAATGCAATTATTCATACAATTAGAGGACATAATCAAGGAGAGAATCGAAATCTCTGGAATATAAACATATATTTTCAGTTTCATCAAAATCAGATAAATATTTTGATTCTAGAGTGTACACAACCTTGTTATTACATACTTTTACACTATTTCTGTACAAGGAGCGGCCATTTTGTCAGCCAGGTAAGGTGTGATTTTCACAAAATTCAAACTCAACTGTCATTACGGTGTAACAGTGATATAGTTTAACGATTTTTTAATTGGATAAAAATTGTGACCTAATATATTTTTACGTTTTTTAAAATCGGATAAAACTTGTGACCTCTAGAGAGTCCACAGACTAAAACCTGGATTTTTTTGTACAATCAGGGGCCATAATCCAGGTAGTTATGATCCTATATGCACGAATATCGAAAGGAACCCAGATCTTTGGGATATAAACATATATTTTAAGTTCATCAAAATCGGACAAAATTTATGAAATTCGAACTCGATCATTATCAGGGTATAACAGTGATATATTGAAATGATATTTAAAATCGGATCAAAATTGTGACATCTGAGGGTCCACAACCTTGATATCACATACTTTAACACTATTTGCGTACATAGAGCGGTCTGGCAGTTACGTCCGATTTCCATGAAATTCGATTACAATCATCATAAAGATGTAATGATGGTATATTTGAACAATTTTATATGCCCACATTTTCATATGGACGGATATTGTCGTCGCCCCTGTCTGTCCGTCCGTCCGTCCACAATTTGTTTGTCGACACTCTACAGGTCACAATTTTTTATCCAATTTTAATTAAGTTTATCACTCTTACTTAATTAAAACTAAAGTTATCGTGCCCTAAAGCATCAACCAATCAGATTGCTTATCTCTGCTTACCGTAAGCAGACAATGTTAATCATCAAACTCCATCAAGACATTGACCTAATAAACACCTATACCAAGTTTGAACATTCTAGCTCAATTAGAAAGGGATTTATTGTGTCCCAAAAAAATTAGACCGACAGACAGACGGACGAATCCATCTTAATAGTCCCCTGCTTTCTTCAAAAAGCAGGGGACAATAACTCTGGCAGTAAATATTGGAAATCCTTAAAAATATGTAAGTGTCTTATTCGTCTCATGACCTTAAACACTGTGTATAAATCTAAAGTCAATTGGATATTAACTTTGGTCTCTAGAGCATCCACAAGATATTTTAGATAACTCTGGCAGTAATTATCGGAAATCGGTGAAAAACAATAGGTTTCTTTGTCTCATGACCTTAAACACTGTATAAATTTAAAGTCAATCAGATATTAACTTTTATTTAGCCTCTAGAGCGTCCACAAGCAATTGTGGACACTGGCCGAATGGGGGCGACGACAATATACGACCACATTTCAATGTAGGTGTATAAATATGATTAGGATCAATATCTATCTGCTGCCTGAATTTAGGAAATAGATAAGATTGTCTTCATATTAACAATGTCTTGTAGCTAAATGCAGAAATAATGGAATTTTGATTTTAGAAGTAGAAACTGATGAATAAAGAAATTGCCAAAATCTGTCTTTTCTCAAGTACCAACTTTGGCAAGTCCTCACATCCTTACTATACGTAGGACTAAGACCAAACTCACACAGTTTGTAGATGACCTAGTACTGTTACCACAAAATTAATTTCAGACGATTCTGGCGAACGAGATCTGTACACAGACTGGATATCAAAACCTATCTAAATTCCCTATTTTTCATCACCCAAAGTTTGACGCCCTATAGCTACTTCTTTCATCGGGTGGGTTAAAAAAATTTATGCTCACATGAACAAGCAACCTCCCAACATTTGATACAAAAAATAAAAATGACCGGAATCGACTTGACATAACCTAGGTAAAGGAAACAATAACCCATGAAATTAACCTGTAATTTCCCTATTTTGGAGATAATTAACCGTAGTAGATAAAAAAAAACCCTAACAATTTTGTTTCCTTTTCATTCATATGGTGTTTACTACCAGCCCTAAAACACATTAGTATCTGTTTTATAAAAATGTCATGAAAAAATACTTTAAAAGGCCTGTAATCGTTCATGGTTCATCTGGCGGGAATTGGCTTCCGTAGTTGTCCACGAGCTTCCATTGGAGTTTCGACGTGCTCAATGAAATGATCTTAGCAAAAGATATAGATTACTCTCAAAAAGATATTATTTTAAATAAAATAATCCAAATAAAAATGAAAAATTCACCTAAAAGTGAGATTCGAACCACCAACCGCATGATTGCCCTCGACCCACCCCCTGACCGAGTTGCTTGTCCCAAGGCCCCAAGGTCCATGTCGCAGGCCCTGTTCAGAGGGATGCCTAGGGCCTCTCTTATTTCTAAATCCGGCCCTGAAGGTGTAGCTGACGGCGCCCGAGAGCCGTAGCTACCATGCAACACTGTTTGTCGCCCACTTCGACGCAAGGCTGCGTTGCCGTTAAAATTTAAGCTTCCACATTTCTGTATTGTAGAAATGAGTGGATGTGTCCCAAAATGAATATTGGAAACATGCTCTGAAATTGAACATTTTGTAGCCATTTTCGGTGACCGGTTGGAAAATGAAACTTTAAAGAGACAATACAACAAATATGTTAAAGGGACAATACGACAATACCAAATATACAATAAATACTAATATACACTTATATACAGTACCATATGGTACAAATGGTGGCTATGGATTTGATGAAAACGTATAAAAGTAAAAAAAAAATATTTCTCTTATTAAATTTGCAAAAAAATGTATCACAAAAGCTTATTTTTACAACTTTTCAATAAGCTCTATATTGTAAGAATGTTGCATTCCGGTCATTTTTTTTACACCTATTGATACTATGTGCTTAGCACTTCAAAACCATATGACAAAATTCTACTTGCGACCATGAAAGAAAAAGTTACAGTGTATCTTATTCTGTACTATAGGGACAATGTGGATATGGTACCCTAAAACAAGTCCACAAATAATTAGTATGGACTTATTTTTCTTATTCAAATTAGTGCTAGGGTGGAAGTTGACCACCCGCTTTATCAGACAGGGTCCAAATTAGGAGTTTGCTATTGCACAATAGAATGCAATCTGTGCTCAAAAATGGTGATAAATACACATGTGAAAACCAAAATTTTACCCATAAAATGACTATTTCCAGTACAGTCCTTTATAGCGACATCAGGTTGTAACCACTTCAGCATGTCACTTCTTGCCCCTAGGGGGTGTCATACCATAAGTTTGATCAAAAACTTCCAACCCCCCATCTTAGCACTTTTTGCGATTTTTGCCCAGAACCAGAATTGTTTAAAAGACAAAGGAATGCATGTTAACAAGTTATTGAAAGACAGATACAGAGATAAATTTGTGTGCTTTCCAGACATTAAATACCCATGGAGGGGTTGAAATAGTTATTTATAGACTGATGGCCATCTTATATAATAATACGGTAGTTAGCAATTTTTGATTTAATGATATAATGTTAATCCTGGCCTCTTTGTCCACCTCCAACTATTTACCAAAACCTGGCAGAAATGTTAATTCAAACCCTCTTCGTCCTTTCTAGACCAAAAAATCAACAAAAACGGGCATGCAAAAGCAATTATATTCCTATAATGTTATAAATAGACAAACTACAAGTTGTGGGTACCGAGATGGTGAAATTTAATGGTGGTCTGCCTCCAAAAACCACATACATGAGTTATCTCCTTTCGGGCAAGTGAGCGTGACTGATTTGGGGAAAAATCAGCAAGGCTTCTTAAATTCAACTAAATTGTTATTTTGTGTTTTGAACGTCAACATTTTGGAGTTATTGGGTGTTATTTTGGAGTTATTGGGCAGTTATTGGGTGTTATTGGGTAATTCGATGCCCCAAACTGAATAGTCTCCTCCCTGTTCTAACTATTTTGTAGTGTTAAAATAAAATAAATACCTGATGTTTTGCTGAAAACAAATTGTCAACATTATTCAGCTTATTGAGAATTTCGACACCTTCCAAACTTAATTTGTAACCTTCAAAACATGGATTATTGGAATTAAAGAACAGTGAATATTTCATTTTCATAGCCATAAAATCTTCCATTGTTAACTTTGCCAAGCATTTAGTTAGTAAGGCTTGCGAAGAGCTGACTCCCTTATAATCTTCAATGGACTTCATGCAAGATGTGGATTCCACCAAATACTCTATCGCTTCCTTCCATAAACCTAGAATCATAAAATATATGCATAGTAATGATTGACTGATTAAAATTTATTGTTATTGTGCACTGTTTGGAGCTTCAGTCAACAATAATTCAACACAAGCACCATTTGTGTGTGGCAAGAACAATAGTATAGCTCCCCCGCCCCAACAAAATATTTCAGAGGTTGGGTCCATGTGTACTTTAGATCGTCAGGCCTGGTATCTATGCAAGTCATAAGCACTACATACATCCTGCTGCCACACAACTCACTCACTCTCTCTCTCTCTCCCTGCATAGCAAAAGTTTGACAATGATTTAACAGTTAGCATGGGTTATTTTGCTGCTACTGGGCTTACATCCTGCTGCCACAAAACCCCTCTCTCTCTCCCCCCCTCTCTCTCTCTGCATGGCAAAAGATTGACAATGATGTAATGATTTAACAGTTAGCATGGGTTATTTTGCTGCTACTGGGCTTATTGGGGCTATGACGAGCCTCTGTTTATGTTTGTGTCATCGTTCCTCTTCTTAATGGTTACATAGTCACAATCCTCCAGTATTTTTCTGGAGAAGACAAGAAAACGCTAGTGTAATCGAGATGATCAAAGTGCTTAAGGATTCAGTGACAGATTCTGGTTTCAGACGAAACAGTGACACAGAGAAAAGGGGCACTGACTACATCATTTTCAAAAATATAGTTTTGCCAACCTACCTAAATTATGGTATATTTGTCCTTTAATTTGAACACACACAGCTTTCACATTAACATACTGTTTTTCAGTCTTGTAATCCCACCTAAATTCTAAAATTATGTATAACAGTAAACTTTATGATGCAAAAAAAGGTTTTAATTTCATAACAGAATGAACAATCAGGATAACATTAAACATCCATAATCTATTAATCAATACTAAAAGAAAAGTTAATTGGCATGCAAAATTTCAGAAGCAATTTAAGATTAGGGGAGGTGGGGAAGGGAGGAAAAATTAATATAGTTTCACTTAAATCTACCTTTTTTGATCAGTCCATTAAGAATTTGCATAGCACCATGTAAATCTCCTGAGTCTTTCATTAAACGTGCTTTACGTAATATTACTTGTGGTGCAGTGTGTGTATCAGGTTGAAGCTGCAGGATCAAATCAACCATTTTCATAATTTGGTTACAGTTTCCATATCTGTAAGCAGCTCGATCTACTAGAAATATAATTGCTGATGCTATTTCAAAGCAGTCCCATTCTAATGCAAACACCAAAATACTCTGAAAAAATGCCCAGAGGGATTTGTTTATAACAAAAAAAGCATTATACAGTCTCAGCATGCAAATCTTCCGATAATGGCTCTGGTACTCATGTCCTCGTTAATTAAAACAATGGTGCATTCTTGGTGTTCAAGTGTCATTCTGGCATATTGTTACGTCTTCTACGAAACATTCCCATTCTGTCAAATTCAATATTTTGTTTTTACGAGATCATTTTCATGTGTTGTTGTTCCCGAATGTGATGTTGTTATATTCAGAATTGCAAATTTAAAGTGTGGCCTATCTCGCAAAAGAGATTTACAGATACATTTATAAAAGTTGTGCATTTTCATTGTGTCTCAGTATACTATTAAAGATACATTATGTAAGATTTAGATAAAGAACTAGCCATTCTTGCTATAATAGTCCGAAAGTAGATGATGTAAAATGAATAATTTGAAAATTTCATTCAAATTACTCTATTGCAAGCAAAGATATTAGCCTTTGAAGGTTTGACAGACGTGTGCAATAATTTCAACCACCGTACTGGTTGATCGAAGCTAAGTCTCGATCCTCCATATTTGATTAAATCAAAGTATCGCTGAACCATTCTAATCTATTTAATATCGGAGAAATCTGATGCCATCGAGAGTTGATTAAGGCCTGGATCAGTTAGTTAATGTCTAATTAATACTTTAGAAAACATTTCAGGCCTAAAGAAAGACCTGCAATAGGCAGATTTAGCTCTTGCATAATGCATGTTTAATTAAATGTATGGATCAATACATGTATTATCATTTTGGATTAAGTATATTATTAGCATATGGGTTTTATTTACTATAAATTAGGATACTTACATATAGAATAGTTAGGTGATCATGATTTTTGAGGTGTCTGTTCTTAACAACAAAATGTTCAGAAAGAATATTATTGGACATAAAACATAACTCTTGTGCCAGTGCTGCACGAAGTTGGTCCCTCATATTAGATGGCATCATCAGGTCCAACCATGACTGTATAGTTTCCTCGTTGCTTTCCTTCCTTGGACAAACAGAATAAAGCTCATCTACAAAAATATATCAAAAGTTCTATATGTAAAATGCAATGTAAATTCTATGATCCAAACAAACTTGGAAATACATCAAAAAATATTACACTCCACTGTAAGGATTTTTATTTTGAATAACAACCTGGAGAGTGGTTGCTAGTACCTACCTTTACTGATGACATTTAAGGAAGCAGTACATTGCTTCAAAACCTCCACCTTATCCATGCTATCCTAAAGATATCAAGTTGGATATAATATTGTTATCTGTTAATCTGTAAAAAAGTAAACATACAATTATAAGTTATATAGCATGGCTTTCATGAATTAACAGGTTTGAACATTTATTTATTAACTTACTTAGGTTATATCATATATTGTTGGTATCCGCCAGAAAGTGTGCACCAATGATCACCTGTCAACCGAGGTACTCATAAGATTTTATGAAGTAGTAGTGAAGCAGATAGCTCTGTATGCCTTGATGTATGGGGATCTCAAATTGTACATAGCAGGAATGCAAATTTACACAGATGGAATTATGTGGAGCATAATAAAACAAGCAAACAGTGAGGCTGATGTCCTCCGCCGAAAGCCCAAAATAAATAGATGACACATATTAAGTAATCGCACATTTATTTTTTTCAAAAGTATCAAGCAATCAAACTGATTATCAACTATACACTAAGTTTCATCACTCTCTATCAGATAGAATCAAAGTTATCTTGTCCAAAAGCATCGACCAATGAAATTGCTTAGCTCTGCTTAGCTTTAGTGGGAAATGTTAATCATAGAACTCAGTCAAGACATTCACCTAATGAATATCTACATCAAGTTTAAACATTCTACCTCAATTAAAAGCACAGTTGTTATGTTCCAAAGTCTTGACCAATCAAATTGCTTATTGCTCCTGAGCCTAAGCAGAAAATTCTCATCATGGAACTTAATCAAGGTAATGATATAATGAATCTATACTCAGAGTTTAGTCAAGGTATTGATGTAATGAAACTATACACCAAGTTTCATCACTCTCACTTAATTAGAACTAAAGTTATCATGTTCCAAAGCATCAACCAATTAAATTGCGTATCTCTGCTTACCCTAAGTAGAAAATTATCATCTTCGAACTCCATCAGAACTCCATCAAGTCATCGACCTAATAAACACCTACACCAAGTGTGAACATTCTAGCTCAATTAGAAGGAGAGTTATTGTGTTCCAAAAGGTGTGACGGACAGACAGACAAGCGGATGGACCCATTTTAATAGACCCTGCTTTCTTTGAAAGGCGGGGGAAAATAACAATAAAACTTGCAGATTTATTTTACTTCAAATTTTCAAATATAGGATCACTGGCCGAACTAGGTATCTTCCCAATTCATATTGATATTTACCAACGAATGTTGTTATTCTATAAAAGATTAAATATGCCTGACACAAAACGTACAAATCTGTTTCTATCCACAGCTTATGTAGATGTAGAAATAGGCAAATCTAATCCCCAATTATCATAGTCAGCAGCAATATCCTCCCCAATGGACTAGTTCAACTTTTCTCCCTTGTAACTATGGGGCGCCGTTTGTAAAATAATTATTTAATTTTTTTTATAGCAAAAAACATTAGATTTAACTCCGAATATATATATTTAGATAAATATTAGAACAAAAATGGCATATATGTAAATATCAAAAAATATTGTAGCTAAAAGTCGAGTTTTTGGTCTATGAAAAACTTTAAATGTTATATCTTGATTTCACATCGCTTAGTTAAATATATAGCTAAATGTGCTGTTTTTCGTAGGTATAAATGCTAAATACTAAATCACTGAAAAATCTAAAGTTAAATATTTAGCTAAATATATAAACATTTAGCTAACTATATAAACATTTAGCTAAATATATAAACATTTAGCTAAATATATAAACATTTAGCTAAATATATAAACATCTAACTAAATATATAAACATTTAACTAAATATATATATTTAGTTAAATATATAAACATCTAACTAAATATATAAATACCATGCTAAATATATATGTTTAGCTAAATGTATTAATATTTAACTAAATATATATTTGTGGTCCCGCCAATATTTCTATTATTGTAAGCGACACAAAAAACTGCGCATAAAATGATGAAGTGTACCCGACACATGAGCCTTGGCACAATGGGCCTACTAGCAATTAGAAATGGAAGCTGACCACGAACTTGTAACCTGAATCACGGCAGCGGTACTCTAGGCAATGAGGACGTCCTACCTACAGGTGAACTTCAGGGAAAGTTGTACACTACGTCATCGTTTAGTGTGAAGTCACTTACAACAATAATTATTTTACAAACGGCGTGGTACGGTTGCGCTTTGTAAATTTAACTATATGTTTAGCTAAATATATAATTATTTAGCTAAATATATAATTATTAAGTTAAATATATAAATATTTAGCTAAATATATAAATGTTTAACTAAATATATAAATGTTTAACTAAATATTTTAACATTTAACTAAATATATATTTAGCTTAATGTTTAAAAACATTTAACTAAATATTTAGCTAAATATTTATATATCATCAAATCTCTTATTTTGGTCTTAATATTCAATGCTAAATGTTAAATATGAAAATAGAGACAAATCAAGAAATATTTATATATATTATGTTAAATATTGAGTTTTTGTTGTATTTTTAGTTTAAATATTAAAAGTGAAAAATTTGCACAAAAGTCGAGATTTAACTATATATATAAATTTAAATTAAATCTAGTGTTTTTTGCTATATAAAAAGCTAAATAATTAATTTACAAACGGCGCCCCATATGTAACTGTCAAAATCTAACATACAAACAGTCCTAAATATACTATTTATAAAACCGAATATATTTCTGGCAACTCAAAACTTAGAACTTATGGCACTGTAAAACCTTAATAGATTCTCTAGCTAATTATTTGCTTCATGTACACAATAAAAACTTCAAGTCCGCTATGACCCCACAGCGTTTGAGTTTCCATAAATTAGAAATAGAGAGACGCAGGTACAAGAACGTCCCTCCTGATTTGATACTATGTGCACTCTGTTCCCTTTTGAAAGAAGTAACCGAAATTCACTTTTTAATTGAATATCCACACTATCTATCTCTCGGGCTAAATCTTTTTCCTGCTACTTTCAATGATAACAATCTGACCATAATGTTTGAAAATCTATTTAACCCACCCCCTTCATTTTCTAGGAGTGTGTGTCATTATGTATATAAGCCATTTCAACTTAAGACATCAAGCCTAGCCTTACCATACTATAGGTATTAAAAGGCAAAATTCACATTTTCTTTTCATTTTTTAACGGGTAGGCACTATACATTTTGAAATCATGTTTCAGATTTCAGATATATTTTCACTTTTAAAGGAGCTAGATCGCTAATATTTTGGATCTAGAAATTGAGACAAATGGGTCGCAACGTATATAATAATGTTATGTGAATGTATATAAACTGATTTACATTCAATTGTTTCTGTTTTTACTGCAATTTCTAATCAGTTATATTCGGCGAAATACGCCAGAAGTCTCAATCCAATGGCAATCTCTAGCGTCTGGTTATTCTACTCTATATCAATAGTATTTATTGCGCATGCTCTCCAGATAAGAATATGACGTCACCGTTTGACATAACTTGTGGAATATATCTAGCCTCTTTCTACGAGTCCCTTGTTAAAAATGCACCATGGTACACGATTCGTGTACCAACGGTAAAATGTTTATTTTGTCTTAATTATTGGATATCAGAAGCCCACCTTTTCCCGGTAAGATCAAAACATCAATGTTGATTTAAATTGACAAATAATTTGTGTTTTCAATGTCGAAGATTTTGGATGATATTGAGTTAGAGACTTAGCTACTTTAACATGAACTTGTATGTCATGCTTGTATTCTTATTTAGCTATTTATTTTATGTTCTAGGCTACAATATGTCATCTAATCATCTATGTGAATTGTATACGACCTGAAATGGGCGTTGTGATACAATAAAATCTTATCTTATATTACTTAGAACTGTTGCCTACATCCTTCTCACAGGGAAGCAAATTAATATAAACCTCATTGGCTTGTTTGTGTATGATATTCTTTACATACCTTTAAATAGTTTCTAGGCCCTACATCACTTTCGAATTATAAATACTGTTTAAAACAAATGAAATAACGAAACGAAATCGGAACGAAAGGACAGACGGACGGAGTCCAGTTCTATACCCTTCTCCACATACCTTTCTTCGGCGAGAAATTAAAATAAAAATAAATACAGAAATATAAATGAAGGTGTTTGTAATATTTCCTACCTTTCTCGCTGAAAGTAGTGAACTACGACCGTTACTAAAAATAGTTGTTGGTTTTCCACAAGTTATTTGTCATTGTCAATCTCGTTCAACCAGAATCTGATTGCTTCGTTGTGCACGATCCGGTATAAAGTTCAGTGGCTATATCCAAAAACAAATCGGTCAGAAAGAATATTCGGCCGTCCTGCATAGATAAGAAATGGTAGATATTTTGTTTCAGAGCAGCTAAGTCTCTAACTATAATATCGTCCAAAATCTTCAACATTGAAAACACGATTTATTTGTCAAATTAAATCAACATTCATGTTAATGTGATCTTACCGGAAAAATATGGGCTTCTGATATCCAATATTTAAGACAAGATAAACATTTTACCATTGGTACACGAATCGTGTATCATAATGCGCTTCAGCCCCAGTTGTATCAAGAGACTCGAGGGACGAGGCTAGACACATTGCACCAAACCAAACGGCGTATGTAGACTGGAATAACCAGACGCTAGAAATTTGCACTCGCTTGAGACTGCTGGCTTATTTCGCCGAACATAACTGATTTGAAATTGGAGTAAAAACGGAAACCATTGAATGTAAATCAGTTTATATACATTCATAATACAGTATTATATGCGTTGCGACCCACTTTTGTCAATTTCTAGGTCCCAAATGTATAGCGATTTAGCTCCTTTAAATACCACTCACATCATTCATTTGACCACTGCAGAAATGCCTACTGTACACTGTATAGAATCTTCGTAGTTTCAGCATTTTTGTCAGGCTTCAGCTGAGGGCGGGGGGGTAGCAAAATATAAGATCCCCTACCCCGCGTCTTATTTTAGCACGTGGCTTTCGGTTTTTGGCGGGAAAACGAAGATATAACATGACAGTGTCAAATACGTACATAAGCTCAATCGATAGGGCTTATCAATAAAATGAAATGGGGTTTAACCATAGAACTGTTATTTACGATCCATGGTTTAACGTCCTCCTCCGACTGGGCTAAAGAAGATGGCTAATCAGTAAAAAAAATGTACCCCCCGTGGTGGTGGTGGTGGTGATTATTTGGACATAATACGCCTACAGAGGGGCGATTAAATAGTTCTTTATCCGGTGGCTCGATCGTAATAAGGTCAAAATACATGACGTTTGCCCATTTTTTTTCAAGGGAAAACAGAAAAGCTGTTGGTCTATTTCAGGTTTTCATTCTGTCAGAAAATTAAATTGAAATACCATTTACTAACAGTTACTTTTTTTTATGATCCTAACTTCTTCATGCACATGTGCAGCCTACTAATTGAAAATTCAAAGTATATGTACTGACCTAACTTTGTCAACAAATTGACTAACAAAAGCATCAAGGGTTGTCCTGGCTCATTTTATAGGCCTCAACTATGATTAAAAGCTCACTGACCAGTTGCCTTCTGATTCCCCATTTAAAATTTATATGTTGCTTATTTTTCTTTGCTTTTCTCCATGTAGAGCTTTCAGGCATTGCTGATTTTGATATAGTATTTCACCTACACTATTGCATTAATTATTTTTTTAAAATTTTTCTACTTTCAATTTCTGGTTTGTTTTTCTTGCTTTCGACAGATTTTCCCCCAGTTTTGCACAAATTTGGGGATATGGGTAGCTTGTTTTCTTCATCTTGAACTACATAGCTTGTTCTGAACTATAATAATTGATCCTCTTTTATAAAATTTGTCAGAATTGTAGAAGATAAAGACTTTATAAACCAGAGTATTTTTTTTTACTTTACATCAGGTTTTGTTTATTTATTCAATTTTTAAAATAAACAAAATTTTACAAACTTAACATGAAAAAGATATCACAAATAATATATTTTAAATAATACAACTCAATAAATAAGAAGAAAATTTAACATTTTTTTAAGGCATTATGTCAGATTAGATAAAGAGTTGAAAGTTTTCGCTATAATAGTTAGAAAACAGATAGCCTAAATAGAATAAAATGCTGAAAATTTCAAATTGCTCCACTCTGAACCGAGATATCATTACTAAAGTCGGTACGATAAAAAAACAAAGTCTTGATTATCCATTTTAACATTTAATCATCCTTCACAAAATGTATTCCATTCTGCTAAATATTGCGGGCTAGCGATGGCATCAAGAGTTGATTATGGTCTGGATAAGTTGATTAATGTCTAATTAATAATTTAGATAATATTTCTGGCCTAAAAAAGACCTGCAATAGGCAGATTTAGCTCTTGCATAACATATAATAATAAATATCACTGTGGGGCAATGATTCCTAATTTTCTAGTTGCTTCTAAAAGTATGTCACACAATACCATTATTATTGAAATGATTTTTACAGTCTATGGTTAAAGAATAAATAGTTCTTATTCCCAGAGGTATGAGCATAATTAGACACAAATATAATTTATATGGAATGAGCGGTGTGCTACCTATAGGAGGAAACCACAGACCTCTTCGTGTTGCATCTCTGATATGGTGTGACAACCATGCGGTTGTAAACAACAGAGAAAATATTTTTAAAATGTTGGAATCAAACAAACATCCAAAAAGGGTAGCGGTACCAGAAACCAGAGGAATTATAGTTGATTTATGAAAAGGTGGTCTTCTTGGTAAATTTATAGCATCCTGCAAAAGTAACAGTAACCAAATATTAGGTTAATGAATAGGCTACATCACATTTTTTTGGCTTTCAGGAGAATTAGTTTCTGTTCTTACAGGTATATTCTGATTAGTGTTCAAATGAAGAGCAACACATATTTTTGTATTGTTGTATATACAAGTAAATATATTTAATGAGTAACAAGTTTTTAAATTAAGATTTGTTTTTCATGAGCTGGTCAGATTGTAAGCTTATATTTTGGCACAAAGAATTTTTTGGATATTAAAAAACAGAAGATCACCTTTATATCAGTTGATTTAGCTTCAATAAAGTGATCCAGATCAACTCCCAAGGCCAGAAAAAAACACAGAAGAAGTGACACTATTTGGTTAACCTTAAGATTAAAATTGATCACAATGGCCCAAGAAAAAAAGCCTACAATTCCATGAGTCATGTTGTCAAATAACGCTCTTGTCCACATCATTTTTCTTTGATTTATTTGTGACGACCTTTCATCTACAATGAAGTAGTGTTCCAAACAATAGTCACCAATTATGCAGGTTAATATTAAACACGTTTCATAAACTAAAAGGCATACATGCGTATGGCCCAAAAATAACATAATTCACTTTCAGCCCTTGTTAGTACCGGTATTTATTTCAGGCTGTTCACGTACCAGCTAAGATTCTACATTCATGGGGGCTAAACTAATCAGTCAGTCAGGGTGTTATTTTAAGATTTCAAATTTACATCTATAGTTTAAGAAAATAATATGATAAGTCAATTTTGGTTGAGTGAGTGGTACATGACTACTCCGTTGGACTGAACTCGCCAACAGACTGTTGAACAGTGCTGCGTCACAAAAACAGTGATTTTCTGAAACAAGTTCAGCGACATTTCTTTACCTTCATGAACTATTACCAGATCTATCGAAACACATAATTTTGTATGTACATGTATTTCTAGAACTCAATCATAGTACGGTAAAAAAAAAGAAGCATATTTTGATTGAGTAACAGTTCATCATAAGTAAATATTGGGTAAATATTGGTACTGTTCCGAGAGGAAAACCATCTGACATCGCGGCGTAGTCGTAATGTGCAAAGCAAGTCCAGAAAGAGTGTATCCGGTTTTATAACCAATCAAAACTACAGCGTTTCTCAGTCACCGGAGACCACACTTTCTGTAAATCGCTGTGTCAGTGAACAAAAACATTATTTCAATTAAATTTTGTTAACAAGCTTTGTATAAATATCAGCATGTTTTTAACAAGATCTGAGTACGATCGTGGTGTCAATACTTTTTCACCGGAAGGAAGATTGTTTCAAGTAGAATATGCCATCGAAGCCATAAAACTTGGTTCAACAGCTATAGGAATCCAATCTTCTGAGGGAACAGTGTTGGCAGTAGAGAAGAGAGTAACCTCTCCACTCATAGAACCATCCAGTATAGAGAAAATAATGGAAGTAGATACACACATAGGCTGTGCTATGAGTGGTTTGATTGCAGATTCTCGAACCTTAATTGATAGAGCTCGAGTTGAGGCCCAAAATCACTGGTTTACTTACAATGAAAGAATGAGCATTGAAAGTGTCACCCAAGCAGTTAGTAATCTCGCCCTAGCTTTTGGAGATGATGATGCTGAACCCGGAGCTATGAGTCGACCATTTGGAGTGGCATTGTTATTTGCTGGTATTGACGAAAAAGGTCCACAATTGTATCATATGGATCCTTCTGGTACGTTCATTCAATATGATGCAAAAGCCATTGGTTCAGGATCAGAGGGAGCACAACAGGCCTTACAGGAAGTGTTTCATAAGTCTATTACCCTGAAAGAAGCTTGTAAATCTGCTCTTACTATTCTAAAACAGGTGATGGAAGAAAAACTAAACTCCACAAATGTTGAATTGGCTACTGTTACACCAGAAAGAAATTTTCACATGTTTTCAAAGGAAGAATTAGAAAATGTAATAAAAGACATTTAGACAAAACAAAGACACATTCTTTTTGAGGATATATTATAAATGTTCACATCGTTATTGTATTTTGATTTAAAAGGGGGATGGTTTAATTACGAATATTAAATATGTACAGTGTGTAAAATCATTATAACTTACACATGACTCAAAAACATTTTAGGATATATCAAGTCTATAAAGAGTGAATTTGTTCCCTTGTTGGGATGTGATCATTGTTTATTTTATTGTTTATTATGTAAATTATCATACTTCATAATAAAATTTGACCCCCAAAGTGAATTAAAATGAAATTGTTGATTTTTCATTGATTATTTGTATATCCTGGGATGTATTATCAGAATCAAATATTGCCACCCATTTTGTTATCTCAATCTCAGTTTTAAAAAATCTAAATGTAATCCCGGGGAAGTATAAACATGGAATTTATATAGTTCTGTTCTTGATACTTGAGCTTAATCCCAAGGAAACACCTATAAGTTTGAAGGTATATATTTTGATGAATAGTTTGGACGAAATGTTGTTTTAATTCTGATTTTGAGATTCCCTCTTCTTTCATGTTTGAATTCTATAAAGACAAGCTGTTATAAAACTAATTCCACATTGAATATTCACAATTTTCTTCCTTGTCTTGTCCAGTTCATTGTCAACGACTGAGCATTAACTTATCCAAAATATTAATATAGGTTATGCAATTTTTGTGTAGGCCTATAAAGTATGGCAATTTTGGTATATATGGAAAGTAGAAATATCCAATCTTACTAGAAAAATACTGGATTCCCTGGAAAACACTCATTTAGTGTATACAGGACAAAAATGTACGGATTTCCCTACTCGACAACCCGATGATTAGGATTGTCTGCATGCGTGACGTCGAAGGTTGAGCGCTTGATGTACATGTTGATAAACTTTATGAAGAGTTAGACGTACAACACGAATAGTGATCACGCTTCAAGTTTGATTTGTAATTAATAATGCCTTAAAATGACCAATTTAATTACATTGGAAGGTGTATAATGATCAAATAAAGTCTTGTTGGCAATAAAAATGACAGGAAATGTTAGAACTAGTTAGTATTGTGAGATGATAGCAGAAGAATTGTCTTGAACGCGTGAAAACAACATGGCAGGTGAGAAACCTTTCAAATACTGTAATATATAGTCAAGCAGTGGTAAGAAGTTTTATATTAATCCCTTCACGTGCCTGTGGTGACATTCTAATTGATTTCAGCATTAGGGATAGACTATATTTTCTGAGAAGATGAAATTGACCAGTTATTTGTTAAATGACAACTTGATAATATGTTGTTGACAAAAAAAATGCAATAAAGATACTCAATTATTTCAGGCTACCTTTGACATTTTATAGTTACACAAGTTGAAGTACATCTAAGTCACTGACAAAAATAATTGGTGGTCTGAATTAATTGCATTGAAAGTGGGTTATCTCCCATACACCAGTTGGTTTCCGGAAATCGAAGTCAATGTCAACATTGAGTAAAAATATTTGGTTTCTGTTTTTGACGTTGGAAAGGTGAGAGACTCGGAAACTTTATGACTTTATATATAAATACACACCTTATGTGATTAGTAAGGATTAGGGTAATTAGGTTTATTTTGATGGGGAAAAAAGTATCCGATGGATGTGTGGGGGGGGGGGGGGCGGATATAACTATAATACAAGTTAAAAAGGAGCTATATACTATATAGGCATAGTAATAGTAATAGTATAGTAAGATCTCGGAAACTTTATGACTTTATATATAAATACACACCTGATGTGATTAGTAAGGATTAGGGTAATAAGGTTTATTTTTATGGGGAAAAAAAGTATCCGATTGAGGTGTGTGTGTGGGGGGGGGGGGGGTGAGGATAAGTTAAAGGAGCTATATAGGCCTAATAATAGTAATAGTATAGTTAGATCTAATACCTCAATAAATGATATTTTCCATAATATTCAAAATAAAAAATGTGAATTAGTATTGGTCCGTTTCAATCGATATTGATGCTGTATATCGTGCAGTGAAATATGGGATCCAATTAACCAACATTTTAAAATCAGGGCACGAGTTGTGTAAGCTACTCTATAGTTTTGGGTGTCATTTGTAATTAACAAAGAAAAACATATCCTACAAGACCGTATGAGGAAATTATTAGTAATTGATGATTCACAAACGACAAAATATCATTAAAGGGCAAATCCCGATTATATTTTGGTGAATAAAACTGATTAATTTTGTGTTAAAAACCCTTAAAATATACTCTACCTTAAGTCCGTGCAACTAACTCAATATTTGTGATATGTTTTCAAACAACTTAAACCCGCCATTCTTCGTCTGGAAATGTTGACCGGTGTTACAAGCTCAATTATAATGTGTCTGGATAAAACCAGACTTTTATTTTATAAAAATAAGGTGTAGGTGAAATTTACATTTCTTTATCAAGTCCTACAGCACATGGCTGCGCTGTATAGACCTCTAAAAGGAACGGAAATCGATTATCAGGTCACCCAATGAAAATGTTGTCCTGAAATCTTAAAAAAAAGGGTTACGTGTCCGGATAAGCGGTTTTGGCATTCACGTCCCAACAACTCAATATTTTGAGGCGAAATTTGGAGACAGTTAAATACACCATTCCTCTATATTTTGGTGCTTGAATATGTACACAAACCTTTGTGTTTTAGGCTTTTTTCAAATCGGGATAGTCCCTTTAAAAAAATGTATAGAATGGCCAAAGCAGGCATAACGACTACCGTTCAGTTTGGACTGTTCACATAAATCATCGAACATAACTGATTTGAAATTACAATAAAATTGTTAAAAATTGAACATAAATTATTATAAATCACTTTATTTACGTTCATATGACATGAGAGAATTTGTAAAACTGTACTGGTAGACCCTACCCTTCATTTAAAACATAGATATGACATCATCCTTTGATGTTTTTAGCCATTATATAGGAGAATGTACGCTCTTCTTAAACAATCGTCTATTATTTATAAAACTGTCCATTATTTTCAATAAATAATGGACAGTTTTATAAATAATAGACGATTGTTTAAGAAAATACCAATAATAGACACGTATCTGAAAAATGAACATGTATTATTTATGATAATTTATTCTCTAAACAAATAAAATTACAAAAAATGAAATTACTTTAAAACCTTATAGTTACCGAAATGTCACATGGGCGAATTATTTCACGTGTTTGTCTACATAAAGAATTCCACTTAAATCCGTCCGTTATATGTCACTTATCCGTTTAATAGTACGTTCGGCACTAGATCGGTGATACGTTTCTATACGGCATACACCCACATTTTCACACCTTTTTTGTGGACACTCTACAGGTCATAACTTGAAATATAGGTTTATATCCCAAACATCTCATTTCCTTTCGATATTGGCTTGTATGGGACCGTAACTTCATGGTTTATGGCCCCCGATTGTATACAATAGAGGTCACAATTATTAGCCCATTTTGATGAAACTGAACATGTGTATTTATAACCCAAAGATCTTGATTCCTTGCAATATTGGCGCATATCGGACCGTAATTTCCTGGATTATGGCCCCGGATTGAACAAAAAAACGTGTTTTGAGCCTGTGGAACTATGCAGGTTACAATTTTTATCCGATTATAAAAAAAAGTTCAAATATATCACCGTTACACCATAATGACAGTTGAGTTTGAATTTCGTGAATTGGTTTGTGCCTTTGATCCTGTGTCCTGTCACTTATATCAGAGTATATATTAAATTTTAAATCAAAATTGGGACGGCTAGTACCCTCCATATTGACCACAGTATTAAGAAAATTATCAATATCTAAATCATTCTCGTGAGCAGCCTTTCCATCACAACTTTGACGGCTATTATCCCACATATCAAGAACATCTACGGCTATTCTCTTCCATATCGAGTACATTACCAATGTAATCAGTATCCAAATGCTTATCACATATATTCTCATTATTAATATTTGTTTCCGACTGTGTTGTAAACATGTCTCCATGTAGAATATTTTGGACTGTCTGTGTATGCTTGCATTGTATGACTGGAGTGTTTTGTCACATGCATTCATGAGCATGTGCATGTTGTTTTAAGAATATATCCATTATTTTATGGCTTGTTGTTTTAAAAAACTATCCATTATTTGTATCTCTATGGTGCTATGTTTTAAGTTTGATAATAGCCTCAGACTGTCCATTATGTAAATACAAAGAAAAACTTCGGGGCTAACGCCCCTCAGTTGTTCTTTCTATTTACATAATGGACAGTCTGAGGCCATTATCCATCACTTAATAGAAGATAAGAAATGTGCAGTTATATTGCTCCTAATAGTTTGCAACAACAATATCTCTCTACATTTTCAAAAGGAAGCCACAGTTGCTCATTGAGTAAGACACTGGCTTCCTAACTTGGATGTCTCGGGTTCGCTACCTGTGCTTGGCCAAGAATATTCGTTGGATTTTCCAGTGTTGTTTCCTCTTGTCAGTGGTGCTAGAATAAGGACTTAACAAGAACATAGTCTAGTTGATTGGAAGGTAATAAAAACCAATATCCTGTGTATACATTGCAATGGCATGCACATAAAAGAACCCTTAACAGTCGGAATTCAAAATGCTCTTATTCATTATCCCTGTCGGAGCAGAAAAGTAGGATGTTAAATAATAGTTTATATAACAATTGAAGCCAAAATAAAGACCCGCAACAGGCAGATTTTGCTTTTACATGAAACAGTATGCATCTTTAATAAATTATGTACAATACAGGATGCTCCCTATCCAATTTGATCATTATAGTAACTCTAGCTTTTACTTTTAGTTAATGGCAACATTTCTCGATGGCAAATCCTATAGGCACTTTTGTTTTACAGGAGGAAATATGTCAGAAGTTCCATCTCTTCACTCAGCAGCAATATTTGCATGTACACAGTCATTGTTAAAGCTTTTTGATGACCATCAAGATGAATTTCGACATCGATTAATTTCAATCTTTGCCAGTGATGACTATGGAGTAATTGGTCACAATGTTCTACAAAGGATAGTCGAATATTATCCAGAGAAACTTACAGATTCTATTCTTTTGGCCTTAGTTCAAGAAAGCATGAAGATCTTAAATTTAAAGAAATGCATAAATGTAACAGGATGTAATATTTTAAAGGCATTACAGAAGTGAGTTACCTACTAATTCCACTTTTATGCATATAAAGCTGTTTCTGTGACCAAATACAACATGACCTTTTAATCCAAAGTTATAATTTTTAACAAATTTCATGCTTTACTTTACTTTATTTCAATAAATAAAAGGATTTAAGTGAGTAAAATTTAAATAACTGTCTTTCTACTATAATAGTTAAAAACTATATAATGTAAAGACAATTTGCTGAAAATTTCAGTTAGATTGATCCACTATGAACCGAGAATTAAGCGATTGAAATTTCAGCCTAGCCTCGATCATCATTACTAAAGTGGGTACAATAAAAAACATAGTCCCGATTATCCATTTCATGATTAAATCATGAATGACAGTTAAGCAGCAAATCGGATCATAATATCCAATAAATATCACAGGCTAGCATTGACATTGAGAGTTGATTATTGTCTGGATAAGTTAATTAATGTCTAATTAATAATATAGATAATATTTCAGGCCTAAAGGAAGACCTCTAATAGGCAGATTTAGCTCTTGCATAATGTATGTTTAATTGATGCAAATTGGTTTTATTGTGTTTTCAGGAGTAAACAACTTACAAGTCTAGATCTGTCAGAATGTGAACAATTAATGTTGCCAGCTTTGTTTGGAGCTTTTGGAAATATATTGCCATGCCTGACAATGATAAACATTTCTGAGTGTAGAACCGTTAACAGTGCTTTGGTTCAGGTACATAATTTGTTTTTATACACATATTGAAATGTGGTCGTATATTGTTGTCGCCCCCGTCCGTCCGTCCGATTTTCGATAATTACTGCCGGAGTTATGGCCCTTGATCACTTTGAAAAATCTTGTGGAATCTCTAGAGGCTAAAGTTAATATCCGATTGACTTTAAATTTATACACAGTGTTTAAGTTCATGAGACGAAGAAGCCCTATGATTTTTAGCGATTTCCGATAATTACTGCCAGAGTTATGGCCCTTGATCACTTTGAAAAATCTCGTGGACGCTCTAGAGGCTAAATTAATATCGGATTGACTTTAAATTTATACACAGTGGTTAAGGTCATGAGACAAAAAAGCCTATTCATTTTCTTCGATTTCCGATAATTACTGCCAGAGTTATGGCCCTTGATCACTCTGAAAAATCTTGTGGACGCTCTAGAGGCTAAAGTTAATATCCGATTGACTTTAAATTTATCAACTGTGTTTAAGATCATGAGACAAAGAAGCCTATTGATTTTCAGTGATTTCCAATAATTACTGCCAGAGTTATGGCCCTTGATCACTTTGAAAAATCTTGTGACGCTCTAGAGGCAAAAGTTATCAGATTTAAATTCCCATAAACTGGTACACAATTTTCTTGTACTTTACTATCAAGTGTATTTTTTTATTAATTTATACAAACGATTTTTTTTTTAAAACCTTACTTGATTGTGCCAGCTACCCATGCTCCTCTCACGGGTCCTGCTTATGTATTATATAATATTTACGGTACCACTAACATTTCTTACATATATTCAGCGACATTGACGACATTGAAATTGAGTTTATCATCAAGTAAAGTTGCCCACATGATTAATTATAACTGTCATAAACTACCGGGCAAAAGAAAGATGACACATGTTAATCCAGTTTTATCTATACATTAATGTTGCAGTAAGTTTATACATTATCCAAAAACATTTAACAAAATATACCCTGTATACACATCGCAGTGACTGAACACAGGATATGCTAAATTTCGTGCAGTCATGAAAAATCGTAAAATCAGGATTGTGGGTATTTTTTCGAGATGCACGAACATGATTATTAGGGGGACACACCGATGAAGGAGAGAGGGTTTTTGGTATGGCACAGATGGGGGCATGTCAGTGGCAAATTGCAAGAATGTTCCACATCCAACCACCATCAGCAATCTTTTCCGGCGGTTTCAGCAAACAGGCCGAACTCAAGACCAACCAAGATCTGGATGGCAAAGGGTCACAACTCCAGCTGAAAACCACCTTATCCAGATAATGCCTCTCCGAAACAGGTGGCCACTGCATTGGGACACTCCATCAGCAGACACACTGTCTCCTGCCTGATGGCCCCGTATTGTTGGTATAAGAGTCTACCGACCATTTTGAGTAATGATCTTGAGCTCTCAACACCATCAGTGCAGATTACAATGGGTAAGAACTGTTCATCCATGGAAGCAGCATGTTTGGCAATGTGTGCACTTCACAGTTGAAAGTCAAATCAACCTGTTCAGGTTTGTGTTTATCGCCATAGAGGGGAGAGACTGGTGCCTAACTGCACTCATCCTTATGGTGGTGATGGCGTTATGATATGGAGAGGGATTTGTGACCAGCAGAGAACAAAGTTTGTTATTATCGGTGGAAACCTGACTGTTCAATAATACAGTGATGGAATTCTGTAACCTGTGGTTGTGTCATTCTTGCAACAGCAACACAGGGCTATTGCAAGAATGGCAAAGGATTCCCGGTGACGTAATAAGACGGCTGATAACATCCATGAAGAGACACATTTTGGCATGTATTAAAGTTGTGTCTTGTCAGATGATCAGACTGCATAAGGACTTATTCAAGGACTTCTCCTTGATTTGTGTGTGTGTAATTATTTATCTAGACTCCATTGATCTTTAGCCGTGGCTTGTGGCCAGACATCAGAAACTTATTCCTTTCAATTAAATATTCATCATTTAAATCAAAACTGTCTTTGTCCTTTTTCTGGATCATGTACACAGGGGGTGTCAACTTCGTTTTGCCCGGTAGTTTATATACATAGCTCATTTTTAATACTTTCCAATCCCGATCCACAACACACAGCATTTGTGACACAAATAGTTATAATTTACGGAAATAAAAGGTTAATTCTGACAGATAAATTTAAAGTACAGGTAGGTTATGTACTGTAAATATAGCAATATGACTTCATGACCATATGCAGATGAAAGGTTAGAGATTAGATTTGTTTGTGGGTTAACTGTAGTTCTGGTTAAATTTATGCTAATGTATATCTGTATATAATGTATTGTTCTATTTACATTATAGTCACTTCTAAGAAACACACCTTGTTTACAAGATCTCAATCTTTCTAAATGTAATGAATTAACAGATGAAGCATTTTTATTGGATTTAGAGATTCAAGACAAAAATCTACTTGGATTAGAGGTGTGTATTTTTCTATTTGTTTTAAATCATTGCAATCATTGCATGCACCTGAGGTTTAGTTCTGAAGTATTGTGACCATAATTTATATAATAAAAGGAAAAATAACCAATGAATAATATCAAGATGTGTTAAATATATTGTTTTTTTATGAAAAATTTGTTATGTCCATTTGCCTAAAGTAAACTTTAATGCTTTTCATCATTTATAATGTGCTTAAAATGATGACTGGCTTGCTGGTTCGATGACGAACAAGGATTTTAAGCCCAAATTACACTATATATTATGTATGTATTGATTTAAGACAGCTGTACCAGGCTCATATCACAGACCAACGAACTTTTCTCTGAAGAGTATAAATATCTCATCCTGTGACAAGATCACAAGTTTAGCTGTTGCATATATCTGTGCTTTTGCTGGCCTAACTCTTCAAAATATAAATATGGCATATTCAAATGTAAGTGACATATTTTATTCTTTTGCTGTGTAGATGTTGCTGGGTGGGTCAAGTGGGTCAATTTTCAGAAATTGGGGAAATCGACCCCCTCATAAGAATCTGGAAAAGGTATATGTTATTGTACATGTAAAAACTAGAAACTGTGCAAAGTTTGTGGTCTGTTGCTTGAAAATTGATTGAGATATGGGCATTTGAGTTTCATGGGTTACTGATAAGTTTTCTAAACAAAATATGTATCAATAATTTACTTCAGTTTCAGATATCTTGTTTTAACCTTTCTATCGGTTACTGGGTTATGGTTATTTGAATACATGTAATGGCGGCCATGCCCATTTTGGCCGAAATCCCCAAAATTAGGTTGGCCGTATCTCAGGAACTGTTAGTCGAATCAAGCTAAAATTTGGAATATTAACTTTTTCAGCCAAAATAAACATATAAACCAAATTTCAGCAAAACCGAAGGGGGTGCGGTTTAACTCATTGGGTGATGATTGACATGGAATGACCCAAAACACAGATTTGGAAAAAATCTATAAAAGTATTGTGATGGCATGGGACAAGAATGGTTTTAACATATATTAAGAGACATTAGTACAAACTATAATTCCACCAAGTTTCAGATTTTTAGGTGCTCATCTACCGGGTTCAATCAGCTCGAAAATATAATTGACATAGATTGACCCAAAACACAGATTTTGAAAAAAATCGAAAAGATATCGAGATGGCATGGGACTAGAATGGCTTTAACATATGTTGGAGACATTAGTACAAACTATAATCACACCAAGTTTCAGATTTTTAGGTGTTCATCTACCGGGTTCTATTGGATCGAAAATACGAGGCAATTTTCGAAAATTGGTGTCTGAAACCATATTTGAGGCTACAGGTAATTTTCTGGGAATCTAGTGAAGACTGATGCGTTTTCATATGTTTCTTATGTAGTACTACCGGCAATCTCTGGATAGGCCAAGATTTGGGTCTATATCACTTACTTTGTAGCTCCTGGAGGACTACAAAATCCAGAAAATATACAATTACACCAAATTTTTTTCTCGGTTTTTATGGCCAAGTAGCATGCGAACCCTACCACTCACCTGTAATCTGATTGAGGATTCGTAATCTGGAGAAAAAGTTCTTTAACACTACCAAATTTGAGCTGTATATCTTCACTAGAAAGGTAAAAATAAGATATCTGAATCTCAAGTATGATACATATTTTGTTTCAAAAACTTATCGGTAACTCATCAACTCAAATGCCCGTATCTCTATCAATTTTCATGCTACAGACCACAAATTTTGCACAGTTTCTAGTTTCTACATGTACAATAACATATTTTTCCAGATTTTTTCGTTTGGGTCGATTTCCCACCCCTGACCTACTTGACATGGAATTGTCCCCGCTCTCAATTTCAAACATGCAAATTTGAGATTCCATTTATGAAGACTATATAAATAAATATGTTGGACAAGTTAATTAAGATGTCACCGTTGAGATTGTGAGCGATATTAAAATCTATATAAGAAAACCATCTAATGTTAATATATATATATGTATTATATTTTATAGATATCATCCCTGTGTTTGTTATATTTAAGTGGTTATTCACTGGTAACAGTATATGTGTATATGATGTCCTGTACGATAGGATCAGATTTTGAAGACAGTGATATCACACGTGATCAGATTTGGTCACTTCAATCAAAATATCACATAGGTAATTTTAATTTATACAACAATCGAATAGACAATGCGCCCATACTAATCAAAGAAAAATAAGGATAAATGTTATCTTTTTGCCATGAAATGGGTTGGTGTTATAACTTTTTACTTTTCTGCACAATATAAGCATATGAAAATGGACATTTCTGCCTACTCTTAGTCAAATTCCATCTGCCACAAACTCTTATTAAGTATACATCAATTTTTACACAGGACCTCAGCTTTTTGTCCCATCTGAACTACTAGTCACTGGCAAGGGGAAACCAGGCTGAAAAATTCAGAGGAATTGAACCTGATACACCCTACTTATTGAGCCACCATGGCTCCATGTAATTGAAAGTAAAGCATGCAAAGTTTGAATAAAAAGAAGTTGGTCGAATATTGTTGGTCCATTGCATTGGTCGAGTATTGTTGGTCCATTGCACTGGCTACTTGCCAAGGCAGATCATCTTCAGTGCATTCATAACAATTTTACCAAAGCCTAATTAAATGCTATTTTATTTAGTTGGTGTTTTCTTCATCTTTCTCTTTAGTTCTCAAGACATTGTAATTCTAGAAATATAGCTTAGCATAAAAGTCTCATTAAAAGTCAGTGTGTAAGAAACTGGAAAATGCTAAATTTATATTTAACAATTTTTTATATGTGTGCCTGTGTGTTATCTACAGGCTGCAATTTTTAACAGATCGTCTTGAAACTTTGCATACTTATTCCTTATACCCTAAGGATGATCCCTGTTGTTTTTGGTGCATGCCCTACCCCCAAGGTCAGAGTCACACCCAATTTTTTGTATTTGTCTGTGTTGCCTACAGGCAACAAATCTTAATGGATCGTCTCAGAACTTTGTATATTTATTCCTTACATCCTAAGGATGATCCCTATTGTTTCTGGTGCATGGCAACTATTGATTTTGGCGCATGACCAACCCCTGGGACGGTGCCATACCCACTTTTTGTTAATAGGTATTTCTCATACCTTAAGGAAAGCAACAATTGATTTTAGTGCATCCTCCCGACCCCCCAGAGTGGGGGGGGGGCGGCATACCCATTATTTTTGTTAATATTTAGTCTGTAAATTTGGCAAAACAAAACCCAACTCCTAGCTTTCTTTTTCTCTTATCATATTACAGTTGTTGCAGCCATTTCATATTTCATTTTCTTCATTTTAAAAAGTAACATATCAATCAACAATCAAAGCAGGAATCTAGACCTTTATTGCAGCAGTAGAATTGGCCTTGTCGTTTGAAATGCAACTTCTCTTGTTTTATTACAGATTCAGTGAATGAAAAAAAGGAATGGGATAAAGAAAATTTATGTGAATGTTTGAATTATGTGAAACAAAAAGTAAAAAACAAATATAATGCGTTTGTATCAGAAGATCAAATCGATATTGAAATAACAGAAGAAATCGACAAACAGTGTTCTTCATGTAGTGATTTAATCTCACATCAGAAAGTGGAACCCTGTGAAAGCTTATCTGTGTCAAGTAAATCTAGTAACAGAAAAATTCCATTAACTTCTGATGAACAATTTACTGCCGAAATGCTTTGCAATGTCCACTCCATGGAAGATCTTGATAATGATAGTATTGAGAATGACGATCAAAATAAACATATTGTAATGAATCAGAACTCTTCGAATAATTTAAAAAAAACAGTTCCCGAAACAGATCATAAAATAAATCTACCTCTAAACAAAAGAACTTATATACCCTCACTACAATTTGTTAACATTTTATGTATAGCATCAGAAGAGTCATTAGACACAATAACATTCCCAATCTTTTTTGCTTGTAATAAGAAATTAATCCATTTGTCAATTAACTGGCCATTTTTCTCGGGGGAATTTGTAGATCAGCTTGTTGATTCACAGACATGTTTACAGGAACTCTTACTTCCTGAGTGTAATTCAATGAGTGACGAAGACATCACGAAACTTTGTAAATTATCTCATAAGTTGAAGAAAATTGATTTGAAAGGTAGGTTATTCATGTATATTATATGGAAAGTATTTTTCCCCCCATTAAGTGATTTCCAGCTCCCCTAATACCCTCAGTTGAAAGATTTCTGTTAAAAAATTACTGAAAAATGAAACACGCATCAGATTATGAGAAAAACATTACCAAATAAAATAACTGTAGTGTAAGTTTGGTAATATATTGTTAAGTGGCTGTTTGAATCTTAGCAAATATGACATAAAACTTATAATTGTATAATGTCATTTGATTGTCTAGTCCAGATAGTACATTTATTAAATGCTTTTTTGTTTTTTTAAATAATTTGTTTCCTAGTTGATTATGAGATTTATACAGTATATGTTTCATCTGGGCATTAATTTGTATATATCGTTGTCTACAGGTATATTTATGTTAAATGAGATAGCTGTAAATAGAATTATCACAGATGAAATACAAAGTTTAAGTTTGTCAGAGTGTTCAATAACAGACTTAACTCTAACATTAATTTCTAGGAGAGCTGCTTCTACAGTAAGTTTAACATGACTTGTTATATATTATGTCTTAAAATCAACATGAAGCACAGTCAATCCTAACCAGTCATGACATAGGCTACTAAGTTCAGCTAACAAATTTGGCAAAGTGAAGATTTGTTGCAGCTTTAAGTTTAATAAATGTATAGGGTCATAAGGTTGTTTATTGTTTAACTTGTGTTAAAATTACGATTTTTGATGGTTATTATAACTCCCAGAGTTGTGCATATTGAGTATGAAATCATGTCTTGGTAACAGGTTGACTTGGTTCTGTAAACCTGTTAAGACTCAAGGATCTTGATTTAATTATGGTACATGATGATTAGGGACATTTCTTACTATCTGCTTATACCTAATGACAGTGATGGGATTTCAAAATTTTTCTTGTTGGACATTTTTACCGAAAATAATGGAGCATAACTCTTGTCATTATTTAAGCAGGCAGTTTCAGACCACAGTTAAAAATCATGTGTCAACAAAATATTCAAATTCGTACGTTATTTTTTATATTTAATTCCCGTACGAGTTTTTAAATTTATGTCAGTAATATTCCAACAAAATTACATGTTGTCAGAATACGATAGAATGAAAGCGTGCCAACTACTGTCGGCTAATGATCTATTTTATACTTTATTTATGATGTTACAGAAATGTGTATTGAAATATGTCACTGGTGTATAATAGAGGTGTTGCTCACATTAATTTATTGTTTTGCAGAATAAATGTTATTTTTTTAGCTGTTAGAAATAGTTATTTGACCATTATTTTGAAGCAAAGAATATGTATTCTGGCGCACCCCTTCTTACATGTAATTTCTATTTCAGGTAAAAGAAATTGACTTGGCATGGTGCGAAGAGGTAACAGATGAAGGAATCAATGCTTTAATGTCATCCTGTTCAGCTTTGCAAAATCTGAATTTACATCATTGTTCCATTACTGAAAAACCTCTCTTTAGCATGGCTGAAAAATGTCGAAACATCTGTAACTTAAGTCTGTCTTCTATTAAAGGAATATCTGATCAAGCTGTTATCGAAATAGCTAAGAATCTATGTCTGCTGGAAGAAATTGATATAAGTTGGAACACTGGTATGTCTCTAACATTTATTTTTTTGTATTTTAAAAATTATTTCAAGATTAAGATCTGAAAAAATATTTTGGGTTTATATTCTGCATTTCAAAGATACACTGAACCTCTCATAGATATTATGCACCTATTTCACATACAACACTCAGTTATTTACTGGTGGGTAGAATGGAATACCAGTATTTAAGACCAATATTTATGAACCTACAACTTGATATAATTTATCCACAGACTTGTCTTGTCGGTTTTGTTTTGCGAGTAATGCATTCCTTCTGCCACAAAGAAATGATAGTTACGTTTTTTTTTTGAAAAAAACTAACCTACATTAGAAGGAACTGTTAAATACAGCAGTTGTCTGGTTGATAATCTTCTACAGCTGGAGTTATCCTCATCATAAATTGCCCTGAAGCAGTGGTCATTTAAAAAGGGACTGGAGATTGTGGATTATGCATACTAGCATATTTAAACCCCATTTGTTGTGATTATGAATTTAATTCTTATACCTATAATGATTTTGTGTTTTCAGATATAACAAATGTTGGTATAGAGGCATTGTTTAAGTATAGTAAGAAATTAAAGATTGGAATATTCTCAGGCAACAAAAGAATAACATCTCAACCCATGTATTGTTTAGTCACAGGTATGTACTTTAAACGTTTGAATAAAATTAATTTTCTTTGCATAGGGTGCTGAGAATTATGATATTTACTAATCCTTGGATTGGAGATTAAAAAAATGTCAGCTTGTGATATTTAATTCGAGACATAATTATATATATATATATATATATATATATATATATATATATATATATATATATGAAAATCTCTTATAGCCTTAGACAATACAAGGGTGCTCAGATAGAGAATGACGAATAATGGACCTCTTCTCATCATTGTTAAGATTCCCACATATCAATTAACTTTTATTGTTCTATTACCAAACATTCATCATTAATTATCAACAAAACAGTCAATATAATCCTCCATTGATGACTATTTATACTATTCTGTAACACCAAACATGAGCTGAAATATGTCTTCTAAATGTGCATGTGCTCTTATACATGTAGGTACGGACTGCTCAATTTTATAGTTACATTGCAGTGCTGAATTGTAGCCTTATTTGAAAAATTTGAGTTTATAGAAAAATATACTAGATTTAAAGATTATAAATTGACCAGTGGGTTCTGCAAAATTTCAGTCAATTTTTAACACAAACAGACAAGACCGGCATATATGACCGACATGGAATCCATGGTCTCAAGTGTTCATTTATCATTGTTGATGTATATTGGTCTTTATACATTATATATAGATCTTGAAGCATGGAGAAAAAGTCAGCTTACAAAAACAAATAAAAGAAACAAAAAAGTGGATGAAAGGGAACAAAATGGAGAAAATGTTGATGATATTTCCAGTGATGAAGAGGTAAATACATTATAGATGTAAATTCCTATAAAGCTTGAAATTACCCTTAGACAAAATTTTAGATGATTGAAAATGTATTCATGATAATTTAAGGATATACTCCTTATGGACTGTAATTATTGTACTGTTTGTCAAATAATAAATCTAAATTATTAAGAAAATAATTGCTTATTCTCATAGATTTATAGCTTACAGGTAACTCTTTGTGATCTGCAATTTGTCGTTTACAAATAACATGCTAAGTTGCCGACACTATGTCACACATTGACCTGTGATGTCCTTGATGTTTTATGTTATTTAAATGACTACCATTTTACTGTTTAACAGTCAGAAATACTGTTATTATTGTTCTTATAATTATATTTGTATCATTCAGGATGAGATTTATTTACCTAGAAGATCGACTGTCTATGGACCCAACCTAAAGAGAATTGAAGTGCATTATGTAGATTTTATGGATGATGCCTTATTATCACATATTGTAGCATTCTGTTTCGGATCTCTTGAAATTATGGATTATTACAGTGAAGCTGTTCAACCAACAAAACTAACAGTTAAAAGAGGCCAACTATATAACATGATGGGACTCAGATATTTATAATGCAGTGTGAACCCACCAAGATTTGATTAGTTAAACTTACTTGTGTATTGTTCCTTATGTCCATCTGCTTTGTGAATTATTGTATACATAATAGTACAACAAGAAGAGCATTAGTAGTGTCAAGTGTATCAGGTGTTTTAGAAACAGATGTTGATTTTGTTTCTTGTATTCCAGTAATATCTAAAATCATGTTTAAAGGGGCATTAGGTAAGATTACATAAACAACTAACAGTTCTCGCTATAATATTTAAAAAATAGATAATGAAAACAGAATAAGCTGAAAATTTCAGTAAAATTGCTTCACTCTGAACCGAGATATTAGCGATTCCATTTTAGGTTACTACCATCACAAAACGTATTCAAATCTACTAAATATCACAGGCTAACAATGGCATCGAGAGTTTATTATGGTTGATAAGTTAATTATTGTCTAATTAATAATTTAGAAACATTTTAGGCCTAAAGGAAGACCTACAATGGGCACATTTAGCCTTATGCATAATGCATGGTTAAGGAACATTGGCTTGTGACACACAATCAAATGTGTCGATAATCAAAGAGTTTCAAATGATTTCACAGAATTTTCTCTATCACAGATTTTGATTTGTAGGTTTATCTGGATTCACTGGAAAATGAAATGGAGCTAAATACTAATATAATATTAATTAGACTGTACGTATACAGGACACATGCCACTCATCAGTGAAATGGTGCAACAAATTCGTCTTGATTGTTCACTGAACATTACCAGTTAAAAACGGTTCTTATCATTAAACTCCCGTCCCTCCCCAAATACTACTCTTCATGTATAATTAATTGCATGGGGAGTATTGACTGAAATCTGTGATACAATTATAGATATATTATATATATATTATTGTTTTTTAAAGATATTATTTTGTTATGTTAAATATTGCTGTGTAATTTATATTAAATCAAAGTCTTAATAAATATGTGACTTCTATAACATTAAGCTCTTCATTTAGTACCGTTTACCTAAGATGATTTCTAGGATGTGTTACAAAAAGATGCCCATAAAGGCTTTATTTAGATTGATGATGTCCATTACAGCCTGTTCACATAAAAGACATTTGGAACTGATGAAAAGCAGGCAAAAATGAGACAAAGAATCATATTGATTTTCAACGATTTCCAATACTGCCAAAGTTATGGCCCTTGATCACTTTGAAAAATCTTGTGATGCTCTAGAGGCTAAAGTTATCATCTGATTGACTTCAGATTGATGCACAGAGTTTAAGGTCTTGAGACGAACAAGTATATTGATTTTCAATGAATTTTTATGACTTGGAACATCTAAATCCATGATGTTAAAAATTTCGTATACTAAAAGTTAGCATGGGGCAGAACTTTATAAAAACCAAATAAATTCTAATGGTTTTTTGATATTTACTTAATGAGTTAGTACTCTTAATCAGATCTCAATGTATTATAAATGTTTCATTACCAGAAAAAGTAAAAATATGCGACAACTCTTGTCCACTGCCCGGACGATTTAGCTGCTGTGGGCGTATGTTTCGTTGCCTGGCAACCTATCTTTCTAACATTCTATAGCAGGGGCTAAAGGTCTAGAATGCAAGGTTTCATGTGTACCAAAGTGAAACTCATCCATGAACTTTTGATCCTAAACACATAGTTAAATTTTCATCTAATGAATCGGACTAAAATTGTCACCTCTGGGTGGTCCACAAACTTCATTTATATTTCACATTTTGCCGAAAAGGCATTTGGCATAACTCCAAAACGGAAAGTCTGATGCGCACCAAACTTGAACTCACCCAAGAACTAGCGAAATCAAATAAAATTGTTACAACCTTAGTATTACATACCTTTACTCTATTTGCGTAAAGGGGAGCGACCATTTGACGGGAAGTTTCAGTCCGATTCTCAGGAAATTTGGACTCAACCATAATGATGGTACAACGGTCATATATTTGAATGATTTTGAAAATAAGATAGAAATTGCTACCTCTCACATGCTAAAAATGTGATTTTTGTACAATCAGGGTCCATAATCCAGAAAGTTATACTGTCCGATAGGCGCAAATCGGAAATAAATTATAAGTATATTTGAACGGTTTTGAAAATAAGTTAAAAATTGTGACCACCAGAGTGCATGGTATGACTCTTAAACGCTGACTTTAAGAACCGCATTATAATGAAATGAAATGGGGTTTAACGTCCCAGTTGTTCTACTCCAACTGGGCTAATGAAGATGGGTATACGCCATGCAGTGTGCTATGAGGGAAATATTGCCCTGGCACTGGCACGGGCACTATATGGCCAACTCTTATATCAAATTCCAACTGCCAAGAGATTTTTTACGTGCACGCCAATGTGTGCACGGGACCTCAATATTTTCGTCTCATTCGAACAACCGTCCCTGTCAGGTCCTCCGTCCTGCACCACTGACAATTGAAAACCACACCGGAAAATCCTGATGAACTTCCTCGGCTAATGCAAGGATCAAACACGACCTCCAGGCTATCGAGCCAGCATCTTTTCCACTTGGCCACTGTGGCTCCCGAACCGCATGAAAGAACTTTTTACTAACTTTTAACTATGTGGAACTTTTTGGGCAAACAATTTTTAATATGTGAATAACCCAGTACGGGTCCAGCTATGTGGTTTTTACTGCGAGCACTTCGTTTTTACACATAAAGCGAGCAAATTCTTTGACCCGCCCTCTCTTCTCACAAAAGCGATTTTATAAGCGTGTTTTAAGGTGACTTTTTGATTTACAAGGACTTTTTTATTTTTGTGTTTTTACCAATTTTTCAACCCTTTAAGTGTAAATAATTTGATAGAAGAGTAGGCTGTAGTGCCGCTGTCCAAGCAAAATTTCCCTCATAGCACACTGTAGGCCTATGGCGTATGCCCGTCTTCATTAGCCCAGTTGGAGCAGAACAATTAAATAATAGGGACAAAAAAACTGAGGTCCCGTGTACACATTGGTGTGCACGTAAAAAATCCCTTCGCAGTTGGAATTTGATATGACTCATGAGTAGCCTAGGCCACATGGTGCCGCTGCCCGGGCAATATTTCCCTCTGCATGTATGTCCGCGTCTTCATTAGCCCAGTCGGAGTAGAACAACTAGGACATTAAACCCCATTTCATTTCATTTTAATGCGGTTCACAAATTCAGCATTTAACTAAGAAAGAGTCATATGTGCACTCTGGAGGTCACAATTTTTAACTTATTTTCAAAACGGTTTAAATATACTTTTATACAGGCCTATCACCGTAGGCTACATACATATTATGGACGGTTGAGTCCGAATGTCCGAGTAGTAGAAAGGAGTAGCCTTACTTGCGGCCAAATTATTGAGGAGGGATGAGGGGTGCTGTACGGTATATAATGATCTCTTTTATTGAGCATGGACCTTATATAAACATTATACAGTCCTATCTATCTAGTGTCCATGGTTTGAATTACTAGCAGGCTTACAGTGGGCCAAAATAAAGTATAAAATACAAAAGAGTAACAAAGCTTATTATATAAAATTCTGTTTTTAAAATCAATTCATTCACGAATTATGGTTCCTCTAGAATTAAAGTATCAAACACAATTTCGTTTCGTGTTTATTTACATTGTCGAAATATGCATTGGATCTTAATAAAAGAATAAAAGAGCCCGGATGTTGATCATAGCAACAGAACGAAAAACAAAAAGCTTATTATATAAAAATCTGTTTGTAAAATTAATTCATTCACGATTTATCTATTGGTTCTGATCAATTACCTCTAGAATTAGAAAGGTATCATACACACTATTTCGTTTCATGGTTATTTACATTGTCGAAATATGCATTTGATCTTTATAAAAGAGCCCGGATGGTGATCATAGCAACAGAACAAGCAATATGGCTGAGTCGGAGACGTTGAGCGTCGACACGAGTAATGATACTGGTGAAGATCCTTTATTAGAGCTTTCCGATGAAAAATTATTTCAATTAGTTAATGATACAATGTAAGTACAACAATTTGAAAAACGTAATTACCATATCCTGTGATTAGGCCTAGTGTGCTTTTTTTTTTTATTGATTTGAATCGACTTACTTCAGAACATCGGATCAATGTAAAAATGTTGTGGAATCAGAATGTGCATTGGCAATGATGACGAATATGAATTTTGTCTACTCTAGTATTTAGTAACCTATAACCAGTCTATGATTTTGTTACCAAAGTAATCAAATGTCAAAATATAAATATTTTTCCCTCCAGTACTAAAACTCAAAAATACAAATTTTAATGAGAGTATGATGAGACGTGTTTTTTTTTAAAAATTTAAAGTAGGCTACCGGTAGTGTCGGCAGGACTAGCTAAATCTGCATGATCTCTATTTTATTCTTCGGTTTGAACATGAAATTATATTTATATAGAATTTAATATTAATAATATTGTAGCTACGCCTAATATTCAATATTGTTAAAAATATATTCTATATAGTATAATTTCAAATATAATAATAACGCAGTGTATAGGGCCTACTATACTTCCGTTTGACATGCGCAGTTGTCTGATTCCTGGACTTAGCAGTTTTCGCTTTGGCAATGATGCCGGCTCTGGGCTATTTTACCATCTAACATTAACCTATAAGTATAACCTAAACCAAAACCACCAGACAATTCTATTCATCCTTTGTCTAACATTGCTTCTTTCTCTGTTTCTTATTAAAGGAAGCAAATAGCCATACTTAATTTCTGATGGTAGAAACTGGAGAATTATTTTTAAAAGAAAATAAGATAATAAATGTAAATTGTGGAAAAGCATTTAGAATATTCTATTTTGGTCGAGGACGCATTTCTGCGGATTTTGGTTTTGAATTTAAGTACTTAGACTGTCAGTGGTTTATGTTTTTCCCGTAAAATTGTGCTTCTGCACCGAACTTGAAAGACGAGTTGTTTTTAATGTTCCAAAATGGTGGAATATATCAGGAATCGACAACTGCGCATGTCAATGGAAGTACGGCTAAATAGTAAATAAAGTAAAGAACCGTCGGACGTCAAAATATACACTTCGTAATAACAATTAATATGTATATTCAGACTATTCAATCATCAATGCCTATTGAATTGTCATTGATGTTTAAGTTATCTTACACAGTGAAAATCTAAAATTTAGACACAATTTACCTTTTTAAAATTATGCCCGTCTACATTAGCTAGGTAGTAGGTTGAAACAGAAACACAGAACATTTAAATTAACTCTGTTCCATTTTGCTCCCTAGACCGCAAAATGGTTCCTCTACTGATTACTAGCAAACTGGTTTCAAGATTGCAAAAAAATTTGGGTGCTTTGCTCCCTCGTACTGGACACGCTTGGGGGATGGGGGCTTATACTTTATACATTTCCCCATCCAGTTTACTCGTAACCTTTCAGCCTGCTACTGTCCTAACATGTCCTGAATATACATGATGTTACATCTGTAACCCCTTTTCATCAATCTTATTATTTTTCAGAGAAGACAATGAAATTCTTACGGCCGAGACCCATATGTTTGAAAAATATCTCAAAAGAGTCGAACCTAAAGGAGAAAGTGCTAATCTTTCGCAATCCTTACATCCTGCTGGGGGATTGGCTCCTTCAACCTCTACTCAAGAATTACGTGGTATGGGCAGAAAAAGATCAAAATCTCGTAGCAGCAACATTGACCGCTCACTGAAACTTACAGCTGAACAAAAATGTGATATTTCACAGAGAGAGATCGAGGAGTTAAGAGAAGATAAGGAAAGAGTTCGTGAAGATTCAGAAAGGGTTTTAGATAATTTTAAGGTATTAATTAAATTGCTTAAACTTTCGTGCTAGTAGTTCAATCTTTAATGTTATAAAAAAAAAAACCCACTATTTTAATTCCTTGATTTCAATCTTATAAACTGACTTTATGACTACAAATGTTTTAACTGCTTCAATGACATTTCATTCAGGCTATAATGGAAGAAGCTGATTTAAGGTTAGCTGAAATGAAGAAAGAATATTATGAGTTTGAGCGAGATATAGTGAAAGGAGCCGTAAATACTAGAACTAATAGAGTAGTTTCAGAAAAGGTTATTCGTTATTTTGAAGATAAACTAAGATCAAGGGTAAGTCAATTTTTAAAAGTATTTTTTTGTGGAAGTGACACCAAACAGATATGACAAGTATGCTATCTCGTACCTTACAATATGACTGACAATTATAAGGTTGTGTTTGATAACAAAGAATTTGTATTCTAATACATATAGATTCAGATTAATCATTACTTAAATTTCAGGATACACTTATTGAAAAATTAAGATTAAAGAATTCTACATTAAAAGTACAGAAAAAGAAGTTACATCTGCAACTCAAACAGGTATGATAATTAAGTTTTTTGAAAGCATATTTCACAATGAAGTGTATTCTGTTAAACTATACTCCTCGCAGTGTTTCGTTTGATTAGAACTAACCCCACTCAAACACTGCCATACTCGGCGCAAATTTCTGTCCCAAATTATTACAGGTTAACATTCCGATCAACAACCAGTACATAACGACGCAATAAAATTAATCGGGATTAGTCACAGCTCTAGTCTAAATATGTTACTGTAAAGTAAAGTGTCTGGTGAAAAACACGGCTACATTACGTTAGAACGCACAAAATGCATTATGCTCAATTATGGGCCTGCTTGATTTGTCTGCCGATAGGTGAGCCGGTTTCTACTACGGCGTATGCCGGTCAGGTTACCGTATCGAAGCAAATCAAGTGACCCGGCTGATAAACAATATGGCGTCGGATAATGTTATAATATTATGACATGACATGTTTTAATTAAAAACAGTATTCTTGAAAGTATGACTTGAAAGTTCCCACAAAATAAGCAGAAAATTATTATAAATAATATTACTGAGAAAAAATAAATGACATATGAACTTCTGGTTTTATGAAGCTCAAATTCAACTTCAAAACATTTGGTTTAATTTTAACGCTTTAGTATTAGTGTTTTATGGCATTCCTAAATAACGTGAATTTTTTCTTCGTTGACATGTTCGCCATCTTGCGCCGGTGTTCGTCGCTGCCGCCAAAGCGGCGCATTCGGCATACACCGCAGCCAAACTTTTGTCGATTTCCGGTGAAATCAAGTGACCTCGCGCAAAAACTGCCGAACTGTGGTCAGCCGTTATGCGCCGGTATTGACAAATCAAGCAGGGCCTATAACTAGTACGTAACATAATATTGCAGAGAAACTAATTGTGTAATAAACGAGGCTATCCCAAATGCATGTAGCTACAATGTAAACATTTGAAATCTTTTTATCATCTCTTGGACCACACAGCAGGTCATAGAGAATGGCTGTCATGTTACATATTGTGTTTCTTCACAAAAATAAATGGATAAATATTATCAAATATTTATAGGTAGGCAGCAATAATAATTGGTACATGTTTATAGAATTTATATCGGATGAGTCAAAGAATTTTCGTTACAATAGCGAGTTTCAGCCACGGCCAAATTTACCTCTATGAGTATCAATGTTTGTTCCTTTATGCATCCACGGGTAAACTTTTTCTTGAAATCAGCACTAACAAACACTAGCATTTTTTTTAAAGAGGTCATCCCAGTTAAGTCATGAAAATTCCTAGTATTTTACTCAGGAGAGATTTGATTGGACGATTAGAATGGACACACTCTGTCAAAGACTCTAGTCTTCAGTCTCAATTCAGAGGGATTTTTCAGGCCATTCCTTCAGGAATATGATGCTAAAGAAAGATAAGCAATTTAATTTGTTGATGCTTTGGAACATGATAACTGTGCTTCTAATATCATTTTTCTAGAGAAGCAAAAAAAAAATTTTGATTTTAAGTCTGCAAAGCATTATAGGAAATTGGTTAATAAACCTTTTCATATAGTTGAACAAAAAAATGAAGGAAAGTTCATTTGACTTCATAGTTCTTGAAATTGGGATTTTTCTTATACCGTACAAAAACTGAGAAAATGTCATGGCTAAAATAAGCTACTACATCACCTCTCGATTGTTTGCTGTTTTTGTCATAATGGGTAAATGGTAATTAGTTTAATAGAGGTCTTTGTACTGTAATATAATATTCATTTCAATGTAGAAAGAAGAAATGGGAGAAGTACTGCATGAAGTAGATTTTAATCAGCTAAAGATTGAAAACCAGCAATATCTAGAGAAAATAGATGAAAGAAACCAGGATTTACTGAGATTAAAAATGATGGCCGGTAACACAACTCAAGTCCGTAATGCATATCAGGTAGATAACATTGTCTTGAAATAATTAATAACTATGTGTAATGAAACTTACCACATAAACTTTTTAATCACCTTTTGAAATAAGGTATGACTGTTGCCTAGACATTATTTAAAAATGCAACATGGTTGTTAGTGCCATCAGTATTTATGTTTTGGTACTATGATATTATAGTTGTAAAAATCTGGTAGAGTACCTTTACCTATTCTGGAATACCTGATATATACTGTACTGCCTTGAAAAAGGCTGAGCATCTTAAAGGCACAATTGATACAAAATATACCCTCAAATGTGAAGAAGTCTAAAGTATTGATTGATTATTACGTTTTTTTCATTTCAGAAAAAATTACACACTTTAGAAAAAGAATCCGAAAGATTAAAGTCTGAGATCAGTTCAAGAATTGATTTGTTATCAAGAATTGATATAGAAACTACAGTTGTTGAACAGGTGAATTGTATATTATCTAGAAATTTAGTTGTAGAACAATTGAACTGTTGATATAATCTAGACGTTTAGTTGTAGAACAAGTGAACTGTTCATATTATCTAGACATTTAGTAGTAGAACAAATGAATTGTTTATATTACCTAGACATTTGTTAATCTGAAATATGTTTTCCCAATGTAACAATATAATTATATCCCTCCAAATTAGATGGTTCATGATATCAGAGCATTTATAATACTCCTGTTCCTTCAGATTTTTAATGGACAGTCAGAAACAATCGTTTCTTTGACTGCCCCAGATATGTGAAAGGCCTTCCGTTTTGTAGGACCATATATACTAGTTCTTTAGGACTACACGGCTATTCAATAGATGTTTGCCCATCAAATTTCTTCTATGGTTGTTTTATCCTTTTGAGTGATTTTCTCACTTTGTATTTATTTCCTTTATAATTTATTTTTGTTGATTTAGTTTTGAATTAACCAACCACATGCTATTTATTTACAGGAAAGAGTGAAAGCTGAGAAGATCAACAAGAATTTACGTCAACAATTAACTGATTACAAGGTACCAGCAGTTATGGAATATGTTACAGAAAAGGCTGATCTGTATGATCTTCAGAAAAAGGTCAAAAGTTGGGAGCGAAAAGTCGAAATTGCAGATGTGAGTTTCAACAATTTTTGTATATTACTTCCAGAGTGTTAAGGCCCTTGTTTCAGTTTGTAGTACTTTGTGAACGAAAATTATAATCTGATCTGTATGAAATTGTCTTGTAAATGCCCCATTACCTACAAAAGATTAAATATGCAACAACCCTTGTTGACCGCTCGGACAATTTAGCTGCTGTTTGCGTATGTTTTGTTGCCTGGAAACCTATCTTTAATACTAGTTTTTGAAAGATGAATGTTGAACTTTCCAGGTTAAATTCCAAAAATTAAAGAATGTAATATTTCTGCCACTGTGTTAAAATATTGAGATGTGTTTGTGGTGAAAGGGCATACTCTAAACTATAATCTTGTGTTTCGTTATGAAAGAATATACCACACTTGAGTTTATCATCTCGGGGATAAGATTTTGTCTTGGTTCAACGGACTACTTTAAATAAAATTTGCAATCTGTCTTTTTGGGGTACTTTAAAAGTATATTTCCTAAACAGTTGCCAAAAACTTACCTTTCAAGATACTTTAATGAGTTTTTCTGAGAAACTAAAAAATTTAACAGTCACCATATTTTCATTAGATAGAAATAACTATTGAGTGTCAAAACAGATGACTTATTTATGCCCAAGGGAACATCTCTGTAAGGCTGACTTTTCTAACTGTATTCATTGGTAAATAACAATATATGTGTCAAATGTAATTAGATAATCAACTGTGGACTAATGCTAATGTAATTAGATAATCAACTGTGGTCTAATGTAATAAAATAATCTAACATGTTCTAATGTAATAAGATAGTCTACTGTGTTCTAATGTAATAAGATAGTCTACTGTGGTGTAATGTAATAAAATAATCTAACATGTTCTAATGTAATAAGATAGTCTACTGTGTTCTAATGTAATAAGATAGTCTAATGTAATAAACTAATCTAACATGTTCTAATGTAATAAGATAGTCTACTGTGTTCTAATGTAATTAGATAGTCTACTGTGTTCTAATGTAATACGATAGTCTACTGTGTTCTAATTGATAAAATAATTAATGTCTTCATTGCAGATGGCGTTGAAAACGCATCGTAAAACGTGGAAACAGTTGGAGATTGGAAGTCAGATGGCTAATCAGTGGCGTATGGTGGAACCATTGTAATTAAAGTGACAACTTCTACAACTTGTCTGTAGTTGCTTCTTGTTATTATGGATTTATTGATGTGATAAAGCAAGATTTAAATACAGATCCTCTGCATTGTTATTTTTGACAACCACTTTAAAACTTATTCTAAATACAGATATATGTTGTGGTGTATCACTAGGTCTGTAAAGTATAAGGCTGTGAGGGCTGTTTTAAAATATTTTTGTATATATATACACCGTATGTATAAAGCTGTACACATCAACAATAACACTGCATGTATAATTTACATTTGTAGATATGAGTTTTTACTAACCTTCTATTGTGTTATTTGGGTGATTCTCTCAAAATTTTCACTTTGTTTTATATGAATCTGTTTTATATGAATCTGTGATATTACAAGAACTGTAGAAATGCTTTTAAAGAGATATACACATGTGGTTCAATCAGATTACAATGTTAGGCTGTAATCTGAAAGCCCACTTCTCAGTCAACTGAAAATATCACTGGGCCCTTACATCATCAGTGACAAGGGGGCATTTAAGCCATTCATTGTCACTCACACAAATGCAATTTGTGGGTATAGTATTGTAGATAGACTTATTTGTCACAAATATGTACAACATAATAAATTTTATAATCAAGATGTATATGTTTAATTTAACACTATTAATTATACTAGTTGATATTGTACAGTATTTATGTGTTATATTTATTATATCATACCGAGATACAAGTATTAATTATGAGGTATAATAAAATATGATTTCAGTTAGTTCAACTCAACCAGAAATGTATTTTGTTTTTATCACTGATTAAAGTTTAAATTGGCACATCAGAATAAGATTTCAGCATTAATAGCAATGAATTAGAAAATGATCCCCTGTGCATGGGTGTGACTTTTAACAGCCGATGACTGCCGACAAGCTATTTAACACACCCACCACAAACTGAGAACAACCTTCATTAAAAATTAATAACATAATAAATAAAGAATAAAATATAAAACCATTCATTGTACCAAATAAATAGAAGGTACAGTGCAGTACAGGTAAACAGGTAGCACGATTTACCTTACAGGTAAAGCTTAAGGAGACTTGGGGTTATATCTAGTTAACTAAGATAATCAAATCAGCAGATTATCACCCATTACCGATAATAATCCAATGTCCGGCACTATTTATTCCGTGCAATAACCAATGACAGATTATGTCAAATAACATGGAACTAAATTCACACAATTCCAGCATTCCATTGACATACAAATCATATTTTTTCTTGAGCACTTAATGTAACCCAAATTGCGTTTTTGCAAACTGGTAGTTATTCTAGTGTTGTGTATTATTGTTAATGTATTAAATATATCATATTCTTATCAAGATTGTTATTATTTTTGGTGGTCGTCGGCAGTGACAAATTTGATTTGATCTAACAGGTGATGTGTGATAAATTAAGATGTAAAGGTTTACAAATCGGTATTTTATAAATTTTATTATCATATCTTTTTAATTATGTCACTTAAAGCACTATATAATTGTGTGATGTTCAAATAATAAAAGATGTGTTTAAACTATTGATTCTGAATCCTGTTCATCACCAATAAAAAAGTTTTTGGGGTCAATTGGCAGTGTTATAGTTTCATCTATAAAAGGCACTTCATCAGCATCAGAATTATGTCCAGAATCATTTTCTTCATTAATAGTAATACCAGAACGCACAAACGCTGTTGTAGAACTTGTATGGCCACCAGTATTTGCAGCTGAGGCCTTTGCCTGGTCATAAGAAATAATACCAAACTTCTTGAGTAAAGCGATTCCAGGCATCCACATTATAGAAAATAATACTAGAACAGCACACATTACTCCAGCATACCATGGATACAATTTGGGTTCCAGCTCAGCCTTTAAATAAAATAAATGTTGTACAATATTTGAGTGATTAAAACAATTTCTATATAGACATTGATATAAACCCAGCCTTTTAACATGCCCTATAACAATTGAATACATTTATAAAGCATACATTGTTCACCACATAACCTATTCATTCATGAAAACTTATCCATTAAAAAGAAGTTGATCCGAACCGCCATTTACAACATCTAGAACTGAAACCGTCAGACTGATATTTCTGGTATTCTGATGACAACAAATCCATTAATTATATTGGTATACTGATTCAATAGCAAGCGCAGGAGGACTGCACCATACAATTACGCAAGACAAACTAGCGGACAGGCTAGAATATACATCAACAATAAACTTACGTATATATCAAATCTAATTAGTGACTAGCTATAGTCTTTCTTTACTATAATAATAAGGTTACTGACACAGATAACGATCCACACATGGATATATGTGAAAGTATACTTACATTTATTTTATTATAGGCGAAATATACTATTGGTTTACTGAATTTACTAAATAAAGTTGCTATTAATAAACACGCCATAAGTAAAGGAGAAATCACCCTCCATACTATTCTCCAGTAAAAGTTTGGTCGGAACCCTATCATCATTTCTACGTCATGTGCAAACCTGTTAAATTATAAATGGATAAACAAGGTAGTTTTTCTAGTGTAAAATGATTTTTTTCTATTATTATTATTATTACCTGCCGTGGCCTGTATAAAGTTTAGGCGAGGGGTGGGGGCTGCACGGCAGTTCGCCATTATGTCTGATGGTGAACCTACGATTCTCGTACGGATCAGTAGTCATCTCGTCAAAGATTATTAATGCGTTAATTGCTACGCTAGGATATGTAATTAATACCCTCATGTCAACTCAATTATTATGAATTTGCGGAATAGTTGTTTGCTGGTCTAATTTGCAGACAATGCACAATGCAATATTTTCAACCAATCACGACCCAATTTTCATAAATATTTTAAGTTGGATCCGTCTTTCAAAACTACAGTTGTCCGCGATTATCAGAAACCTTTGAAAGGGAAGACTGTTGTACGAGGGTTAACCTTGGAGATCTATACAAGCTTTGTCGGAATATGAAATGAAATGGCGTTAATAAACGTCCTTGGCTATATACTGAAGAAGAACATACGCCATCCGAACGACTATACGTTGTCACTTGCCAGGCCCTCCTACACAACGGAGAAGGGGGGACCCACCGTGGGAAATCCCAGTGAACTTGTATCTGGGCAGGGTTAGACCTATTTGATAAGGCCAACTTCAAAGGTCACGAGATGTAAACGGGGCTAGCACTAATCCCAACCCTAACCCAGTCCTAACCTACAATCTCGCGAGCCAATAATCACGTGCCCTAACCCCTTATTTACATCTCAGCGACCTTGACGAAATAGTTGGCCTTAAAATAGATCTAGCCACCTATGCAGGGGCGTATTGTTGGTGGGGGTGGGGGTGCACGGAACTGTGGGTAAAGCACTAGAAACATCAACGCTGATTGATTAATCAATGTCTGACGTCATAGGGTCAATTATTCCTGCGGTGCTCGGCTGGTGGCTGCGTCACTCGTATTAAGGGACAGTGCATCTGTCAGTCTCATTTTTGCTAGACACCCCAAAGAAAATCGATATGTACGCCCCATTATCTATGCCTAGCGGGGTTTAGTGGTCAAATGGTCTAACGTGTCCGCTTTGGGCCAACTGGTTTAGTTTCGATTTCCTGCTTGTGTGTGGCAAGGAGTAGGGTCCCCTCTTTAAATTCGTGGGTTTTCTCCGGGTCTTCCCACTGCTAAAGACCCCCACGCGCAAGCGATTTATTAAAATCAAATTGTGTTAGTACAACCCCATTTCTCCCCCACCCCTCTCTGTATCTTAACCTATACTTACTTGTCTAAACCATAAACATAAGTGATACCAATTGTTTCAGCTAAAGCAATTAGGATAAGCGGAAAGGATCCAGCAAATGCATCGAATAGCGCCACCCAATAGGCCCCAGATCCTAACACAAATAGAATTCCCACAAAACAACTTAATCCACATAAAACAGCTGAAAATAAAGGAATATTATACAATAAGACACGCTAAAAGTCGCATACGAAGTGCAGATCATCCTAAAATTTAAAGTTTTCACAAAACTCAAGTTACGTTACAGAATGGTTGCAAACTTTGGATTGTCCCAGTGATCGCTGGACCACTAAGGTGGAAACAGAATACTCGGTGTGGTTTACTTGTGCATTTTTATGCTACATAAAGACATAAAGAAGAAATTCGACAAGCTTCCCATCAATGAATTTTGTAACAGCCGCACCTAACACAAACATTAGTAGCGGCATGTGTCAACAATTAATATGAGAGATGGACACGCCAAAATTTAAATATAAAATGTAACTGAACCTGATACGAGCCACCTTCTTTTCATCCATGGAAACAACTGGAGATCATATAGTGATGTAGCAACACCCTCTATTGTACCAAACTCACTCCCTAAACCAAGAGATAGTAACATTAGGAAGAACACAAACGACCAGAACGGCGCAGATGGTCCAAATTCATTTATTGCTTGTGTAAAGATGATGAACGCTAAACCGGTTCCCTCGGCGCCCTGAAATTTAAATTATCTAAATGAAACAATTGGTGATCTTTGATCTGTTTAATATTACCTCCACTTTCCACGTTTTAGTTAAAAAATGTCCACCTCCCTTCCCGAGTACCATCACTTCAGGCAATATATTTATCCAAAAAATTTCAATCCGAATCCTTGGACAGCTCTTCTTTTGGCTATCATTGAGCTAGACATGGTTCCACTACTGATGTCATCCGTCTTGCTCCAGCCACAGTAGTGGATTGTCGTTCTAAGGAATTACTTTGAGCAGGTTTTGTCATGATTTGATAACAAAAAAGTTGCTGGCCTATAACTCTCTTAATTTCCAATTAAACCGACCCCAAACTACTGTACTGCGCATATAACTTAACATATCATAAACCAATTCCCATTGAAATAACGGTCAAACCTTACGCATAATAATATAATTATTTAATCCAACTTCTACGCGAAATTTCTGTCCATTTTCAAAACGGAAGCTCAACCAGAATACGCACGAATACCTCGATAATACATAAAAACTGTTCGGTAAGATAAGATTTCAGTGTTCCACTCTTCACTATTTTTAAGATAACTACTTATTTCCATGCATACTGTGGTGATATGTGTTGAAAATTTTGCAATTTAACCTATTTTTACAGGACGCGGGTATAATAATGCAGCTAACCTTCCGCATGCTTTTGTCAGACGATCTTTAACTATTAGACACACTTTCCTTGCCAAGCGTCTCTAGGAACCAGGGAAGTGTTCTAAACAATCTAGACCAAGGAACTTATCTAGTTTTCAAACTTAGCGAGCAGGACTCAAAGGATTATTTGGATGTGCTAATGACCAACAGGACCAAATGATGGTGGACTGGAAAGACCAGTAGACTGAGAACAAGGATATACTTACCTTATCAAGATCATCTTGAAGATTACAATGTCTAAAAACTTTTCCAGTAGAATTACTTATAGAAGATAAATTATTAGAGAATTGTTCTAAATACACGTTGTGAGATAATGTGGTTTTATTATAAGATGTATAAACATCTAATAATACATCTATATTACTGAAAAGAAATATACAGCAAACATAAAATGGACTTCTGGTCTGCTTGACTCACGTATCAACAAAAACCCTGAAATTATTTCTGCTTATTTTTATTTTAATATTAGTCGTCTGATGCTTGCCATTCTATTCATAATATTACATTTGAGTAGATACGATTTTGATATGGTATAACATTATTGTTACATTTTGGAAGACAGTGTTAATATGGAGTTGGTTACATTGTTAATATGGGCTTACATTAAGATTGATATAATTATTGAAGTTACATTAATATGCTTTACATATTTTCGTAGAAAAAAAACGTCGATATGGGGCTACATTAATGTAACATGTTGGCAGAACTTTACCGAAGAATAACGCGGAATTAATATAGATGTATCTTAAAAATGAAAATCAGGACATACTTACTGATCTAAACAGTTTTCAAACATCAAAGTTGCCTTAAATCCAAGAATAGCAAAGATGACAGCACAGGCATAAATGGCGGTAAACCAATTACACAAAGAAACCAATATGGCGTCTCTTTGAAAATTGTTGTTGGACGGATTATAACTTGAAAAGGCAATCAAACCACCAAATGCCAGACCAAAAGAATAGAAGATTTGTGTAGCAGCATCTAACCAGCATTGTGGATCATATAATTTTTCTAACTAAAATAAAGTACGGAAAAAAATCTTTAACTAAAATTAAAGTATAATGCCGAAAATGGATTCTGCCCCAATTATCAAAACTCCACATCACTCAAGCTTCGTGTGTCCATTTAAGGCGACCTTCCAAAAACAAATACAGGTAGATTGATCCAGGGGTAGGTGGTAGGAAGGAACACCAGCTTAACAAAACTTGCAACAAAATATTTACTTTAAATTGTAAAGATAAGTGCAGTATCCTTTTAAAAGCCAGGGCCCCGTTTCTCGAAATCTTAACTAAAGATAAAATTCAAATTTTAGTAGATACTTCAATTTTGACTGACTAAGCACTAAAATCAATCTAATATTATCCAATCAAATTACTAAAATTTGGATTTTATCTTAGTTAAAATTTGGTGAAACAGCCCCCAGGACACTCCCACCCCCCAACCCTCAAAGTCAAATCTAGCATGCACATTATTACCCATTCTGTTTTGATCCAACATTCTCGGAGAGTTATGTATTTATGCCTGTGTCTGTCATTTTATTATGTTCATGTAAACGCATTTATAGTGTATTGTTCTATAATATGTATAATAGTAATTTACATTTCTGTATTTTTTTGTATTATAATATTGCCATATTTTTATATTGTGTCAGCGTGTCACCATGAATGACAGATATGGTGGTTAACTGTGACAACGCGCGTATATAAGGAACTCCACCTAACTAACATAATGCTGTTCTTATGTTTTTATGTATTTAGATATCTAGGTCTCATGGCATTAATATGCGTCATTCCATTTCATTATTGTTAGGGACTGTTCTAATGGTATTATTGTACCCGATTATATATTCAGTGCTGTTCAGGGCCGCCGAGAGAATTTGTATGTGCTGGAGCCATGCAAGTTTTAGAGTCCCGTCCCACACGGTTATGTGACTCTGTAGTTGTCCTATATCTTTTTATTCATAAAAGCAACAAATATATACCTTTGGCGTAAACATGTGAACTAAACCATCTGTGGCTCCCTTTAATGTGATTCCTCTGATGAAAAATATGGTTAGTACAATATATGGAAAGGTAGCAGTGAAGTAGACAACCTGAAAATATCAAATATCTTCATTTAAAATAAAACAATACTTTGTAGGCGCTCTGCCAGATGTACACTAGAGTTATAAAACGATTAAAAGTGGTCGATGGTCCAATATTTCAAATAAAACGCGGATTGGAATACAAAACAATGGTGTTGGCTTCGTTATGTTTTTCTGGTATCAGGCAACAGGATAATTAAAATTAGTGTTTAACGTTTAACGTCTAACCAAGTCGTTTTGGGACAGGCATGTTATCGCCTGCTTGAAGTGGGAGAATACTGTTACCCCCAACACTCCCCTACACTTTAAGAGCGTATAAGCAACCAGCATTAAGTATTTAGTATTATCTACCTATAATGTCTCTAAGGAGATTATTATAGAAATATAGATTAGATAATCCAATTAGGTTGATGGTGGTTTAAGTGCTCGTCAACACAACAATTAGGTCATGCATGGACATCGACGTTTCCACATTCTCATTGAATTGAAACTGCCAAGGATTTTTTTAAGTGCACGCAGACGTGTACATACCTGGACCTTGGTTTTTAGTCCCCTCGAACAATTAGACAACAGTTTACCTTTTAGCCCCGCAGGCACTACCCCTGATAATTAATATTCAATTTCTAGCCTAATTTTGCTGTCTGTACAAATCAAGCGTAGGTGAACAACAATATAGTCATTTTTGGGTCAGAAAGTTAAATTTATTATCATAAACAAATTCGTTGGAATAGCCGACTCGGGTAAAGGATTTGGGTAGTTAGAATTGCCAATTGTCAACAAATAATTTAAGATGTTATTGCGAGAAATTTTATCATTGTTATTAAAATAATACCACCCGCATTTTGTTTACGATTTTATGTACCAGTTGAGTACGGCAAACCGTCATATTATCCTATTTTATCCCGAACGTTAGTTTAAGAGAGTTAATTTTCAGAAAAGGAATTTGATATGACCATGGTGTCTTCAGATGACAATGTTTGTATAATTTCCACATTAACAATCCCAACAGAATTTCAACAAATTGGTAATTGCTTCTTGGCGTCACTAGTTCAGTGCAGCACTCGAAAACTGTGCTGATAAATTATAATCGAATTCTTTAATTGTCCAAACAATATAATATAACCTGTCCTTGCTTGAATCTCGAAGTGGTGTATTGGTTTAGAGCCATTAAGTCTCCAGCCCAATCAATATTGTCATTGTGTATGCAAGATTAAGGATAGGTAAATACAGTCACATACATGTATGTTTTAAGTAGTTCGGATGGAACTGAGAACCGATTTCCGTTGCTATGCTGCGTGCACGTAAAATAACCCTTGACAGTTGAAATTCGAAATAAAAGTAGGCTGTAGAAAATTAAAGAATACTTCATGACGTATGTCGTCTTCATTAGGCCGGATGTGCAGAAAAGTATATAGGAAGTTAAACCCACATTTCATTTTATTTACTTATATGTTTCTATATATCTTTTGGTGTAATAAATCTTACGTATTAACACACAATCTCGATATAATGACCCTTAATTAACTACCCGTGTCCACATTTATCGAAAGTAAAAGTATGCACGATTTTCGAACAATAGGTTAATGGGACCGTTGGCATAACTTGACTAAGTTATTGGAGATCATTCTCCTGTGCGTTGGTCATTTACATCTGCTCTTACACCGATGGAATTTTATAAGGGAAGGGGATGAGACAAATACAAACCTTTCCAGAGCTCTTGATACCTCTACATATACACCCAAATACGACCAACCAGGCAAATACCAGACATAGCAACATCTTCCAGTTGATACCACCAATTTCATCAATACCCGGTGAAATCACTAACGCCTTACGGTACCAGAAATATGACGTAGGTCCAGCAATATCGCACTCAGGTACTGGAATCGTGTGATTTGGCGCTATTGTTGTCATGGGACACGTTGCCCATGGTAACGGACTTTGGAAGGAATGGAAAAGGTAGTAAAAACACCACATGATGATAGCATTATAATACAAGGCCACCGTAAATGATGTTACACAACTAGCCACACCGACACCCCCCATTAAAGGGTGAATCCGGTTCCACACGCCCATACTTCCGGTTCGCATCTTCTGCCCAATCGCAAGTTCTAAATATAGCAAGGGCATTCCCTCCACAAATAACATGACGAAGTAAGGAATGAGAAAGGCACCTGTTAAAAGAATAACACAGAAACACATTAATTTAATTATGTTAGTACATGTATTAAACCATGTGCTCAAAAATAGGCCTCGGGCATTTTAAGCCCATAATTATTATGCATTAAACTTATAAAATAAGTATCTCAGACACCTTTTCCCATCTATTCTGACATATCCCTGACTTTACTTTCGACATTATAATACATACACATCTCCGCAACTAATGTCATGCCACTTGTCGACTGTTGACAGCTTTGCCAATAATGGAAAGTAAGGACATAACCTCTAGAAATAATTCTACACCGCGAATGTAACACTGCAATGTGGGAAAAGGAATGCAAGTTTTATACCGTTCAACAACATAAACAGCAGACGCATGTTCGTATGAAAATCCGAAATGTAAATCAAAACCATATTATTGTTCGTTGTATTTTTTAATCTTCGCTTATAGTGAGCCGTTTCTTTAGAATTCTAGTATATACTTCTGAATATATTGGAAATTTGGTCTCCGGGTGCAGCGAAGCCAAAAAAGTGCGGACAAATAGGACAATGCCCTTAGACTAAGTTGTCATAACAAAGTCATATGCATCAATTGTATATAGATATATCTTTTTTCCATATATTTACATAAACATTTAGTTCATATAGTTGATTTAGTGGGACAGTTTATTGTACATTAGCTTTACATAAATTACATGAATTGGGTTAATATATAGATATAACGCTAATGATATATCTTGATTATGTTATATTTGTGACATGACAATTAGAAGAACAAACCAGTTTATATCATTGGTTCAGTAAAGATGTTTTAGCATTTCCAGTTCTTCTTCTGTCCATCTTATAACGAGACAATGCTAAGCTAGTGAATGTCGGGGCTTTTGGTGCAAATGCGCCCTCTAAAGCACGGGACAATAGCCGAGTGTTTTTATAATGTATTTCAGCAATTATTCTTCGGCGTTGAGATGGTTCAAACGGCCCACTTTTTTTTTAGATGGAACCTGGATTCGAGATTTGAGTTGGGTATATACGTCAAAGTGCACCAAATCGGTTGCATACTTATCTGATGGGGTTCAAATGGTAACCGTGTTAGAAGCAGGGTCTATTTTAATGTGCCCCTGGATAAAAATATCCGTGCTTTGAAAATCTGAAATCCGTGCTTTGAAAAAATGCTATGTAGCCTTGTGAATCTGGCAAGATTGTATGGGGAAACTTAGCTATCATTATGATCTTCGACCACTTTCAATTTCTGTTTCAAAAGATTTGTATTGTTAACATATTCCCATCATGTTTCTTTGCACTGTAAAAAATACTGACACGCCGTTATAAATATAAATATGTTAATTCTGTTATATTTTGGTGAAACAGCGTAAGCTTGATATTGTGTTATCGGAAGTTAGATTTTCACGGAACCCCAAAACCCCGGAAATTGTGCTTCACCAATAAAACCTGGCCAGAAGACATCCGATTTCATCGTTTCTGCACATTCCGGCACCACCGAACCTAACAATTATCACATTGTAGGAAACGCACCATATTATGATAAAAAATTTCCTTCCTTCGTTTTTTACACAATTTAATACATGTACATCAATTGAATGAATGAATGGGTGGGATTTAACGTCCTACTTTTCTACATCAATATTGTAGAAACTGTGTATTCTTTTTCTTAGACGTACAATAATTGTAAATTGTCGGAATTTCTGGATAAATTTATAGAAAATCATACTTTTACCCCTGCGTTAGCAAACTGTTTTCCTTTAAATATGAGTCTTGTTTTTGTTTTGTTGTTTTTGTAAACCTTGACCTTTATATATAATATTATTATGAATGAAAAATGAGTTTTAAGTGTAGTCCGTTCTACTAATACAGTTTTATACGGTCTAGTGAAATCAACACGTGTTAGACACATTATGGTGACATAGTCATAATAAATTATAATGGCGTTTCCTTATGTTTTTGTGTTATTTTTTTTTTCGAGATATTTTATTTTCTATAAATGAATAGCAGATTGTGGCAGAAGCAAAATGCTCATGTCAAACCCCTATCTCTGTATTATTTGTTGGTTGGTACAGAAAGGTTTATTTGTTTATTGGGGGCAAAAACACATTCTAAGTGTGCAATTGGGATCTGAATACTAGAAAACTTCACTTTAAAAAAAAAACAATTTGAGGGTGGCGTGAGCCGGCGGGTCGATTAACATGTCACGGATCAAAATACAAGCAAACCCTTTAAATAAACACAGGAAGAGAGCCATGGTAAAATGTGGTAAATCTGATTTACTGACTGGGTACCAGAAAAAATAATAGTAGAAGGGTAGCGGTGACGGGGATAGGTTAGGAAGGTGGCATAACTCCTTGCCACGTACAATCGTAGAAAATAACTCACGAATTGCAAAAATGATCTACAACGGACGCCTTATAGACTGCTTATATATACCCACCCACACCTCTTATTTATTTAATGCTTTCACTAAGTTGTATAAACATAAGTATTGGAGATTAAACCGATTGTCACACTAATTATACGGACTATTATAGTAAATACAATGTTTCGATATCATTTTTAACAAAATGAGCAAAATGTAAACATTGGCTGCATACTTCTACTGACATATGTGGGTTTATTCAGAATATTCGTTCACAAATTGTTTTCATTGTATATGCAAGGACCGGTCTCCACTCGAGTGTTAAAAGTGTAAGTAGTACCGCAGATAAATAACACAATATTTACTGAAAATAATGCGGCGGCAAATGGCCAATTTATGGTTAGTGGAAAATGGCTTCTCTCAGCTCGGTTCCCACAAAATGTACTCTTTTTTGACCCCCCCCCCCTTAGAACGCCCTGCATTTACACTTCAGATCCAATTAGAAGTTGTTTTAGTGTCTTGACACATTTACATAGAATTCATTTATAAATAATTATTTTAGAAGAAAAAAGCCCATTCATGTGTTTAAATCTTACCCCCACCATGCTGCTGTGTCAAATACGGAAATCTCCAAACATTTCCTAATCCAACCGCATATGATATCACCATAAAGAAATACTGCAATTTGGAGTCCCATGCAGCTCTGTCAGGTGGTTGTGGCAAGTCGTGATCAGTAACAACATCGGCTGATGGTAAATTAAGTGGTATGATTAATTCCGTATTGTTTATTCCATCTTTGGAAATTCTTTTACGTTTACCCATTCTATTTCTGTCCTGGACAATTCACAACTTATATACTGATATAATCATCGTATATTTATGACATTGTTGAAGAATTTGGACGAGTCCATTCAAGCCATTAATACAGAACAGTCTCAATTTTCATACAAAAGTGCTCACGTTACATATACTATAGTATAATTTTTGGTGTTGATAATTTAAGATTTTGTGAATGGAACTCAACAAACCGTGTCACAAAAGTTTTAATATCGTAGGCGGGCGGGGAGGCCAATAGACGTCCCGGAATTACGAAAGCACATGACTGACATTACTGAAATACCGCTGGATTCCGTAGACGAATCATTGAAAAATATATCTATTTTCAATGTCGAAATTTGAAAACGTCACAGGGAAGCAAATCTTAACTAGCTTAGTTCTCTTGAAACTATGTCCATCGCCTAGTATTATAAAATGTTTAAAAAAATATTTAAATAATGAGCGACGTATAACTGAGTTCGTATCAGTGCGTATTTACGCAACTTACATGGCTGGCTGAAAATATATATCTAAGCCTGAAAAGGATAGACCAATTGGGTTGAAACAAACTTTTGCCACCACCAAGTAAATAATTGAATGAATCATAGTTTTTTCCCCAAACTCAGATTTCGGGTAAGCAAACTAAGTTATGCAAGTGGTTTTCCTGTTGCCGTATGTAGTGGGCACCCATGGGGTCATAATAATGAAAAGGCCAATTAGTATAATGACGATAAAACTTTTTTTCCGTATAACTTCATAATACATATAAGAATAACTGCATGTGCAAGAGGCGTAAATATACAACAATTAAAATCAATCTGGAGGAAGTATTTAAGCGCGGGATCAGTATAGATCATTTAGACTAAAACCCGATCTGGTGAACTTTACAGCAGTTTAGCTGGTGCTACATTTGCCGACAGAGCCCGATCTGGCATTGGACTATTATATTGCAGCAGTGCGACTAGTTCGGCTATACTTACCGTAATATACGGTGACGTGGGTTGATCTGGTAACGTCATGTACCTTCTAGTTGTTACAACAACATATTAATCAAGCCTGAATCGGAGTAAGGTACCCTGTACCGATTCGGGTAATCTCACAAAGATTTTTAAAAACATGTCCTCCTTTTCAACAAACGTTTTAGCAAATATCAACACATTCAAATAGTCAATTGCAAAGAGTTCGGAATCAGATTTGGCTACTCATGTAAAAGCATAATGGTAAAGCGGCAATGGGAACCTTACACCTACAACGTTAGTCTAAGCCAGCATACAACAACAACTTTAAGTGGTCTTGAACTACGTTTACCATGGACAATGGTCCTGCGACTTATTTGCATATCTGAACATTAGGAAACTCAACTATATTATCATCTAAACCTTGATTATCAATAAAATAAAATACAACTAGAAACACGAACTTTCCAATGAATGACATTCCATTATGGAGTAATGGCGTCTTTAGGCTACTGCAATACGGATGGACAATATTTCTCAGCTTACAAAAATACTAATTACTTAGTTTCGTAATAATAGACACGTGTTATTATTGTCTTCACCAGAATCACCAAAGCAGAAATGGACAAAACCGGCTATAGGGCAGTCATCAAGTACCTGCAACTAAAAGAACTAATCCTAGCACCGATACATGCTAACATGGTCTCCACTTTAGGGGATGGTGTCCCTTTCTTTTCCGCAGTAAAGAAGTGGGCTGCGGAATTTAAGCGTAGCAGAGAGAGCTTTGACGATGCCCCACACCCTGGAAGGCCATCAACAGCAAATATTCAAGAAAACATTACCGCTGAGTGTATGACATGGTGATGACTGATCGACGATTTACCACTCGACATATTGCCAGTGCTGTGAGCACATTATCGCCAACGAGCTGGGAATGACAAAAGTTTCTGCAAGATGGGTGCCAAAACTCTTGACTGTGGGGAACAAACGTGTCAGATTCCTGACGTCCCGTGACGTTCGGATGGTACGAAAACCCGAGGCCCCGTGTACACATTAACGTACAGGTAATAGAACAGTTGAAATTCGATAAGAGTAGGCCGTAGCGCCGCTGTCCGGACAAAATTTCCCTCATAGCACACTGTATGGCGTATGCCCATCTTCACTAGCCCAGTGAGAGCAAAACAGTTTTGAAAATAAATGTGCATTCCGGTCTTTCATAGAGCAGTCTTATATCTAGTAAGTTGTTTGACCTATAAATGATTGTATAAACGTTATGGTAAACAGATTGTTAACATCGTATAATAGACTGATATAGCTTAAAATCGTTGATATTGTGATTATTGCTAACACGCATCAAAAAGTAAGTTGTGCTGATCTTATAAAATGTTCATACCAGAGAAAAAAAAACCAAAACCCCCCCAAAAATTAAAATGCTATTTTTTGATATTAAGAAATAAAAATATGAGAACATTTAAATTGAAATCGCATATCTTGCCTCCAAAGAAAGATATTCCTCGTAACTTCGAAAAAATTTCCATTAATAAATTTATAGGGACTAAACCATTTCATCATGTCAAATAAACTGTTGTGAAATAACATTATAATACAATGCGCATAATTCAGCAGCTAATGCCATTTCATGTCATTTCTCAACTGTTGACAGTTTTGCCTGTGACTGAAAACAAGGACGTTACCCCGAGAAGGAAGTACTGAACTGAGTTGATTTGGTGTGCTATTTCAATTAGTGATGAGGCAACCTTTACATGAGTAAATTATGGTTTCGCAAGAGGAAGTTTACTAAATATCACAAAACTGGATTGATCTATAGACGTACAATTTCGTCATCGCACAAAATAAACCACTACATCAATTCCAAATCCAGTCAAATTGAGACATGCGAGTATATGATTGATGTATATATAAAATGTTCAATTTAATTCTTGAATCCAGTAGTTTTCTCGATCAATGGGGTGAATTGTTCATAGTTCCAGTACACAAGACGGTGGGCATACAGGTCGTGAATAACAATCCTGGAATTGTGCTAGAACCCTGCTTGAGCAAATGCCTTTTATATATATTATATTATCAATAACCGTATATCTAAATATATTGAATCAAATAACATGTTTGACCAAGCTCAAATGTCTCTTTCTTCATGTAATGAAACATAATATTAATGGAAAATATCTGAATTTAATATTTAATATTTAAGACACAGTGAACATTTTAAAATCAAAGCGCCATTTGTAATGAACCAAGAAAACCATATTCCACAAGACAATGTGGAAGTAATTAAAAATGGCTGATCCACAAACGACAAAATAATATTTAAAAAAAAAACGTGTAGAATAAGCAGGAGCAAACGACTTTTATTTAATTTGGGCTGTTCATGTATTTCATCGAACGTAGTTTATTAGAACTTACAATAAAACGTTTAAAAATTGAATCTAAAGAAATCACTTTAAATACAATATTAGATTAATATGTACCTTTAGACCTATATTCGTCTATTTTAAGGTTCCAAAGAATAGAGCTAACGCCCTTTAACCATAGTTGTGGTTTAACGTCTGCTTCTTCAATAGCGATATCGTAGACAATCCTGACACGGGTAGGCTACAAATCAACTCTTTTAAATCAAAGCGGTGCATAGACCACCGGTATTATGTTAGTAGTCTGTAGTAACATAAGATCATTTTTGTTGCATGAAAATTTCCACGGTTCGTGACGAACGCGTTATGCAATGTAACTATTAACGAATTGCCTAATCTGATGAAAAACACCATTTTATTAATTTAACTGACAATAAAAGTGGGAATCGGGCTTGAAAAATCTGGATACAAACCCGAGACATTGTAGTCCTTTTATCACTCCCCTAATTACTAATGCGGTCCCATAATCACTTGATATTGGTGACGGTAATTTATAAGCTTACATAGGGCCGTTCTTTGTTCTAAATTGACTTTAGTAGACGTCAGAGAATTAGTGGGCGGTGCTAACCGAAATCTGTTTCAGTAGAGTTTTTAATCTTGGGATTATCAAAAATAAACCAAGTTGCTCAAAATAAATGGCCCTCTAATATAATATATGATTAACTGCTGTGATTTACAGATTTCGCAATAGGTGGTTTATGGCCTAATTCTATTCACTTATTACTCCGTCATATGATACTGTAATTTACCTATAATAGCAGAAGCTATCGATTCATATGGGGTTAATCTTCTGGTTTAACTTCAAATGGCATTTGACTTGAATTATGAAACAATATTCCCCCAGCGTTTACACGATATCTAGATGTATGCAAAATAATGTGGTCGGTTGACATAATCCAAAACAACACGTAAACTGACCTTACTAGGAGCTTATAATACTTTACAAATTTAATCATGTTTTGTCTTTTTAAATATACAAGACAAACAGTGCCAGATTCCCATGGCGCACTTGGCACACCTGCGCCAGGCACCCACCGCTTAGCGGCCAAGATAGAATACAGAAAACATTTTACAACTACACATTCAGTCATTTGAAAAGAATTAAAGTTACAATTTCATATTTTTAAGTTATATTTTTAAAATGTATTAAAATAAAGCCCTAATATAGATGGTATCTATAAACAGTCCTGCCTTGTTAAAGAATAATCCTATCAATCCTATAATTCACTATTGCCAGTTGAGAAATTGGCAACAATATCATTTCAACTTCAAATTCAAACGTTTGAAGATTGCTATTCCATGGTGGGGAATAGGAAAACAAGGGGAGGTAATTGGGAGGTAATTGTTTTATTATTTCCGGTGTGAAGATTTTTAAGTGTGAGAAAGATAACCTATGATCGTATAATAGTGAGTTGACAACCTATTGAGCAAAAGACATAGAAATAATTATGTTTTGACTTTCTTAGAAAATATGAAATTGTAACTTTAGATTAACCCTGCGTTCCACGCTATAACGCAGGAGGAATCTGATTAAAATATTTCGTTTCGTTTTGTTTTTTATAATTTTGATAGTCTACACTACATGAAGATCTGACCAGTTGTACTAGGAGGTCGAGTCAGGGGTCATACGAGCGGCTTTTGACCCTATGACGTCAGACATTGATTAATCAATCGCCGTTGACGTTTCTAGGGGTTTACCCACAGTTTCGTACAGAGCACGCCAAGAACTCGCCGTAACTGACCGTTTCATTGGTTAAGTCCTCACATCAACTAGAACGCCTGTTATATAACAACTCTTCCAGATCCTAGTGTTGAAAAGACAAGTAAAACGAAATTTTGAACTATAAAAAACGAAAGGAAATATGATCTGTGTTTTAATCAGATTGACGCAGGGGGGGCTGTATAGTTATTTGGCACCGTAAAGCATTGAAGGTGACTTGAGTCAGAAATTGGACTTTTAGGATCAGTAATGATTTTATTCCAGTAAAGGCAGTTAAACCACTAATTTGATTGAAGCTTACTGAACAACAATTTGATACATAGGGAACATTGCTAACCATTGAGTATTCAGTAATCCACTTTCCGTATAAACTTAACCTATTTTTTGGAAGGGGTTCTGGACAGGGTTCCCCATTTACTTAAGCACTAGGACACCACATGCAACTTAATCCAGCACTGAGGAGATACGAAACTTAAGATGGCGGCCGCAACTGGCTCTACACAGTCCAACAGACATGCACATCCAATCTGTTTCACAGAGGATTACGATCAGTGTGATGCACATCAGATACGACACAATGTAAACCTGTTTCACGAAATTTTAACTAAGATAAAATCCAAATTCTAGTAATTTGATTGGATAATATCAGATTGATTTTAGTGCTTAGTCAATCAAAATTGAAGTATCTGCTAAAATTCGGATTTTATCTTTAGTTAAGATTTCGAAGAGCAGGGCCCAGATTGGGGTAAATGGACAGGTTTAAAAAGTGTAGAACTATACTTAAATAAGTCTACCGACACAGGCGCATTAGACTTTTTAAGACGGCCATCATCATCAGTGTCAATATATTGTCAAGTGCCCCCGCATGATCAGCGACTTCATTGGTACACAAGAATGAAAAATAGCTTTCAGAAATTTATGGTTTATCAGAAAAATAAGCTTTAGTCATCCACATTCTGCCCGCAATCTAGCTGACAATCAGCATAACACTATGAACGCAATTTTAAGTCTCCTCATAGGTGGCGAGTGTGTTCAGAGACTCAGAGCTGAACTACGTACGTTAGCTCTATAAACGTTATCAGCTAGGTCATTGTCACCTGAGTTGTTCTGACAAGACAGCCCTTTACTAGTCTATGAATCAAAATAAACTACATCCATAATACATCCATTTTAATCTATCCCTGCGTCCTGTCGCCATGCTTGTCGCTTGAGTGATCGTCTATAAATAGAAGTAAATCTGACGTATACAAATAGGATATCTACATAAACCGGGGTTATATAATACGACTGAGTTTCAAATTCCGGGTCAACATTCGACTTGAATTTTAAGGCGAACACATCTCTGGCTAGAGGTTCAGTACAACAGTCTTCATTATGAGCTCTAAACTTATGAACTGTCGGTTTCCAAAATCCGACGCGACGGTTCGACTTTTTTGCTTTCCGTGGGCTGGAGGTGGCTCTAATTTTTATTCAAACTGGGGTTCAGCTGTTTGTGACAATGTGGAAGTTATTGGAATAAGTTTACCGGGAAGAGAAACACGTATCTCCGAAAAACCAACAAACTCGGTTGAGCAGATAGTGGAAGAAGTGACAAAGAAAATGGTTAGTGATTATTCAGACAAGCCTTTCGCTTTATTTGGCCACAGTATGGGAGCTTTGTTAGCTTTTGAAACAGCGAAAGTCCTGAAAGAGAAATATCAAAAGGAACCGACCAAGATGTATGTGTCCGGTATATCGGGTCCGCACATTCAGGAAAAGGCAAGAGTCAGTAGGACCGTTTCAGAACTAAACGATTCTGAATTCATCGAGTATCTTCGATCATTAGGTGGAACACCGGAAGAAGTGTTAAATAATAGTGATATGATGAATATGTTTCTGCCCATGTTAAGAGCGGATTATTCCATTGTGGATGACTATCTGTATGAACTACCAGATGGGAAACCTTTATTGTCATGTCCTATTGCGGCCTTTGACGGAAAATCCGACAGAAAACATGAAATAGAAGCATGGCAACGGGTCACAACTGGAAAACTGACTCTTAATATGAGAGATGGTGGACATTTTTATTTAAAAGAACCAAAGAATATGAAATATCTTCAAGATTTCATAAGCAACGATTTTTTTGTTATGTGTGGTTAGATTGTGTTTATCATTTGAATTAAGGGAACAAATTCAACAATCACCTAAACAGAGTCGTTAAATTCAAAGTATATACTTAACATAATATTAACTGCTGGAAAGTGAACTAGATTATTTCAGATTGATAGACTGACTAGGTTATAATGAAGACGTATATCTCCATCATTACAATTGTATATTTTATAAGTTATTCATCATCAAAATAAACGTTTTTGAAGATACTATAATCATCATCACCACCATCTAAACGGTATTAATTTGGCTAATATTATGAGCATACCTTCAAACTGTATGACAGAATATCCCAAGTTACATAATTTATTAAAATATTATATAATTTAATTTATGATTTATGATTTTATAAGTCACGTGTAGAATAAATATATCACCTTGTACTTATTTTGACAACATGACATATTGTCTACGTTTGATGTACGGTAGATAGTTCGTCTGCTGATACTACATAAATCTTATCCCCGGCTAATACGACATGACATCTCCATACTTTATGGCACTGTTGTTATATTTATATAGGCGTATACATAAGAGTCGCAAATCGCTACCATGCACACATTCCGAGTTATTGCTACTTTTGACAAATGGACTCGGGCTAGACCAGTCTGACTACTAATTCCCCCCACAATGGTTCAAGTGTTAATATAACTAACTCCAGGGGCCTGTTTCACGAAATTTTAACTAAGATAAAATCCAAATTTTAGTAATTTGATTGGATAATATTAGGCTGAGTGTAGTACTTAGCCAATCAAAATTGAAGTATCTACTAAAATTTGGATTTTATCTTTAGTTAAAATTTCGTGAAACAGGACCCTGGACGTTTCTTGGCCTATAACATTTGTTTGGACGTTCGGATGAGCTTAACCTTTATAACCCCACAGCGTCCAACATGTCACAAACTTCGAATAAAATATTGAACTGGGTTGACATTCCATCTCGATTTTTTGCTACACCTGGTCAAAGAAATCTACATGTTCTGATGAAATGACTATTCACCAAAACCTGGCAGAAAATGTTAATTCAAACACTCTTCTTCGATTGTAGACCAAAAGTGGGGAAATAGAAGTGAGAAAAACTTGCTATCGGGATACCGAGTTAATGGCGGGGGTAATATTACTAGTCAAGCCCAAAATCCTTCCACGTGCATATTGCCTCCATTAACTAAAGGGTGGGCGCAGTTTTGTTGCCTGGCAACTACATGTCCTTAGTGTTGTTCAGTGGTCCTCTACTACTATGCAGAGCCGGTAATAATATAAAAAGAAACATATTGGTTGTTTGGTAGATTTCACTATATTATAGAGTAAAACGTTTTACATCAATGTCTGTTTTGATGAATACTAAAGCAATAACGATTACCAGTGTCCGGTTACTGTTGTCCGTAAAAAGGCCAAATAAACTGTACACCTATACCCCAAAAAGATTTTATTGGAAAACAATTGATCATGGAAACATTAATTACCGAAAATTATAAATCAAAATACTTTAAAAATGCGAAACAGAATATTTTGGTGCTATAACACCCAATAGGTATTTAGAGCAGATCGGTCATGTAGTGCAAATGATTTTTCTTTTTATCGTTTAGTGCATTGCAATAACTACATGTACAGCTTAATCTGTAATCAGTGGTAATCCGATACCTCTTCTGCTGTAAAATCCTTTCACACTGTGATCTATTCGTGTTCTGGCCCTTGAAAATGGTTCCAGTGGGGCATTCAGTCGCTTTCCATACTCTGATGATGCCAAAACTGGGACAGGCCTCTTGGCTTCCTGTTAAAAGAAGGAATGAATCCTAAGTTTCCACACAATGAAAAATATGCCGATCATATGCCCGGGGATGACAAAAATAATCATAATTTTAATGAAAACCAATTGATTTCTTTCTCAAATCTAACGGATAATAATTGCTAGCTCCAGGGTGTTAACAGGGCGTCGATAAAAAATATACAACTGATAGACAACTTATATAAGACGTCATGAATCATACAAACAGGTCAAAAATACCTTAGAATTATAACAGATGGACTGATTTTGCCATCCACGATATCCGCATGAAAATTATGGATTATCTGTGTACAACAGGGAGTGACTGAGAAGGAGCCTCTGAGTATGGTAGGCTTGTGGGGCCCCGAGATAAGCCTTTTATTGAAGATGTGTGTGTGCGGGTGTGTGTGTGTGGGGGGGGGGGGGGCTAAAGAAGGTATAGTTTTGAATTTACGTAGTTTTTGACGAATTGGTAACATTGCCCTTTGATAAAATTGTCTGTTTGATGGTTTGCAGTCTCTGGACGCCTGGCACCCGGGGGAAAACACTTTTGCCCCCCAATCCGCCAATTATTTACAAAGCTAAGAGTATTTATGTTTACACACCTCTTCAGTCACAGCAATACCAATAGTAAGAATATTTTTACGGTCATCTCTGTGTAGTTTGCTGTTGTAGCCAGGTTCATTGTGAAACAACCGTTCATAATTAGTAGATACTTCAGCCTGAAATTTCACATTAACATTTGAAGCGACGGGGAGAATGGGAAAAAATGTCAAACAACACAAATTAGGTTATTTCGGGATGGCTATGTGCACCAGGGTATATCGTTATTTCGCCTGGGACCGAAACAACGACACTTGACTCAATGAAAAACACCCTATCTCCACCAATCATAACATCCAGCTGCAGAAGAAAGATTGAAATGATATGTTTCATATTGATGCGCGATTGTTTTAAAATTGCACAAATGGTTACACGTTTCTTACTTCAGTATTTCTTGTTCTTTTACCATAGTATGATGTCTTGAGTTTCTTTAGTTCCTCCATGGTCCATTGTTCCATGCCACTCCAATGTCCCGAAGTATCTCCTTTAGTAGCAAGATGTTCTTTATTTTTTATAGTTATGTTCTATAAATACATAAACACACTTAGCTCCCAAAAGCAAGACATGGTAGGGGTTGATCCAGGCGGTCGATTGTTGGTGGAGAAGAAAAGGGGAATCAATTGTTTAAAAGCAATAGCTTTCCACTCACCCGTACGGTCATGGCGGATGCTGATTTCCTTTGTCTGTTCAAAATATCTCTACCAAAATCAACCTTTTAAGCCCAACTATCACATGTCAGTCTATGGGGCCCCATGAATATCCTTGTTTTATTGTTCATTTTAGCTGAATCATCTAGATATAACTAGTGTTGGAAAGGAAGGGGATGGGGGTAAAAAAGGTTTCGCCCCAACACATTTTTTCCTCTCAAGGGCCCTGGGCCTATACAGGCGAGTCTCGGACTAGGCTGCATTCAGGGGCCCCCAAATTAGTTCTAAAAAAAACCCTTTGTACCATAAATAAATATGACATATCACGATACTTAGGGAACACAGTGGAAATTAGATTATTTACAGACTTTTGTGTTCTCTCTGCATTTTTATATAAGGCGTATAATTTCATTTATATTTTGTTGTATATTATTATGTTTGTGCCAATTAAATCAATCTACAATATTGATATACAAGCTATACGGACAACGACCAAAATATATGCCCCCTTTTTACTGTTGAAGCAAGGGCCACAGTGACATTTTCTGCCAGGGCCCCATGCAAGCTTATTGCACATTAATTTCAAATAGGATTTCTGTCATTTTGAGCCGGGCTAGTTATATACTTACACGAACTATTGTTTTCCAAGAACCCAGAATTTCAGTGGGACCCAAGTCCCTATAACCATACGCGGACATATTCTTTTCTTCCATCTTTAAGTAATTATGCTGTAAATCTTAATCCACCAAGTCCAATAAAATAATAATGATTATGACGTCACAAACATGTGTAACGACAGGTTGCAGTTTGGTGCTCCAAGTTATGATTATAATGCAAGGATCAGCTATTCAATAATAATAATTACTACCCATCGCATAAACCAGTTTGAAGTGTTTCTACGTGTGCTCTCTGTGTGTTAATTTGATATATCAACGGGGGAGTTTCTGGATTGATTAATATAACAAAGAACACGTCCATATGGCATAGTTGAGTTAAATGAAGGACCTTATACTAACATGGTTAAATTTACTTTATTCACCTACATAGACTATTTTATCTGAATTTCAATGTTTTATGCCAAGATTTAGACTGCCCGGAGAAGGTAGAGGTATTTTAGTTTCAACTTGAAAAAAATAAAATAATAAAACCCGCAGCCAATACACATGGGTCGTTCGCATTATTCAAGCGCTAAATCTACCTATTGCACATTTTTATTTTGGCTTCAAATGTTATATAAATAATTATTTAGACATTTATAACGAACTCTCTAGACTGTCGGATGGCAGAGATTTTAACCAATTGAAATGCGATCGTGAGTCTCGATAAACAAGTTACGTTACTACGGTAATCTATACTAATATTTGTGACTGTCGTTTGTCTGTCTGTTCGGGGTTGGCGGCTACACTAGGTCTGCCCCGAATCTGAAATTTGGGGTATAGGGGTAGCTCGGACCGGGGAGTAAAATAGGCCAGGTGGCGTTAGTCTACCACTTCCGGTTTCGGGGTTAACAATATTTGCCACACCTTGTCAAAACTTCGAACAGTAATTTTCAATATATTCATTTTGAACTATATTTTGGATCTAATGCTGTAGCAAGAATGGTCAGCTCTTTATCTAAATCTTACATCTTTAAAGTTTAAATCCATAGTATAAGAATAAAAATCCTGGAAGGAACCCACAGAAAAAAGTATCATGGAGTTATCTACCTTGCTTGGCAAATATATGTCAGGGGCTTGTTTCACGAAATTTTAACTAAGATAAAATCTAAAATTTAGTAATTTGATTGGATAATATTAGATTGATCTTAGTGCTGAGCCAATCAAAATTGAAGTATCTGCTAAAATTTGGATTTTATCTTTAGTTAAGATTTCGATAAACAGGGCCCAGGTCCATAATATGTATAATGTATTTGACAGTAAATTTGTAATGACCACACTTGTGAGAGGTGGTGTCAACTTTGAGAGAAAGAAATTGAAGTGCATTGTCTTGTCAACACAATATTTCTGTCATTTTAAAACTTTCCCCCATAAGTAATGTTTCTTTCCAACTTCCCTGGGATACTTATATTTACACATTGGCAGGCCTGGTTTTCTGTTCCATCCAAAGGACAAGTGAGAACAAAATCCTGAGGTTTTTTGCCTAGACAGACTAGTCCAGTTCCAGAATTGCTCACCTGTCGTACTCCCCCCCCCCACGAGTCAGTCAAAATGAAATGAGGTTTAAAGTCCTACTTTTCTGCACCTACTGGGGTAATGAAGATGGACAGGTTGCGACTAAGGTGGCTTAGCCTACCCTGTGGTATCAATTTAATTCTAGTGAAATCAGAAAAAACATTAACAATATTTCTGCAGAAGGATTTTTTTTTATTTTTACAGATTTATTTTTTAGCCTTTGTAGACTTCTTAGTTTTCTTAGACTTGCTAGAGGCTGCAGCCGATTTCAGTTTACTGTATTCCTCATTGATCAATCTTGTTCTCTGTAATGTAAATTTAATTAAATAAAATCAGTCACTTCCAATGATTATTTACTTACAAAGTCTGTGTAGGCTTATAGATTATTAATCTTGTAGAAAGTAGATTACAATTTAAGTTTAAACTATCACCACAGTGTTTGGTCTGATAGTGAAAGCGCAAACTGTATCAGCCAATCACATGCCAAATCATAACTGCTAAACCAATAAATGTCGAGTCACTCCAATAAACAAATCATCTGAGCAGTCCACAAAGGTTGTTGCATTCTTTTGTCAGATATGGGAGCATTTACAAAACACTGATTAAGTGTAACAATACATGAAGAAATTATAAATATTTAAAATTGGATTGGTTTCTAGATCCTCCTTGTGCTAACATTTAATCAATTCAATTCGAAAATCAAACGCTCCTTTGTCTCATATCCACTGTCTATGAATTTTAAGTCAATCAGATAACTTTATCCTAAGAACATAAACAAGCACTTGTTGACGACAGATGGCTATGGATAGACAAAAGGGGGTGATAACATTTCAATGTGGGTGAATAAGAAGAAAATACTGGCAAGGAAATTCAATTTTAATTTAATCGTGATTTAGAGCTAATAGATCAATCCTTGTTACTTGTCTTAATATATAGCCTTATATAAACATACACCAGGTTCGAACGTTCCACCTCAATTTGAAACAGAGGTATTGTGTTCTAAAGTCTTGGCCAACCAAATTGCACATTTCTAAGCAGAAATTGCACATCAAAATCAATGAGTCAAGACATTCTTCTTCTGAACATTATACCTCAATTTGAAGCAAGAGTAATTGTGTCCCAAAAATTGAGACTGACAGACAAACCCATTTCAGTAGTCTCCTGCTTTCTTCAAAAGGCATCAGACAAATATTTTGAAATAATACTTACAGCTTGTTTGGCTTTCAACACCTTGAATCTGTCAAAATCTGTCATTTTTTCACGCTGGGAAAAAAGTACATAAATTTGTATTATATAATGTATAGTCTGGTTCAAATTACACACTATAAATAATAATTTCCATGTTTTTCAGAATACAATTTGTCATCTATAATATCAGACGGCAATTCCTATCAAGATATAAGGTTCATCATACACATGGAAATTCATACAATTTTATAGAAATCTGCAGTTGTTTAGATAGTTGAATGCTTCTTTATACACTACAAAATATACGCAGCTAGTCAATAAGGTTGTCACATTATTGTTTTGTTGGTAATGTGAGCATTTACAAGACATTAACTGGAAGGTCCACAAAATTTCATAAAAGTGATTAGAGGCAAAAACTAAGGAAGTAATTATAACCTTCTTAATCTTATGAACAGAAACTCTGTGTAACTGTAGCCTACAAGCTATGGAAAACGGACAAGGGATGACGACATTATACGATCAGATTTCAATGTGGGCATACAGTAAAACTCTGGCCATTTTTTGATATGTGACAATATTAGTTTTTCTCTTGTACAGTAGGTCAATAATAATGATAGGGGAATGTTTTAAAATACTTATGACCAAGATAACTCTTTTGTCCAACAAATTACATGGCACTACATTGAAGACTTTATAACCAATACCTATATCAAATCATTCAAAACTATGTATTTCAGAATAAAGTTTGTCATCTATAATATCAGACGGCAATTCCTATCAAGATAAGGTTCATCATACACATAGACATTCATTATGATTGACTCAATCCAATTATTGATTGTTCAGGTTACTTTTATCACAAACAAAAAATCATGATATTTCCATCTCTCCTATTCTATCAATTCACTAAGTTTTGTGGATGTCAACCCAAACTTTCCATAAATCCACTGGATGTCAACTTAAAATTTCCATCAATCCACTGTAGTAGTTCCAATAAATCTGATTAAACAATGGTAAAAATGATCACGGTTTAGGCCTAAATTACAGTGTTTAAAGCAACACTGGTATTTTCTGGATTTCACAGATTAAGGCCAGTATAGATAGGTACCCCTGCTCAGCTGACCTGAGGCACTGATTCAACTGGATAACCTACATTCAGAAATATCAATAGGGTGAGGAAAAACAAAATCAAAATATAATTTGCTCTGATGATTTTAGAACAGCATTGACAATTTTAGACAGCATTGACGGTTATGCATGGCTCGTTGCTATATAATTACCTTTATTGAGCCACGATATACAATTCTCAAATAATTTTAACAGACCAGTTTTAGAATCTTTCATGTTTTTCAGAATACAATTTGTCATCTATAATATCAGACGGCAATTCCTATCAAGACATAAGGTTCATCATACACATGGAAAGAAATAAAATTTGGTAATGAAAGTCTGCAGTTGGTTCAATAGTTGAATGGTTGTATTTAATGAACAATAAATTGTCTCGAAAAACAGATAGCCAGAGATGGCAGCTTATCCAAGAGGGGAAACTTGGATGTTGGCCAAATTTGATAAACATATTCGTGCCTTGCAGAAATCTGATCTCCATCCTGTTCACAAGGTTTTCCGGACATGAAATATCCAAATGCTTCATAAATTGAAAATCAAAAGGGTTCATCCTCCGGATGACAAATCATACGGTTCATCCTCTTAATGTCCTTATGTTTCACACTGAATTGTTTTCACAAAGTTTTCAAAAAGAGGTAACTGCACGATGTTACATGATGCTGATCATCCTAATGAACACAATGCTTCACACAAAATTTTGAAAATATTGTTAAAGACTGTAGACTACTTAAGAAAATTGTCCACCAACAGACCACAGGACGGACAGGGGTTCATATGTATCCACAAATATGTCTTCCATGTTTTTCAGAATAAAGTTTGTCATCTATAATATCAGACGGCAATTCCTATCAAGACATAAGGTTCATCATACACATATCTGGAAGACATATTTGACGGATTCCTGATTAAAATATGAGAGAGAATATTTCAGAATATACATTAACACATACCCTCTGTCTGCTCAATAACTTCTTGGCCCATGCCGTTTCGGACCATTTTTCATCCATCTTTTCTCGAACCCATAGTTTTTTCAGAGCTGGGGTACCAATATTTTTCTGGATATTGACTTTAAATTTAGTTAAATGAATGGCTTTGAAACCAATTTCTTTTCTAATAACACCAGTTGCAGGCCCATCAATTAAAGCCTGGAAAGATAACAGAATACATGTAAATTGACTGGAGCTTCTAGCTGTTCTAACATACAATTATTGGAATACAGTGTCATGTTTCTAACAAATGTTATTCCTTGTACACGTGAAATGCAAAGCATGTGGTTATTGGAGATAAAATTACATCAATATCAATTCCTAATGACTTTACAGAAGGTTGATACAGGGAATGGCCACTGGACGTCCCAGCTGTCGCTTAGCTTACGAATAGTACTCTAATGTTTGACATATAATGCTAAAATTAAGGAGCTGCAAGGTAATATGAATGTTAAAACAATTACCACGTGAACATTTTTTTATGTTATAGTTTTCACATTTGTTCATTCCCATTCAAGCAGGATCTTTCTAATGCAAGTGCTGATGACTACATATAATTTCCCTTCGACTAAGCAAGGATTCAAAGAACAAGTATAAAGCTTACTCTGTTTTGGTCAATGATATCTACAATTACAGCCACTTTACCACGGTCTGGGCCAAAAGCTATAAACACCACTCGGCCAACTTCGACCACACGGTCATAAAGTTTGTATGTATCCTGAAAAAAGCAAATTTAGAATGGAAATTAAAACAAAGTTTAAATTATCGGATATTCATGCCCTAAATATGAATTTGCTCTGTGTGCGACTATTTAGACATAATACAAGACTAACCTCTCAGACATATTCCGTAAAAATCTTTGAATAGTTAATTGATACAACATATATTCAGAACATTTCTATATTTAATTATCTGTACTGATATAAGGGAAATTTTAAATATTTCATTATCTATAATTTACAAAAAATAATAAATAAAATAATATATACAGATCTCCCACTTGATTTTAACCGTAACCTTCTATATGTACACTGTTAAAAAAACAGTAGGGGATATTCAGAAACAATACATAACTGCGGAAATGCACTACTGTTTTTATTAGAGGTAACCAGTTTATGTTAATAACGGGCCAATTGCCTACACCGAAGATAAACAGTTCATATGGGCGGCTTATCTGACGGCCCCATTTCACTCACAAAGAGATACACTGTGGAAAGTGAAAAGGGACGTTTTTGATTTTTGTCTTAATAATGAGTAATTGCTCCACCAATCCTCAGACATTCAGCAGTTCGTTGTGGCATGCTCCTAATTAATGAACCGTCCAATCACGATTTGGGACAATCTGACCCACTCCTCTTGCAGTGCCACGGCCAATTCTTGCAGTGTCATTGGTTGACGTTGACGAACACATCTCCCGATCAAATTAAATGTAACACACTAAGTCAAAGAAATGAAATGAAATGGGGTTTAACGTCCTACTGTTCTGCTCCTATACTGGGCTAATGAAGACGGACTAAGTCAAAGATACGCTAAACAGTAAATCTTATGCAAGAACCTATAGGAAAGCAAACATGGATAGAATAAACCAGCAAACGGTAGTTTTCATCAATCCTTGAAGTGTCAAATTTGACAATGAACCCCTCCCACGTTTATGGCGCTAAATTTGAGTGTCGCATGTGCAGCTCAGTGGTTCTGTTGGGGCGATAATTTCTTCATCTGTGAACATACTTTCAAAGCATGTCAAATGACCACGACTATTTATCATATCGCAACCTGCATAGGTATTTGCAATTCAATATCCGCTACTTTTTTTTGAAGAGTATATTATACAGACTTCAGAGTGCCAAATTGAGAAATTTCTGAACTTTGAGCTTTGTATATGTACAGAGTGCCAAATTGAGAAATTTCTGAATTGTGAAAGAGAGCGAAATGGGGTTTAATGTCCACTCGACACAAACTAGGTCATTTCGGGACTAGCACATGGTTCAATTTTATTTCAAGAATTCACTTGTGAGTAGGGAGGACCCAGAGAAAACCAACGAGGTTGGACAGCCGACCCTACTCTGTGTCATGTACAAAAGGGGAATCAAAACCATGCCAGTTGACTTAATGACAGGCTGTATGATACAGCGTGCACGTGCTAACCACTCGGCCATCCAACCACCCTTCTGAATTGTGATACATGTGTCTGTTTGTATATAGACTATACAGAATGCCAAATTCAGAAATTCCTGAATTGTGACATCTGTGCATATACAATGTATATTAAATTATTATATATACAGAGTGCCAAATTCAGAAATTTCTGAACGATGAGCTTTGTATATATATATGTATATGTTGTGATTATGCCCTGTATAATACTGGTGTCCGTCAGTATAACCGGGACTACATGTACTTCCACCTTTCCATATGGAGTCCCGTACTGCCAGCGGAATTTAACCTATATATTGCTGTTTTGCCGTGGCTACGGCTCAGATTATGCTTTAGACTTCAAATAGGTAACATTGATATTATTGCCGACGCTTTGGAACACCAAATGGGAATTGTATCCTCGATCACTACATACATGTATACAGGTGCTAGTTAACTTGTCCACAACCATTGGTTAAGTCATCCATGAGGTACTGGTTATGTCTTATGCTGTCCACAACCAATATTGTCGTCCACAACTAATAGTTAACTCGTACATGTTAGGGTGACCCACCATAAATAAATATCTCCAAATATCTCGACAATTATGCCACAATATTTATATATATGCCAAGCCTCAAATCAGTTTCACACAATTATAGTCACTAAATAAACGATCATGTTGTACTTAATTAGCTATGACCATTAATCATCTATAAATAATAGACTGAAAACTGGTTCCAAATGTCGTCCATAACATCCAGACACTTTTGAGTAAAATATAGGTTACGTGCCCTTGTTTTGAAATTAGTCTTGCTTAACCAGTCTATCGACCATTCTACGTCTGATTGACAGGTCGGGATAATCAAGACTACTTTTTTACGAAACATAACAGAAAGCTAGAACAAGAAATTGAATTTAGAAATAAGTACTTTAGACAACCCAACAATTGTTTTTAGAAACTTGTAAAAGTAAAGTGAAACTACAGCTAGTATCATGTTCCTGCTAAAGAACGTGATTCAGAGATAGTATTTGTACTAAACCAAAAGATGCCGCTCTTAACGGTACAGTTAATTATAAAGCAATTTAAAAAATAAAACAAACGTAATTTCTAAAGCTGCTGTAATAACCAAGAAGTTAAATTTTACTGCTATTCAAAATCGTCAACAATAGATTTTTTACGGCTGTAATAGTTGATATATTTGTAGAGAATTGCACGTGCCATGGCTATTTATCGACTCAAAGAGAGTGTGGGGTAGTCAGAAATCAGTTCGAGACACGCAACTGAAGCGTGCACATTTAGCCGTGTCGAGACCAACTTTCTGTATAGAGCACGGGTCACCCTATACATGTTAAATAAATAAGTTTTACTCATCGGTTTTAACATTGTTTTATTTACACAATAATCAACAAGCTTTATTGACCGATGATGTCCGAGATTAGTTCACCGATGTTTTTGTAATAAAGCAGCCACTTATTGTTTGTCGATTGGCGTTATTTATAATGAATACAAATCGAAGATTAGACTCGCCTCCATTTACGTTTAGACAACATTTAATTGACTTGATTATATCACATATGAAATCTGAATGTGGACGAGTCAACCAATGAGGTGTGGACCACTCATCCGATGTTAATCATAATGTATCTGTGGACGAGTTAACTGGCATTCTTCTATATTGTACAAGTAGAATAAATCTGAAAATTTCTGAATTTATATTTGCACTGTTGAATTATGATTTAGATAAGCTTTCAAATTTAACATGGATGGACTACAAACAGTGGCAGTTTAGTGTAAATAATCCTGTTGAAAACACGTGCACTCCACACTTGTACCAAACGAGCACAGTTTTCGATCATTAGCTAGAGAAAGTGAAAGTATATCGAGTTGTAATTAGAAAGAATTAATGTTTGTTTATCCAATATAATGTATTTCCTATTTTAGTAACGGGTTCAATGACATATATCGTAAGAAATATATGAAAAATTAATATCACGCACCAACTTTCCCATGGTGGACCGTCAAAAGGAAGTCGGAAGACACGGCATGATGGGAGTAAATATTCGCAATTTAAAAAATTCCAAAAAAATATTATAGAGTTTTGTTTGCTACCATATAATAAAGTCCACATGAGAATGTTAATGAAAATAGTAATATATGTTTGATATTAAACATATTTTGTGACATTTGAAAAAGTATATTTCTGTCATCAAACGTCCTTGACCCTAAACCATAACAAGTACCCGTGTGCGGTTCATGTTGTTTCGCGAGGCTTCGGATCATATGCATTTCTATAAAAATTCTAGGACAATTATATGTTAGTTACAATTATAAATGTTTAAAATGTATTTATGCAGACGAATTCCAAAACACTTGCAGAGCAGTTTAAAGAACGTGAAGCACCACAAAAGCACAATTGCACCTGAACAGGTAAATAAAAATAATTCAACGAAATACACAACAAATAATTGAAATACTAATACAATACCCTGTAATCTAATCTAATACTCTCTGTCAGTACTAGTAGTAATAGAACCATGAAACCTATAATATAGGGTCCATGATACTGATTCATATGAACGCTGCAATATACTGACAAACGTAAGAAACAGGGCAATCAAGATATTTTGGACTCATTTATTTGATAATTAATAGGCTACGTACTACGTAGTCGTAGGCCTACCCTAGCAAATGTAGGTTTCTTTTGAGGGATGATCAAAAGATCTATCATGGCATTTGGTTTTTTAAAAAGCTGCATACTGTGGTTATGTTCTCCAATAGCATCACAATTAATCTTTAATAGTACCGTACCGTACACATGTGCAAAAGGCAAAAGAAATGCATATCTCCAATTTTTGGTACCGGTATATAATTAATTGAAAAATACAATTTGCCTCTGTCACACATTGTTAAACATTTCTAGAAGCTGCATTACATTGTTTAATGTCAGTTTTGATGTAATTCCAATTGTATATGTTCAATCAATTTTGCAGGTACAGAGTGAATCGCCTGTTGTATCATCACGACTTATTGAACAGCTCCAAGGTGTTGTTGGAAAATCTAATATATCTACAGCTGAGGCAGTTAGAGAACAACATGGCCATGATGAATCATATCACCCGTAAGTATTCATGCTACCTAGGACATGAATAATCAAACAAAAAATTATTAAAAAGGATTATATTGTCTTAAAGTGCCCATTGTCATTGAAGGATTAGGAATCCCTTGCAAACTACAATATTGTATAAGTTAAAATCTCAGTCCAAATGTGGTTCAATTCCAGGCAGAAATTACAAAGATATGAAGAATTGATAATTGAATACAAACCAATATTTTATATACTTTGATATTTTGGTTTTCTCAATCTGAGCTTAGCATGGATTGAGTTGTGAAAAATGAGATATTGTCTGAAAATGAAGCATCAGGATCAGTATCTTTTAGAAACGTTACTATTAATGATGTAGGAAATGTGGTTTAAAGTCCTACTTTTCTAATGAAGACGGTAATGATTTAGGCACCAAATAATTAAGTTAATGGAAATTATTTGTGCGAAATAATTACAAATGATTTGATTCCATGTACACTTGTTGGTAGAAAAAATAAAACTGTCATTTCTAATTTTAGCAGTGATATTTAAGAATGCAATCATACTCAAAGTTTGCCAGAAATCTAAGGAATTGTATACATTTTAATTTTCATGTTCATGTCTCTTAATAAGTATTTATGCGATTTCTGGTTGAATTATGACTTCAGTACCTCTCTACCAGACTGTGTCATATTTGCTGAAAATACAGAACAAGTCAGTCACATAGCTAAACTATGTAATAATAGCAGAACTCCTCTTATCCCATTTGGAACTGGTACTGGTCTTGAAGGTGGTATCAATGCAATTAAGGTGGGTTGTTCTCATTCCATCATTATTTATACTATTTTTTTTTTTTTTATTGTGCTTTACATCAAAAATTCAGGTACCAGTAGAATTATATACAGATGAGAATGAGATATTTATTTTATTGGTTAAAGTTAATCTAGAAAGCTGTAATTGACCGTGACTTTGCCAATAACAGATTATAAACTAGATTATAGTTTACAATACTAATATTGCCCTCAATACATTATTATGTCAACAGACTTTTGTATTGAGTTAAAAAAAAATGATAAATGATTAATTTTTTAGGGTGGTGTTTGTTTGGATTTAAGTAAAATGGATAAAATATTGTCTGTTAACCAAGAAGATTTTGATGCTACAGTTGAAGCTGGTGTATCTAGACAAACATTAAATACCTATCTTAGAGATACAGGTTTATTATTCCCAATAGGTTTGTATTTACTTTTTATTTTCTTTAGTTATATAATTTAAACAGGTCTAATATTCTCAATGGGTTTATTTCCTACATTTTTAAAAAAGAATATTAAAACCTTCTGTAGTGCTATTACCAACATAAATTATTTACGATTGTAATGTATTTAGAGTTGATATTATATTGAAGATGTTAAACTTAGGTTGCCTCCCTTTAATATTGCACCTGATATCAAACAAATGGTAAAATACATGTATATCGCTTATTACTTTCATAGCATCTCAAAGAAACTGTACTATGATAAGGAAAAATCCTGAAAATTAAAAATGGCCCCTTTCAGACATCCTGTTTTCTTAGCACAGAACTGTAGTTACATTTTATTATATGCAATTATATTTCAGATCCTGCAGTTACATTTTATTATATGCAATTATATTTCAAATATTCAATTATATTCCAGATCCTGGAGCAGATGCATCCTTATGTGGGATGTGTGCTACAAGTGCATCTGGTACTAACGCTGTAAGATATGGCACAATGAGAGAAAATGTTTTAAATCTGGAAGTAGTGTTACCTGATGGTAGAATCTTTGATACAGCTGGTAAAGGAAGAAGGACAAAGTAAGCAATATTATTATCTACATCCATAAAATTAAAATGTCAGGGATTTTCAAATTCCTGAAATTGATTAGTAGAGTAATTTTAGGTATTTTAGCAATGAAATATTGTTCCAGCTGGAGCCCTTGGCAGTTGGAATTCGATATAAGAGTAGGCCGTAGTGCCGCTGTCCAGGCAAAATTTCCCTCATAGCACACTGTATGGCGTATGCCCGTCTTCATTAGCCCAGGTTAGGAGCAGAACAGTAGGACGTTAAACCCCATTTCATTTCATTTCATTTAATTTCATTTCCAGCTGGAGCTCACTGAGTTATTATTCTTCTCATTTTGATCAAGAAATCTGTTAATCAAGAAGAAAACTGTCAGTGAAAAGTCAGATAAATTGAATTTTGTAATTTTTGCTGCTACAGAATCCATTGCTTAAATATTTAGTGAATTTAATATTTTTGCAGGAAAACTTCTGCAGGGTATAATTTAACCAATCTTTTTGTGGGCTCAGAGGGAACCTTAGGTATAATCACAAAAGCAACTTTACGACTCTATGGAATACCTGAATGTGTATGTACCAGACATTTTTATACACTCTCACTTTTAATGTAGACAGAGTTGAGTTCTTCACAGCTAATGTTTTCAGATTGTAAATTTCGAACATGTTTTGCAGAGTTATTTTGAGTTTTAAAGTTTGTTCATGCAATACAAAACAAAGTTCTTAATGGAGCTTTTTGAAACTTGATGGGATTGTATTTTAGGGCATAAAGTGAAACCTTTTTAAAATTAAGACGATTTCAATTTTAAATCATTAAGTTATAACCACTGTAAGTTTCCAATACATTTTATTTCTGTTCATATTTTTACATTTAAAGTTCGTGGATGTGATATTTTACATAGAATTTCCTAGGCAATTTTAAATCATTTTTTATAAATGTTCAGCAAGATTTGTTGACATTGATTTTAGAGTTTACGCTGTTGTCTTTGCTGATGATGGTTATATAATGCATTAGGGGGCCTGATAAGTCCCCAATCCTTATTTAATTTTATCTTTCCTTGGTTGTTCTTAAAACAACTGATATCTTTATGCAGGCATAGAAAATCTCTTTATTTTTAGACAACCAGTGCTGTGTGTAGTTTTCCATCTGTACAGAATGCAGTAGATACAACTGTTAATATCTTACAATGTGGAATACAGATGGCTAGAATAGGTACAGTATCATTATTATTCTTCAGTTATTTCAAATGTACATGCTGCCTTTGATTTATTGGCAAATTGCTACATAATTAACAATGTTCTTTAATTTAATACTATTGTAATATTATTTACTTTACTATAATACTATTATAATATTATTATTTATTTTACTTTAATACTATTATTTACAATTATTTAGTTTGAGCTTCCAGAAGGGTTAATTGAAATTACACATTGATTGAAAAATCTATTAGTATTGGGTACTTATGATAATTTATATTTATTAAAGCATTTTTTTTGTAGAATTTTTAGATGAGGTTGCCATTGATGCTTTCAATAAATATAGCAAATATGACATGAATGTAGCACCGTCATTATTTATGGAATTTGCAGGAAGTGATGGAACTTTAGACAAACAGGTAGAAGTTGTGAGTAAGTAGGAACAGTGGGTGCAAACTGCAAAATTATTGTTATATTTGATGAACTTTTTAATAGTTGAATATTATTTAGGGCTGTATCATGTCATGCTTATTAATCCTAATCATTGTTTAAATCCTCAGTATCCCGGGATTAAAGTCCAAAATAGTACTTTTGAAAAAACCTGATTTAACTGAGCTGAAATAAGGGCCGGTTGAACCTGATGGCAGCCCTGGGGTATGTACTAATTCTCCTTTAACATGAACATTCTAATAGCTTCATGTAATTATGCTGCTAAATACATATATTTTACCAAGGATGAACATATTTCAGGTGAAATTGCACAAATGAATGGTGGGTCTGACTTCAAGTGGGCCCAGGAAGCTGAAGAGAGAAATCGTTTATGGAAAGCTAGACATGATATTGTATATGCATGTATGGCTCTTCAGCCTGGCTCAAAGGTAATCTTAATGCTTCAGAATCAGTTTAACTCTTTAGTACCAGTAATTTAGATAATAATAGATTTAGACGTAATGTTCTGTGTTACCCTGACCAAAAGGTCTGTCTCTGTCGAGGACAACTGTAGCTTAGACAAAAGCAATGACGTCCTATATATGCTACAATCTATTTAAATTAACCATTGGTACTGTGGCAAAACTTCTGTCACACAGTATTGGGCTTTCAAATTTTAAATGTAACTTTCCATTTGGTTTAAACAGCAGATTCAAATTTAATCATTGAAGATAATTAGGTAAAATATGCATTGTCTCCATTCAGACAAGTCAACAATTTGTTCTTAAATTAATAATGGTAATTTGACATGGTAGTATATTACATATTCAAGCCTCGAAATACAGAACCTGTCACAGACAATGTCAGACACAGATTCAGGCTTTGTCCGGCGCAAAACCTCTGAAAATGTCAGGTACTATTTCATTAGTGCTTGACATTTTGTCAGGTACATCTAAAACATTTTGCAGCGAAGAATTGAAAGTACTTGGGACACAGGATAATGGAAATTGTCTGAAATAATGAATCCTTAGTTTCTATATGTTTGCAACAAAGGAGAATTAAAATAGGAATTCTAACAAGAGTTAAAAATTGCAAGGTGGAATGTGCAATGAAAAAAAGTCAATTTCTTAAATACATGTAACAGCGGACTTTAAATAGACACTGTTTTAACATTTTTTTGTGTCTCTATGACTTCATAAACTTCATAAACATGTTTAATCGATAAGAGATGTGTCTGGGTAGGGTATAGTTGTAAGAGACATGTCTGGGTATTGCTTTTAGAAATATGTCTGGCTGGGTATGATATTGCTGTAATTGTTTTGGTGTTTATATTTTCAGCCATATTCTACAGATGTTTGTGTACCAATATCTAATTTACCAGATGTTATTATCAAATCAAAACAGCTTATAGATGAAGCAGGTGTAATTGGTAGGTTGTAGTAGTTTTATCATCTTTCTTTATTCAACAACATGGCAGCTATGGTGGCTCAGTGAGTCATGTACTAGCTCACTAACTAGGAGAGCCTTGGGTACTATTCCTGTGTTAGCTGAGTAAGTGGTTTCATCTAGTCAGCGGTCTAAGTCAGTCAGATCTGCCATTCATTTAAAGATAGACTTGGTAGTTAGACTTTGAGGAAGAGTAGGCAGAAATGTCACTCACCAGGTAAATTTGTTTCATAGCTCATTACATGGTGTATAATCAGGATGGTGCAAACGAGTAGGTTCTTTAACTTGATATTATTTTATTTCATTTATTCAAGAACATGTTCATGTATTAAAATATAATCTTGTAGGTGTATGTACATAGTGTCATGCATTTCATTCCTAGATGTGTCATTCACAAAATATTATGGTTTAGTTAGACACGCCCACATGACATCTATTTGTCACTGTTTATTCAGTTTTATTGTGCGCTGTTAGTATTTCAGATTTTAAATTAAGATTTCTGTTTAGTTTGAACTAACAGCTGAATTAGCAGTAGTATTAAATATCATAGTGTAGCGAAGTATAAATAATAACTTGTTAGTTGTTACAGTTACCGGAGAATGACGCACACAGAACATTATTTATATTTGCCTCAATTTATCATGAATATTGACCAGAATAGTACATTTGCCCTGAATATTTCTGATTTGCCCTACTGCCTGAAAATATATTATCTTTGCCTAATATGCCTGTGTATGTTTTCATATATTTTTCTAAATTGTATATTCATCAAAAGTAATATGTATTCTTATATATTTTCTTTAAAAAATACTTCCTTCCATTATATTTCTTCTGTTTAGATGTATACCACTACAATTAAGATTAGTGAGTCTTAATAAAAAAAAGTATTATAGTAAGTTGCATTTCATCTTGATATAAATTTCCAGGTCCAATGGTAGGCCATGTTGGTGATGGTAATTTCCATGTGTTTTTCCCTGTGGATCATTCAAATCAAGAACAAGTACAGAAAATAAAGGATGTTGCTAAACAAATGGCATTGTGAGTATAGGCATAAATACATCTCTTACTGTTTCCCTTATTACAGGTTATACATTGGGGCATGTGGGTGATGGAAATTTTCACAACTTATTTCTCATTCATGAAGATTTCCCAGAACAAACGAAAAAAATTAAAAAAGTGGCTTTCGAAATTACAAAGTGAGTAGTAAACACAGGAATTAACAGGCTTATCTTTGTACTAACACACTATCTCGTCTTCTGAAATAAACATTCTTCAATAAAGAGTGTTTATTTCTTACATATCTGGTTGAATCCAAGCCTGGAGATTATCTACCATTGATATATGTATCTGGATTTTTTTTGTTTTAAATGTTATATACAGTAATCAATGCAAGTACATTTTAGCATGGATTGAGAAAAGGAAAATATTGTCTGAAAAATGGAAATGACAAACAGCAACTTTAATTAACAAGTCGAAAGACAATATATCAACTCATTAAAGATGCACTAAGCAAGATTTAGATAAAGAGCTGGCCTTTCTTGCTATAAATAATAGTTAAAAAATATATAATGATAAATGAATATATTATTTATGTATGAGTGTTGGAAGATGTAGCACAGATTGTTATTATCATAGCAATAGTACTGGACAAATGCGACTAAATCTCTGCCATCGGATGTACTAGAGAGTTTGAAGCCAAAATAAAGACCTTCAATAGGCAGATGTAGCTCGTACATAATGCATCTTTAAACATTACATTATTTCAGGATTGCTCAAGAGTTAGATGGAACATGTACTGGAGAACATGGAATTGGTCTGGGAAAGATGGAATTATTAGAACGAGAAATAGGAGAAGAAGGTTTAAGTGTTATGAAACAAGTCAAATCTGCATTTGATCCAAACAACATCATGAATCCTGGCAAAGTGTTTTGTTAAATTAATGACACTATACGTTGATCCTTGTTTTTCTAAAAAAAAATTAAAAATCAAACTTAACGCAGTATTTAATTAAAGGAAAAAAAACAGTGTGTGTGCACTGATATTAAAATAGCAAAATATAAACTTGTCTGTGATTTTGATGTCCGACATTGTAATATAGCTGTCATATAATAATATTATATTAGATATCTTTAGACTTAATTTAGTTATTTAGATTATACTAGGTATCAAAATCATGTTGAACAGGTGGACAAATTCTTCTAAATAACTTTCAATTACTGATGTTTATATAAATATAGGGCAAATAGGGTATTTAATATATGAACTGTAATATGTTGACATATTTCTATGATGTTCTACATGTAGATAAGAGTAATCCTGTATGGGATTTAGTGTCTTGTCTTTTTCTATTGAACTTTCATTCAACACATAGTATATCGTGTCGAAACCAAGCTGATTTGGACCATGGATGATTCAGACCATGATTCGTTCGGACCAAAAGTCAAAACTTATTCGGACCACTATATGGCTGATTCGAACCACCATCTGGCTTATTCGGATCATATGATAATAAATATGAATTAGCACTTTTCGCACACAATAGTGCTTTCTGGAAATCATGAACAGATATCAAAATTTTCACTAAGATATACTCTTGATGAAATCTCTAAATGGGCAGATGACTGGGGATTCAAAATATCGGAAGGAAAGACAGTAGCAACAGAAAAATTGTGTTTAAACTCAAAAGCTGTAAATCAGAGACAAAGTTCCTTGAAATGACCATCAACTCACGGCTAACATGGAAGCCATTCATCAACTCAACCTTCAACCGCACATCCAAAACCCTGAATATGATGATTAGACTGCTGATGGCCATCAAATATAATAACACCGTACACAGTTTTAGAATTATTTAGTGTTATTTGATTTCACACTCATAAAATGATTAAAATATTATACACAAAACACTTTTCTTTCCTTATTGAAAATTATCAAAGATAATTATACTGATATGCAGCTATTTTATGATTTTAGGTTATTATTTGATAATACTGGGAAGTAGGCTATATGGTATAGCATTGGGTTATTTGCTAGTTTTGGGTGAACTGGGATATTGAGAAATCGTCATTTGCCTTTGAAGGGCATTTTTTTTTTATATTTTTAAATAACTTGCCATTCAAATAATGGTCCGAAGGAGCCTTATCATGGTCCCAATGAAATAAGAATCTGGTCCGAAAAAGTCAAGAATATTGCTCGAATCGGCCAAGGATCTGGTCTGAATTAGGCACAGTTGAATCAGAGACGGTCCGTATCGACCGATTACGATCATGTCCTCTTTTAAACATATACCAGTTAAATTATATAGACTTTAGTATCCAAAAATAAATTTCTGAGTTTATCTTGTGTTATTCAATAATATACTGCATGGAAAATGAATAAGATTTCTTGCTAACCTTCATTTGCATAATGTGTTATATCTCTCCTGTATTATATATACTATTGTTGATTTTATATAATGATTACATATATAATCTATTGTTTAATGTTTTTATACCTTTATTGGATGAATGATTGATTTTTTGAATGGTGCATTTAGTTATTGCTTATATTTCCCCTAGAGATAACTAGAATATGAAAATAGAAAAACCTGTGACTTTGTAGAGGTTCCTGTATTTCTATATTAATTCTTTTGGATGGAATTTTATAAAAAAAAAATTTAATAAAAATATCTCCAATTTTTCTCAGTTTTAATCATCATTAGAACCTTTTGAACTAGAAGATGGTCATCCATAATCTAAATACATTTTGCTTAAAAATTTATTCAGAGTACCTATTAGGTCATAAAATACTGAAAACCTTTGTTTGTTTTTCATTTTATAAGCCAATATGTTATGTGAGATTCTAATTATGATAGCTTTAGAACAAATAGATAAATATTATGAATTTCTTTTTTAGTTAAGATGAAATTAGACTGGATCTGAATCACTTTTTTTATGTTCAAAACGTCTTTTGGAAATGCTGATATAATGATTAAATTTAAACAAATGGAAAATCAATGATAAAAATCCAAAAATTGCCTGTGATATTTTAGTTCTGTAAGACATGTTTTACTGCTTTTAAAATAAGTTAATGATGAAATATTGAAAAAAGTAAATTGATCCATGGATGCTATTTAGTAATAATGTTTTGTGCTATGGAATGATAAATGTATTTTTTATAAATCTCGAGAGTAATAAAAGAAAATTAAAATCAAAATGTTTTATACGCCTACATATATCAGTAACCGATGTAACAGATTCTTGGCTTGTATCTTCAAACTATTATTATCAGGGGCTATACTATATACCGGAAAACAACTGGAAAACTACCGGAAAACACCATGTTATACTGAATACCGGAAAACACCATGTTATACTGAATACCGGAAAACACTGGAAAAACACTAAATACCGGAAAACACACTAAATACCGGAAAACACACTAAATACCGGAAAACACACTAAATACTGGAAAACACACTAAATAGGTAACTCAGAGCCTGGTCCTCTGGAAAACACCGGAAAAACCTAACCCTAACTCCCCACAAACAGAGGACCAGGTTCTGGGTTACCTATTTAGGGTGTTTTCTGGTATTTAGTGTGTTTTCCGGTATTTAGTGTTTTTCCGGTGTTTTCCGGTATTCAGTATAACATGGTGCTTCCTGGTTGTTTTTCGGATGTTTTTCGGTGTTTTCCAGTATATAGTATTGCCGATTATCAGAAGCCCATAGAAACAACCCGGTCATTTGGTCTGTAATTAGTCTTTAAAATCCGAAACAATTACCCCAACCTTTGGCTTTGGAAGGTAGATAACACATTTGTGTTACTGGAAGAAACCGATGAACTGATGTCCCTATTAGATCACCCGAATACCCAACCTCCCAGAAAGATGGAGCTCTACCATTTTTAGACGTACAAGTTTTGATATTAGCAGATAAACACCAAAAGAATCGCTGAACACCGGTCCAGAGCTACCACCAATAATTCAGTCATAGCGGAGTATCTCCAGAACTACCCACACACATAATCCAATGTGCGATTCCCGTCATAATTTGTAAATAACTTTATTGAGTTCGACATTTTCAGTTTTTGACTGAGAGAAACTCTGGATATTCTCTAGTTACATTAGTAACTAGATGTTCTCCAGATCTTTATTTTGTATTCGCCAAATTGTCCTGATCTTGTTTTAGGCTTCTTTATTTTGTTTCATCCAAATTTTCCTGGTTTTAGCCGTTCGGTGATTAGGAAAAAAAATAATCGTATATTAGGTTTATCTTTTTTGTGACACGATAGGTGAATAGAAAACCAGTAAAATGACATGTTATATTTTTTACGTTTTATATATTGAATTAAGATGGCGAGAGTATTGATAAGTGAGGGGGTAGCATGTTGATATAAACTCTACAAATAGATTCCTTCTTTTATTTCTGGTACTGTTGTCAGATATGTCAAAAATGTTATTCAATATATTCAATAATATTGATGTGGAAAAGGGTTAGTTAAGTTCTATATTAAGTGTTTAATCAAGCGAGTATAGATTTTATCAGTAAATAACGTGAGATCAACCAAGAACTTTACTTACACTGATCAAAAAGCATTCACCACTTAATTGAAAATAAATCAAAGAACTATATATTGGACAAATTGACGAAGCTTAAAGATCTCCTATATTAAACCACTTAATTTCTTCAGCCATTGTCAATTTGAGATTAATACATTTTTTCCTTAGGATAATAAACATTTATGAAAATATTCGCGTCAGTTGTGTGAGAATGTTTATAATGGAAATATAAAACTGTAGGTAAGAGTAACCTAGAATAACAGGTGTCAAGTCAAATTCCCTAGGCCATTGTGAAACCCCTCTAACTAAGAAAATAAATTAGGGATACCATAACGATTTTTTAAAATTATTTAAGTATACATTATACAACCTGAAATTGATTATAAATACCTACCTATTATCTACAGCACTGTAGATATTTTTGTTCTTCGTGTGATCCTAATTGTAATGATATCCTATAATATGACGGTAGAAATAACCATATATAGGCTTACAAGCACTGCTCTACGGATTATTCCACTCCTCTACTTACTTTCCGTGAAATTCTATTCGGTCACTGCCTTGGAATTTTATCCTGGGGTTTATATTTCGGTGGTTAATTTTGTATAGATGGCTGATAGGACCCATTATTCTAGTTACAAGGAACTATCAAACGCCCAGTTGTCTGGTGGCGATTCCTCACTAGCAAAAACACTTTTATAGGGGATGGTGTTATTTTACAAATTTTGCCCTACATACACCCCCCCACTCAAAAGCTGTAGCTACCCAACTGATTTATGAATATGTCTTTTACCTCCCCACCACAACTTTGTACACACCTAAGTTGGGGTGGTACAAAAATGCTGGACCATATTAATCAACCCGACACTGGCTATTGGTATTCTGAATCCTTTTTCATTGTCAAAAACGCGTCATCTTACTAACAAATCGACGAATTGGGGAAAAAAGTAATGGTTATTAAACTAATATTGGCACCAAAAACCTCATAGTCGTCATTATATGACGATACTCACCGATCGTGGCGTCAGTTTTTGAACTGACTTTGTCAAAGTAGACTTTAATAATCTTTCTATAGGTGGTACAATCAAGTTTTTTTGTAATTTGTTTTCAGTTTGATAATATCGGAGTTTTAGACATGGACAGGGACCCGTCCCTCGCATATATCGGATTTCACGGTACATCCGTTTTGTTTTGGCAATGTCTAAACTACTGGTCAAGCACAGATGTATGGTCCACCAAATGATTTCAATCGCTCTAAATCCTTGTTTCGTCTCTTTATTAACATTTGCAATCGTTGCAATCTCTTTAGCCTCTAATCCTTCACGCACGAGTTCATCTTGTCGCTTTTGCCAGGAAGACGTGATTTCGGGTATTTTGCCGCCTGATTTTAGTTCGCCGTGTTCACACTTTTCGAGAAATACAAATATATCATTGAAGTGATACAATTTTACTGCGAGGGTAATGGTAATCCGATTGGATCTCTCATGTTTGAGAGAAGCCAAATTGTTCTTTCTCGGGGCGATGAAGACGTCGAACTCGTTTGACTAATTCCAACCCCTATGGTCGAAGTCATTAGATATCAAACGATGGGGGTTTTTTTGCCGCCATTTTCCAATCATTACGTTCATATCGGGTTGGTAGGGAAAGTTCCCCGGGATTTTCGATCGTGATTTCCCCTTGTCAATGATACAGGACGGAGGGACTGGCAAGGACAGTGTGACGTTCGGATGTGACGAAAAATCGAGGTCTCGTGTTCACGATTGTGCACGTAAATGAACCCTTGCCAGTTAGAATTCGATATAAGAATAGACTGGAGTACCGCTGTCTGGGTTGCCTGTCATCAGTGGTCCAGGTGAAGCAGAAAAGTAGGATTTTTTGTCGTACACCATTTCGTTTTACCTGCATGTTTTGTAACATTCAGGTCCACAAAAAATATATATATGCGTATTAAGGCTCATGGTAAAGTATCGCTTTGAAAGATACATTCCATTCATAGTCACCAGTCGGGGGTGTAATTATGCTAAACAAAAAGGTGAATAATGGGTAAACAGAATATAATAGTAGATCTAAATATCGGCTGTCCAATAATCTATTAATGACGTTATTATATCATTGGAGAACTACATCTGTAATACTATCAAGGTGTTGTGGGTTTTCTTTGATAATCGTTTCTATTTGATATCAATAATCCCATTTCTTTTCTTTATTTTCACAACTGAACGTGCAGACCGATTTTTAAAAAAAAAAAACCAACCCAAAACCGGTTTATTCTTATGGATAAATACTTCCCCTATAAAGGAGTGTATGTACATAATATGCGTCTTAGTCTGTTAACCCAAACGCACGAATAAATCACAATCCTATGGTTGAAACCCAATAAGACTTATAATAAACAATTTCGACTCGATTCATAAACAAACATTATCATCGACAAAAGACAAAAAAAAAAAAAAAAAAAAATATAAAAAAAAAACCCAATCCATGAAAAAGAATATATAACCGCTCTAGACGGAAGTTGACTGTCTGGCAATATCATCATTTATTGCTTTTCAGTATTAATGTCGCAATAAATAAGGCGAGTATAATAGGCTCAGCTCAAGCAATAGCTGATTGCTCTGGGATGGGACTGTAATGTCTCTAAAAACTTAATGTAGAATCTTCAAAGTTTATTTAGAAGGCCCAATCAAAATAAATAAAAAAATATAACAGTTTGATTCTTTTTTCATAATTCAAATATTTACTTGCAGGGCCGGATTAAGCTTGTTTTAGGCCACTGAATGAAAATTTCACCGGGGTCCTTGCCATCAGTAGTGAAAATGGGACATATTCTGGTCATTGTCCGTCACAAGCCACAAGCACACAAATGCAGTTTCAGTGTCAGTATAATAGTAGATAGATAGATTTATTTGGCACATACATACATAATAAATGACATATCTATTTATGGTACAAACCCAATTTGTGCCCCCCCCCCCCTTTAACGTATGGGCCCTTGGTTACAGCCATTCTAATTAGATCAGTTTATTTTAGCTCTTATGTAAAAAGGATACATGGTGAAACCACGTGATTGATCCCGGTGTTAAACGAGAAAGTTCATCTGGATTTTTCGTTTGTCAATGGCACGGAACGGAGGGCCTGGCAAGGGACAACGTATATAGTCGCTCAGATGGAACTTCAAACCGAGATTCCATGTACACATTGGCGTGCACATAAAAGAACCCTTAACAGTCGGAATTCGATACAAGAATAGGCCGTAGTGCTGTACCATAAGGCCTGTCATTGAGTCAACTGGCGTGGTTTCGATTCCCCGGTTGTACGTGACAAGGAGTAGGGTTGCCTGTCCAGCCTCGTGGGTTTTCTCCGGGTCCTCCGGTTTCCTCCCAGTGCTAAAGACCCCTACGCGCAAGCGAATTATTGAAATATTGAAATAAAATTAAACCATATGTTAGTCCCGAAATGACCTAGTCTGTGTCTAGTGGACGTTAAACCCCATCTCTCCCCCCCCCTCTCTCTGTCTCTCTCTTTGAAGCTTGATATGGGTGAATGTTAAATTTAATGTATGTACAAATTACCAGGGGGGGGGGGGCAAATGGTTAGCACGTGCGCGCTGTATCATAAAGCCTGTCTTTGAGTCAACTGGCGTGGTTTCGAATCCC